GCCTTTCTTTCTTTATCCAGCTGAATGAATGATTCAGTGTTCAATCTTTGTTTCTGCAGGGTGTTTCTACTGATTCAGCTGGTGAGTGTGATCAGCTTCATTACATGGATCAACGATCGCTGCCTGTCTGAGAAAAACGCAGAAAGATGGTGAGGTTTTTCATCTTCTACTACCCTTTGATTCTCCTTAGTAGTAACAAAAAATGCTGTACTGTTTCTTGAACCCTTTTGATTCCAAATTGGTGGCAGCCATATCCATGTGATGGTGGTGGCGACAGGTTCATATGTGATCAGCCTGGTGGGGATAATCATGATGTTCATTTGGTACACACCAGACCCATCTTGCCTGCTCAACATATTCTTCATCACCTGGTCCCTAGTGCTCCTGCAACTCATGACCAGTGTCTCTCTTCACCCTAAAGTAATAACTAAAACCCTTCTTCCTTCCTTTCCTTTTTATGTTCATTCATTGCAATGTTGTTCATGGTATGCTAGAAGAAAGGAAGATGCTGAAACGTGCTCGTTTTTCGCGCAGATCAATGCCGGATTCCTTGCACCTGGACTGATGGGGCTGTATGTTGTGTTCCTCTGCTGGTGTGCCATCAGAAGGCAAGCCTACCACACACCATTGCTCTTCAAATTTTCATGGTTCTTGCTCAATTTGGTCCAAATTTGACATCTTTCTTTCTATGTAATACGACAACAGTGAACCAGCAGGGGAGAGTTGCAACAGGAAGGCAGAATCTTCCAAGAGAACAGATTGGCTCACCATCATAGTAAGTAAAACTATCTCAACCAAACTGAGACATCAGAAAGTTCATGGCTTTAATGGCGATCTACTTCCAATTTCTGCAGAGCTTTGTCATTGGGCTGCTGGCGATCGTCATAGCGACATTTTCGACTGGAATCGACTCACAGTGCTTCCAGAAGAGCGAGACGCAAGGTGGCGGTGGGGAAAAGGAAGAAGATGAAGTGCCATACGGGTATGGATTCTTCCACTTTGTGTTCGCGACGGGAGCAATGTACTTCGCCATGTTGTTGATCGGCTGGAACACCCACCACGCCATTAAAAAGTACCCTCTCCCGCTCATCATCCCTATTCTTTTCCTATCTCACTTTTCCGCCCTCCAAATTTTCTCTTCTTTTCACTGTGGTCCTTGATCTAATCGTGATATCATGTTTTGTTTTGTCGTGGTAGCGGACTTTGGTGGGTTTTTTTCCCCCTTTAATTTATCATCGACAACACTTTTCCTAAAGTTAAAGCCAATAATTAGATTAGGGAAAGTTGTGTTCTTTTCCTGTTTTTTTAACATTGGGATGAAGATATAGTGACCAATGAGTTTGTTTTGCACTGTCTGTTGCGCAGGTGGACGATTGATGTGGGGTGGACTAGCGCATGGGTGAGAATAGTGAATGAGTGGCTGGCCGTTTGTGTATACAGTAAGTAAAAAAACTCTCTATTAGTCGTTAGCGGTGGCGGTTCGTGTTCGGATTTGGTTAACCGAATTTAAACTCGAATTAACTAGCTGCTCAAAATCGATAAGATCTTAATGGTTTTCGGTTTTTGTGGTTTTGGCAGTATGGATGATGGTGGCACCGATAATACTGAAGAGCAGAAGGGCAGCAGGGGGATCACCGCCGGTTTAGGAAAGGGACAAAGATATAGGAAAAGAATGGGCCTTTTTGTTCGTTTTAGGGTGGCTTGGGCTTTCATCCTTCTTCTCCTGGTGGTGGTGCTATTGGGCCAAGGAGCATAATGGGCCAAACAGAGAAGGGACATCACTATAACGTTTAGGTTTATACGATGGTGTTCAACAAGTTGGACAAAAAGTGGCGAAAATGAGATTTGACATTCATTTGTTGCGGGATGGAAAATGTGGTGGTGGGGGGAATTGGATTCCTGTAAATAATAAGCAAATGAATAGAGTCGTCTCATTTTGGAGAAGTGTGTATTCGTGGATGGGGATGGATTCTGAAATCATTGGTTTGGAATACATCAAAGTTAGCTTCTTTTTTTCTCAGTTGAGTTGTTGGTCCATGGTCAACAATTGAAGGCATGTCTCAAAGTCTCAGTCGATGTCATTTGGGGCATTTGGAAGCATTTTCCATGGTTGAAAATCCTTGGAAGAAAAGGAATGTGGATTCCCTGTATGGTCCTCTCACCTCTGTTTGCTAGGTCAAGAGAACACTAATTCTCTTTCTACCAAAAAAAAAAAACTCAAGCCGGTAACAGAGTTCGGCTACTACAACAAGCCGATATAGTATCCACACTTAGCATAAGGGGCATAAGAGCTTAGCCGATATAGTGAATAAGCTATGTATCTAATCCACCAGTCCAATTCAATCTATCCAAGTAACAAAAGAAGTTTGGTATGAGTTGTCAAATAGTAAGTGAATAAGCTATGTATAATTAAGAGACCATCTTTGCTGTTGAGGAAATGGTAGTAGTGAGTAAAGGAGTCTAGTTGGGAGGGATAAAATACACATTAGCTTTTGTATTGATAAGTATTTCTATATTATATCGATCTCGATCCGGTAATCTCTAATATCAAATAACACTTGAAATTCAATCTCAATCTCATAAAATAATACGTGTATTCGGTAATTTTAATATCTACAAATTCGCTACAATATTCACTATATCACAAATGGCGATACCAAACTTCCAGCTGCAGATACGACCACAGGCACTCAAATAATTTCACGGTTTCACCCACATCGTACTACAGTGTAGGTGCCAAAGCTATGGCCTCTCATGACTTGCTAGTGTTAAGTCATTCAATTCTCTTTCCAATTGTACCATAGATCTATACACACCATCGAAGTTTGGTAGTGAATCTAACATAAGCATTTAAGTTTTGACATGTTTATACTTCTCTTTCAATCCAAGCATAAATCAAATTGTCTTTCTCTATTCTTGGTACCTCATCCAGTCCGATGGAAACCAGACTCAAATACCATGAGAAAGAAGTCAACCTAGCATCCATGAAAGCTAGGGTTTAGAGGGAAAACGAAAGAATTGTGGAACCTTGGCATCTTGCCTTCCATTCCTTTTTCTGCCGTGTATATATATAGTTATATGCACCAAGTAATGGTCGTCGCACCAGTCTCCCCGATACTGGTGCTCCTTCCACTGAAGAAAGACGTTGAGAAGAGTCAGATGGTCGGATTCTGGAACGGAGAATTTCTCCCGTGCAGCATCACTCTCCTCGGCCCTGTCCTTCGGGCGAAAGAACACAGAGGGGGACCGAAAGCATCGATACTATAGTCAAAACCTCGTTTATGCACGCCAATGCATTCTTATTACTCTTTATGAAAGGGAGCCCCGGGCTCAACTTATCTACCACGATCACCAGCATACTTAAACATGATCTTATTACCCAGGAGTAGGGTTCTTAACCTCCTTAATCATAACATGAGGTGACCAGGTGTGGCTAGCTAAGTGAGTGTTAAAAGATGATCTTGCTTACTTAGGGAACTTGCTTACTTGACATGATGATCATCCGCACAATGGGAGATCCAAGCTTATGACTTGCTTAATTTGTAAGATCGTACTCGCTTCAAAAGTAACTTGACCTGCTTAAAACATGTGTATTCATGAAACATGATCGTGCTATGCATACTTAAAACATAACTTGTATTGTCTTGTCTTAAAACGTAACTTTGTGATGCAATGTCGAGCTATACTTCATGAATGAACATAGTTCATATACTTGAATATGAATCTCATAAATGCATAACTCAAATATAAATAACATATAAGGGTATATCAATTAACACAAGTAACATGCAATAAATAACTCATAATGGAATACTAACTAGTCCCCTTAAACCACACACCTTATTATTCAAGAAGTTTACAACGTGAGGTTGGTGCGCTTGACTTGGTTGATTTGCCTCTTGGTCCTATGGTGAAATTCAAAGTTAGATTGGTTCAGTTTTGGGTTCTTAGCGACGGGTTTTGATGGTCAGGACTACTTTGCGATAACTGCAAAGTACGGGCTAATTAAACTAAGTAATTAAAATACTAAAATCGTAACTCCTTAAATCTTACCGTATTAAGATCTTAGTCAATTTAAATACTTGGAAAACTCAATGTTTTAAAATCACTTACATTGTTGAATTCGAGAAACATATTATAAAATATATTACTCTGCTAAACAAACTACTAAATTTACCCATTAACTAACGTAGATTAATCTAACTTGCTAATCATATCAAATATCATATTATCTACCATTTTAGTTCGTCATAGTATTATTTTTTGCAAACCCAATATTTTGCTAACTAAGAACCTACATTATCTTAATCATCCAAATTTATTAAATTGCTTAAAGATTTAACTATGAAGATTCTCTGTCGCCCTGTACAAATTTAACTATGAAGATTAGCATTTCCGCCCACCTTTCTCTCCTGCCCATATGGAATCTTCTTTGTTCAAAACTTCGTTTGTGCATCTCTTTCATTGCGATGTTTCTTAAGCATTCTCGTTTGTGGATTTCGGTGTCATTTGTAGCTCTCTTCCTTCGTAGTCTTTCATATCCAATTGCCAAGGAATGAATTGCATGAAACGGTTTCGAGAATGCATACCATTGGCGAGTGGAATACAAGGGGTGTGTAACGGTTCGGTTCGGTCCGAACCAAACTCATGAGAATCGCGGTCCATTAGTGAAAGACATGTTAGGACCAAGGACCGGACCATTCTTGCATTTGGTCCATTTGGTCCGGTTCGATCCGGTCCAAATATGAGCTCGGTCCACCATTTCTTCAGTAATTATAAAATTTATGAGGACCAAGGACCGGACCGCATTATACTCGGTCTGGTCCGGTCCGGTCTTAACAACGGTTTGGTCCGGCGTGGTCCGGTACGGACCAGACCATTGCACACCTCATACATTATACGTGTAAGTAACTGCAATCGCCTACTACAACCAGCGAGATGAGAAATCCAAGGAGAGTTTCCACTTGCAGAAGATAAAGAGAAGAATATCAATCTCAAAATGTCACATATATGCAATTGCACAAGCTTTACGCAGGAGATCAGCTGGTCCATTTCATACAATATATTCCAGACTCTGAAACAGCTCGCCACGAGAACGAAGAGACTACGAAATAATACACATCCCGGATGATAAATGAAAGTGAAAAAAACACCTATCCCCTACAAAGAATTTTAACTTAAAATAGAACAAGCAAAATGGTACAGTTTCCACGGTAGAAGACAGCACACACATTTTACCCCCTGATGAACAATAATACAACAATGGAAAATCGCAATCGAAAGAAGAAACGAGAAAACCCTAGACCTCTCGTTACAAATAATCTATAAAATTTCCCCGTTACCTAATATATGAACAGTTGCCCTGTTGCCCAGGGAAAGACCAGCAGTTCACAATTTGCCTGGATGACAACGAGGTTAAAGGGCGGAACTTTCTTACCCAGCAGCCGTTTGGCAATAGGCAACAAGATGATGCAATTGCTGAACTTAGGGTGAAAGAAATATTCCTCCCATGTTTTGTATTTATCACTCTTCATCCGAAAGGGTTTCCTCCTGCAGAGGGGAACGGCTGCAATGTAGTAGCTGGAGCCGAGAATCCGCCACCCAGATGTTGGTCCAAATTTAAGCCACCAAAGGCAGCACCAGCACCGCCGCCGCCGAAACCTGCTATTCCTTGATGTCTGTAGAAAGTAAATTTCAGAAGCATTTAGCAGCTGTGAAGTTTACTACATACCCACTACAACATAGAAACCTAGCTGTGGTTCGGTTGGTGGATTTGCCCTAGGGATCGTTTCAAATCCCAACTGCAGAAGTCAGTTTAGAAGCACGTTCCCAAGAGGTTGTTTGGCTGGTAGATTTGAAAGATCTCTCAGCTAATGGATTTGGCTGAAATTTCATGTTTGGATAGGCTATAATGGTGGTAGACTGTGGGATATAGTATAGTGATCTGAATATAGGAGTGAGTTTTTTCGAATGACACTTTAGGTGACATCTCCAAATCTCTTTATTAGAGACAAGTTTCTTTCCCTGCAAATTTGAAAAATAGAATCATCCCCCTCCTAATTAGTCAAAGGACCCAAGCCAACTAATGAATCAAAAAGCAACAAGTACATAGTAAAACCGGTAACTTGGTCTCTTAATATTCCTGCGCACCATTTGGTATAAAATCCAGAAAGCTATCTAATCTCAACAATCGACCAGCCAAACAACACGTACGATTCTGGAAAGTTCAACTTATGCGTGATCATTAAGAGTCCTGTAGGTGGGTAGTTTTTTCATCTCCATTAATTACTAGGCGAACCCCATGAGCTTGCACTTCAGCTAATCACTAGTATTACTGGTACAGTAGGTACGGTTCGTGAATACATACCCAGGCAATGGCATGTGACTCGGTACTTGAGATGTAGTTGGCCCTGAGTTGTTTCATGAAGCAGGATAAGAATGTAAATACAATAATGCACAAGGGTGTTGAAAAGACTGAAAGAGACAGAAATTTACTTGGGGGCGCTGTAGTTGCGTAAGATTGTAACTGGGTATGCAATCCTGATTGATAAGGTGATGGCTGGTTTGGCATCCAGGTTGCTGGTGAAGAGTTATCAAGACTTGAAGCGCGTTGTAGTCCTGAATGCGGCGCCACATTTGGTATAGCACTTTGCAAGGATGACATATTAGGAAACTGCAGACATGAAACCAATAAAATAAGAGTAAACAGATAAACAGCAGCCTTAGGTAGCTTTCTGAATGTAGAAGTAACATATTCTCAACATTCCCGGTCAAGCAGACAAGAACGACCACACTAGTCTTGCCTGCTCACAGAACTCCTAGAAACCGAATTCCCCCTAAATGGATAAATTTATTCAAATCTTCTAACTATCCAAAGTCTGATTTCTCGAACTAATAATTCTACTATTCTAAGATTCAAGGAAGAACGATCTCTTTTCCAATGTAAGCCAGAAAGGACTCAAACACTGGTAGAATCTCCAGAGTGAGCTGCTTTAGCATTGTTATACTGTGATCTTTGAACATGAAAGTATAAAATGCTATAAGTGTCTTATCTAAAACCACAATGAACACTGCAAGCTGTGCCTAAAACATGGAAACGTTCCTTTGCTTTCCAATCTTATTATATTTTCCTTTTGAATAACAATTTCAGCATAGACATATTTGAAATGAAAGACAGACAGAGTGTAAGGCAAACGAAGAGAGAGCACATACAAGTTGGGCCTGAGCTGGTGTTGGCTCATTCACATCAAATGGATTTGACGATTTCGAGGGTTTCTGGACGAAAGTGGGCATAGGCTGTGGTAAAAATGCAGATACAAGAGAGAAACAAATGAACACCCATAGAAAATCATAATAATCGGTGATTTTTTTTTTTATTACTGACAAACCTACCGCAGCAGCACTATTATATTGCATAGGAGCTGGAACATTAGCATATTGCATAGGGGCTGGCACATTAGCATACTGCATAGGGTACATCATACCACCAGGTGGACCTGTTTGCCACCCTGGAGCCATTGCAGGGAAATAAGGATATGTTGCAGTGAAAAGATCCTGCAGTTATTTAAGGGACAATGTAAGGCACACATGTATTTGCAACCAATGTACAGTAGAAGGAGCTAATATGAAAAGATAGTTACCGAAGGTAATTCTTTCCTTCCAGTAGCTGTTGAAGGCTGTGCAGATGTAGGACCTGGAACTGTTCCTCCTCCAGGAGTTGTATTCAGAGTTTCTTGTACATTAGGGGGTAGTGACGAATTCCAAGGCTTGCAAAATGGACCAGCAAACAATAAGGTCCAAATGCTAACAAATATGTATAACACAATGAAAGCTAAGAAGGCTGTTATCAGGGCTTACATGATTGCCAACGGCTGGAAATTGTTGAGTGGGAGATTGAGCAGGGGTCAAAGAAGGTTGTTGATGCTGTGCGGTGGCCCATTGCCCAGCCTCCGGAACAGGGGCATTACCACCATTGCCAGTCACAGGCATTGTACCATTAGGAATAATTTGTGCGGGACCGGGTACAGATGGTGTAGCTGACAACTGAGATAAAACAGAATCCAGCGGACTGGCGTTTACAGGAGCCTCAGAAGCTTTAGGAGCAGGGGCAAAATCAAAAGACGCCCAGTTATTGTCATTGCTCGCAGCTGAAGTTGGTGGAGCAGGTAGAGTTGAAGTTGTCGGTTGTGCTTGGGGAGCAGCCGCGACAGCAACAGGAGCAGGATCAGAGTCAAAATCGATTAAGCTTGGTGCAGGTTCAACTTTTACTTCTGCAGGGGTCTCAGGCATAGACCCAAGGCTGCTTGAAGAGGCAGTTCTCTGTAATTGTTACAGCAAACTGTGGCATTAGGTCCACATCCTCCTACTATAAGACATCTTACTGGATGAAACCAATGAATGATTTCGTGTTTATACTTGAGCAGGTGCCAATAATATGATCAGGAAAGTGAATATAACTTTTAACGAAGAAAATACATGAATATGACAAGATATCCAATTTTAACAACAGGAATATGGCAAGATATCCACGGAATGATAGATGAAACCACCATTATTTGGAAACCAAAGTTGAAAATGAGGAAGTTTAAATGCAATTAAACACAAAATATGAGTTTTAAAAGACATGTAGAGGTTAACGGGAAGAGGCGTACCTGCGTCGCCACAAACCCATCAGCAGCCCTTGCTGCATTAGCTTTAGGTGGTTCACTTATACGAAGAGGCACTACACTATCACCCAAAATTTCTCGAACGGGCCGTACCACAGGGGGGCTAGATCCCCCAACATCATTTGGCCGCTCAGGTGACCGGCCTCCCAATTTCGAATCTCCATCAGATATTCTACGATCCTCACCTTTCCTTCCACTTCCAAATCTATCCTCCCGACGCCAATCGTTGATAACCTCTGGTCGAGCGGGACTTTTCCTGTAATCATTATACTGTCTACCTTCTTGATCATATCCAGGGCTTCTCCTCTCATCATAACCATATCTGTAGTTTTTGTCATCACTTCTTCCACCCGGACTAGACCTTTCATTGGAGCGACGGTCATAGACATCCTCGTATGGTGGACTCCGGGAGCCCACATCTTCTCTGTCACCCTGTACAGATTTAACTATGATGATTAGCATTTCTGTGCTGCCAAAACATACCGAAGAAGACGCGGTTAAGAGACAGCTATATTGACATATAGTTCAAGAGAAAAAAGAATGATGTCATCTCACCGTCTTCATTATTGGAGGTTTGCCATAGTTCTTATCACCCGTATACCTTTTATCAACATACACGTGCTTAATGAAGTCCCGAAGTCTATCCACATTACTGTCACACAAGAAAATTAGGGAAGGACACCAGAACAAAAATCATTATTAAAATGTAAGATAGCTTTATGTAAATCTGTGCCAACCTGCTGTCAGGTGAAGAGTTACGCTGAGCATCCCAGTCTTTCAGAAGAACTTCTCTTGCGTGCTGTCATGTATCCAGAATAAGGGTGGTCAAGGATGAAAGTTCAGGAATATGCTTCCATCAAATACGGTTAAATTTAACATCAATGAAATACAAGACTGTCGTACCTTGTTTCCACCTTCCTGAAGCGCAGCAACTTCTTGGGAGGTGAATTTAGCCATCGATATTGATTTTACTCTGTGAGTAAACTCCCGGCTGAGGAGGGTAGCAAATCCAACAGCGTAAGTATACAAGAGAATAAAACCTACCCAAACAGGAATGCGTTTAATACACCGACTTCCATAGAAACACATTCAAAGCAAAGTTGGCACGAACTGTACAAGGTTGTGCACCCCTAAATGTTTATCTGGAGATACTTACTGAATTCCACTACAGGTTGTGCAGACAAATGTCCAGAAATTCGTGCAAACATATTGCGGTCCCTGATCAAACAAAGAAAAAAGTCTTAGAACTGAAACATGTGCATTTCCCCCCCCCCCCCCCCCCCAATAACATGGTACTGCAATACTCCAAGCACATGATCATTTTCAACTAATGTAATGGTCAAAAGCCTTAGTTTTCACAGTTCCTACAGTCTCCAGCATCTCTTTTGACCTAGGCAGTTTGATATGAACTACATGGGAAATCTTTCCTCACCTACAGCCTACAGGCATGCCGCTGAGGGTACACAGAAAGTTATGAGTAAACAAGACGTATACTCCAAGGTCCTTTTTACTTTCATGTTTTGCTCACAAATTTGCAGACAAACATTGGAAGTTGAATAATTCTTGCGAAGCGATAAACATAAGAACCTTTGCAAGAAAAAGATCGTATCCCTTTCAACGTATCTAAGGAACTCCCTGATGGACCAACTAATGCACTCCTGGAATCAATGTACCCGCTAAGTAAGTTAGCAGCATTATCATCGCATCAAATGTATAATTAAAGCTTCGCTTCACTTCTCCTAACTTCATTTCCTTTCCTGCCTAGCAAATTTCCACCCTAGTTGCAACTAACACTTGAAATACAAAATCAATCAACTGACTCCTGCAACCGCTCAATTCCATGGGAGTAGAACCAAACCATCATCTTAGCAGTGCCAGAATTTCTGGGCAGAAAGCAATGGAAGCAAACATTACCAGACTGTTACAGTTGATGCATCTCCGATTGTCCGGAAGCTTGAGAAGCCCCCTGATTAGTCTCTCATTTTTCTCGTCCTCCTTAACCCGACTCGCCATTTCCCCACCGCCTATTATAACATTCAAACCAGAGTCAGCACTCGCAGAAAGCAAAAGGCAGCCATGAATACCACAGTTGTTGCTTAGCAATGAAATCTAAATTCCACAGGGAACTCAATTATCTCTTCTGCTTCTTCGGCCGTAACTCCCCAGCCACCCAAAGGAAATTACCAGGAGACATAAATTCAACCGTCTAAAGGGACGGATCTGAAGGATCACATCCAGCAACAAACGGAACCAATGCAAAGTAAAAACAGCTTTCTCTCTCTCTCTCTCTCTCTCTCTCTCTCTCTCGACAGTTCTACTAACCGACGAAGCAATTGAACTTGGAACTACCGGGAACCGACGCTTACCTGGATTGACTAACGCCGACAAGGAGAGCTGCTTCTCCGGTTTACACTTGTGCGGCTGGCTGACTTCAACTCAAAGATCCGGCGACTCCACGACTGCTTCTTCTCCCCCTTGGAACCCTTCAGGCGCTCTGCAATTCAATCATCAACAATAGCAAAAGCCGAGGAAGGAGAAAGGGAAAAGGGAAGAGAGAGAGAGAGAGATTTGTTCGCAGATCCTTTTAAGAATCTGCTGTAACTACAGATGAAGAAAAGAGAGAAGGGCTTTGTACAGCCAAGAGCTAATAACCAAAGTCTGCTTTCTCTTCAACGAAAAAGGAGGAACGAAAAGAAAGGAGAAAATGGGGAATATCATTAGTACAAAACTACTAATCACTCTTCTTTTTACTATCTTTTACATTCCAGTCCTTCCACTCCAGCCTTAGCTTTTAACGTTTTCCCCTTTGTTTTGTAAAACCAAGCGAATCTATAAAATCAATAAAATCATCGTTTAAAGGCGAGTCATAGTACGAAATCCTAATAGACAAGATAATGTGTTCCAGCGTTGAGCTCACGAGACACATTATTGAGTTAGATTTTCTAGTAAAAAAATTAGTACATTGCCATTTGTGGGTATGTAATTGTAAATATATATAAGTTATTATGTGTGATTTGCATTTTGATTTAATTGCACAACTGCGAAATTTGTCTATAGAACTACATTTCTAAAGCTCAAACTCCCATACAAGTTTGATGTTGTTTAAGAATTTGGTAAATACAATACATTAGCCATAACTATTAAGCAACGGGCCATAACTATTAAGCAACGGGGAATTATAGCCACAACTATCAAAATATAAATTATTAGTCATAACTATTATTGCGGGTCAAGATTTGGCTAACAGCTCTTTACTATTTTCAAATTTTTAACAGAGAAGGCCATGTCAGCATCGAAAAAATATGATATGATGACTGCCACGTGGGAGCTAGCTCAGCATCGTAAAAGTTTAGTCATCATTACTAACAGAAGTGTTAACGAAGACTTAACGATTGGCTAATAATTTGTATTTGGATAGTTGTGGCTATAATTCTCCGCTGCTCAATAGTTATGGCTAATATATTGTATTTGCCCTTAAGAATTTCATAAATTCAACCTTTGTGATGATCCACCTTTGAAGTTAATCTTAAAAATATATGAATTAATCGTCGTTCTCCTCTCTAATAATGTCATTCATAAAGCTCGATTAAGGTCAATAAAATACATAATCATCGGTGTTAACACAAATAAATCCGTTGAGTCAAATCTCTCAAGTAATGTCGCACACTCTATATATGAAGTTCATCTTCGTGTTTCGAAGTTCCTATCTCGATTACTTGATAAGTGATTAGCATAAATTATCTGCTGACAATATATTTCAACAATTGAAATCCTTTATTGGCCTAATAGGCAAAATTGGCACAAGTGTGTATACCTAAGGGGTCGTTTGGAGGTTGAGATTTGAAGTGAGATATTTAGCAAATACATGTAATGATAAGATTAAGTCGTTTTTTTGGTTCACTTTGAGTTAGAATGCATGCATTACCTTTTTGTTGGGTCCACCTACAATCACTCAAAATGAATGATTATAAATCTCTACTAAAAGGTGAGATTGTTAATGAGGGATTGTCTACCCTACTTTTTGTTTCATCATTGCTCTTCCAAACAAAGTATTTTCCTAATACATGCATTGAATCAATACATCAAATGATAATACACTAATTGACCTAATACATCAATTTGAAGAATCACAATTTCCAAACGACCCCTAAATATATCTATTCTCCGAGGACTGAAACGTTAAAGCAACTATTTCAATTAGCTAAGTAGATTAACGACCATTAAAGGGACTAATAAATAATATTCATGAAAATTGGGTTGGGTTCGGACTCAGAGTCTCTGTATCGAACCGAGTTTTGGCTCTAGGTTTTTTATTGGACCCGTGTCAGTCGCCAGGTACGACCTGGCGACTGACTGACTACCTGCTACAGTTAAATGGCCCATGGTCTGACTAGGAATTCACCAAAGGGCATCAGAAGAATGAAGAGCAAGTGGCTTGGTTGGGTTTCTTAGCCTATTCATGAATTACGAACATTCCCTTCCTCTAATTAGTAATTTCATCGAGGATATGATGTGTTTTTAAAATTACTGTTTTTTAAAAGCAAAAACATTTGTAGATTGGTCTGATTTTTGTATTCATTAAATTGATGCATCGTGATTTGTCAAAAAATAAATAAATTTGATGTATCGTGGTAAATATGTGTACTATAATGTATTAATTATAAAATTGTGTATTCTAGGTTACATTATTTGATTCACGTAATTATTTTTGTAGTTTGAAAAAATTACGTTAAGAGAAAATATCACTTTAACCCCGTCCTTTTTATATGAAAAGAGAATACAAATATGTGGAGATATAACTAGAATGAAAAAAAGATTTAACAATCCCAATCCAAACTAATGATTTTTTTTTGTCACATCAATAAAAAAAAAAGCGTGCATTTGTTATACAAAAAAAAAAGATGAATTATAAACACCGCAGAAAAATTATATCGTTCTTACTCAAACAATTAGTCATCCCATAGAAACAACATGTAATTGTAGGGATGACAATGAGTCATTCGAGGGCGAATAGTATATATATGTTGTCAGATCATAACTTATTTGTGTTTTATCCTTACCTATACTCCCACAAGATTTGAATAGTAAATCAAACCGTACACGCAATCATTATGATTTCGAATATTAGTTAATATAACTGATAATTGTTCTTTTTTATTTTTTTATTTAATGTGTAAAAATTTGCGAGCAGAGTAGCATTATACAAGTGAAAAGATTCAAGTTGGATAGTAAAAAAATCATGGCTCATTATTCATACTATTTGGATTCAAATTTATCCTAGGTCGGATTCGAGGTAGGGGTGGAAGGTCGATCGGTTCGATTATAACCGATAACTGAATGATTGGTTGTCGGTCAACCGAACCACCTCCCAACCCTACCGATCATCGATTGCAAGAGGGCTTAAGTCTTGGGTTATCTCAATTTTCGGTTAACCGAACAACCTCCAAGACCAAAACCATATCATCTAGCCTTCAAACACCGATCGAGTTTTGATTATCTCGTTCATCAGTTAGTGGATAACTGGCCGATTTCTATTGTAATCGGTTGGGTAACCGCTAACCGATTGTACAACACGGAATGTGTGGATTTAGCGGTTGGTGGAGCCACTTCTCCCCATCACTCTGGTGCCATTGGTATTGTCGGTCTTACAGGTGTTGTTCCGACATTTGCTTTTGGTTCTTTTATTCGAGGAGTGTCGGATTCTGGCTTGGTTGAGTTGCTCGCTATACGAGAGGCACTATATTTGCTGCAACGGTGGCATTGGCATGATCGTGATGTTTTACTTACGGGAGATGCCCAAGTGGTCATTGACAAACTGGTTTCGGGTAATTTATGATTTATCGGATGCACGTGCTGACGCAATTTATTCGGAGGTTCATGCGCTACTAGTCCAATTGTCAAAGGTTGTTTTACAATTTACTCTTCGAGATGCGAATTGGGCTGCTCATTTAGTGGCGCAACATGCCCTACGCTTTCCTGGATTACCTTTATTGTTATTCGATTTCTCTTATTTGTTTTATATGTCTTTTTGATAAGTGAGTGTGTCGATCTGTTGTGGCGACCCTTATCCTTGGCTTGTAAATCTACCAAGATTTCTATGAAAAAAAAAATGTTTCTTTGAAACGTGGCGAACGATCAACGATGGAGAAAGCAGGAGAAAAGGTTAGAAAAAGAGGTCAGTGCAAAATCCCGCGATTGCGATTGGCTCCTTTACCCTTTTCGGCTCGGAGTTTAGCAGCAACACGACAAAACAAAAGAATATAAAATAACAAAAGAAAATCCAGCTTCCCGCTCAAGCTTTCCACCCACCCTTCTGCCGTTGCTCAGAAACTCTCATCAGACGATTTTCTGCAGAGCCACAGAACACAAATGAAACGTGAAAACAAAATCAAGCAACTGCAAATAGCTCTCTCTCATTCGAGACGTGTATTTTCCGAACTCAAGAAAATATATAAAAACTCTCGGACAAAGACAAAAAGAAGGAAAACCGTTCCAAAGATCGCCGTTCAGAGCTGAGAGACCGACGCGAGGTTTTCATGAGAGAGAAATGGTATTTTCGAATCGCTTTGCTCACTCGTCGGAGAAGCTAGGGTTAGCTCGTTGCTAGAGAGTTCGATTTCCGAAATGGCGAGCGGGAGAGGGAGAGCGGAAGAGCGCGGTGGTGACGACGGCGGCGACGGGAGCGATGAGGAAGATCTGAAGTGGCGCCGCGTCAGGCGGAGGACGGAATCGAGTGACGACGACGACGACGGTGAGGTCCGTGAAGATAATGACGATCCGAGCGTGAGTTCCGCGGGTGCTGAGTTCGGCGACGATTCGGACGGTCTGGGAGCAGCGCCGGAGCCGGAGGATGAGGCATCGCCGTACTGCTTCGACGAGCTTGACGTTGGAGACGGAGAAGACGAAGACGAAGGAGAAGGAGCGAATCGGACTGTAGAGTTTGCAGCAATGGCCGCGGAGAGACAGATGAGCAGTGAAGGAGAGGAGGACAAGGAGCAGAGCGAGAGAGATCAGAAGGAGAGAGAAGCCGTTGCAGTTCCTAGGAGTGGCGCGTTCTTTATGCACGACGATCGAACTAGTCGTCGAGGTCGAGGCCGGTAAATATTGTATTCTCGCTTCACTCTTGAATTCGAATCTTCGCGCCGGTCTTTGAACTGATTATACGATTTAAATATAGCAGAGCCCCTCGAGCTAGGGTTAGAATAGAGTTGTTTGTGGATTTCAAAACGCCGCGATACTCGTGCTTGGATGCTGCAGTTCCAATAGCTTTCGTTTTTCACATTTTGATGTTCCGTTTCGTAGCTCCCATGGAGTTTTAAGGGTAACTGAAGGTAAAAAGAAGCTGGCATGGAAACAGAAAATGTGGTCATTCAGCTGCTTAACAGCTCATTTTAACCACTACTTTTGGAGATTGTTGTTGGATGTTTGTGTTCTTGTTTGTATTCTGTTCACGTCAAGTGTCAAACCAACAATAATGCATCCATTAGAATGCAGCTAGTGGCGTTTCTTATACTGTGAATCCTGTTGAATCATTCAGAATTGAATGTTCAGGTGACATGTATTTGGCTTTGCTCTCTTCAAACTCTTGTGGTTGAACTTGTACTTAACTAGATTCCTATTCGTCCAGGCAAAACTATGGGTTCAGAAGATTGATTGAACTCCACGACGAAGGAAAATGGCAGCATGATAAGTTCGAACAAATACAGGAATGTGATGACAAGAAGGTTATGGACCATGTCAGAGTCGTGTGCACCAGCTGAATCTTCGTTTTTTTATGTCTTGCAACTCTTTCTATGGTGTGGTTGCAGGATGAACATTTCCGGATGACTGGTTTTGCAATTTGTGCTGCTTATTATAATTTACATTGGTTGTTACTGTGAAGAATAATCAAGACCGATTCTGATACAAACCCTTTCCTTGATGCAACAATCAGAAACCATCAAGAATTGTGAGAGGGAGAGGGCCCATAAAGTATCCGTTGGCCAGACGCTACAGTAGATATCCACCGAAGGAGAATGGGAAGTAAGTTAATGGTTTCAGTCTGAGATGTTCTCTCTTGGTGATGAATTTCATTGACTTGTTTGCTTTAACTTGTCATCAGAGCTTGGATGTCTCGGGAAACAAGATCAAATTCAGGGAGGGCGTTAGCAGAGGCTTCAAGTCAAGTTGGTTCATCTGCATTGAAGAAGGAAGTGTCTGCATCTTATGTGAATTGTGCAGCACGCATGGATAATCCTACAATATCTACTTTCAGTCATGCCATCTCCTCGTTAACTAAAAGAGATGTGCAGAAAAGAAATACTGAAGGAGACTCGCCGAAATCTGTCCTGTCAAAGACTGATCCATCCATGGAAACTGCCTTTGCATCTCGACTTGTGAGGGGTTTGGGTGATTCTACTGGGAGGGACCAGCGTCCTAGCAATGAGTTGATCAGGGAAAATAATCTTGAATCCGTTCAGTGGCAGGGTCAGGGAACTGGTTTGCCATTTTCACCGCAGCATACCTATCAGCATCCTGCTACTAGCCCAAATGGAGGTGCTCTGATGATAAACAACCATGTTCTGCCACAAACATCATTCAACAACTCATTTCCACCATACTTCGGAGGTTGTAGTCCGGAGTATACACTTTTTGGATCACCATCTAGAGCTCTTCTACCGAGTGCATCAGAAATTGGGACATTGTTGGTATCTGCTGGATTAAACACCGAGTTGATCCATCCAGCTGCTGACCGTCAACTAGCTTTTCTGCCTCTGCAGCCAGTAATGACCTGGGCAAATAGTCCTCAATCTCTTCAATGGAATTTGTCTCCTTCATCACAGCATGTTTATCAGTATACGGGTTCTAACCAAAATGGAGGTGCTCTGATGATGAACAACCTTGTTATACCACAAACACCTTTCGGCAACTCATTTCAACCCCAGTTCCATGGTTATGGTCAGCATTTGTATTCTCCTTCTGGATCATCTAGTGTATTCGATAACTCAGAAATGGCAATGGCTTGGAGAGTAAGTGCTGCAGATGGAAGCTATGGAAGAACTTATTCTGGACTTGATACTCATACCAATCAGAACTTTACAACCACTGAGAATCTCATCCCTGGTGTGTTCCTTTCTACCCTTTCTACCTGTTACATCACGTCAACTCTATATTTAGTAGCAGGAATGTGCTCATCTTCTGGGTTAAGAGAAGTCTTCAGGTTAGGATTGTAGACCTTAAGAGTATACTCTTGCTATAATGGTGAATGGTGGGAAGAATTTTGAAGATAAAATGTGTAGCTTGGATGATTAGTAAACAAAAGTTCATGTCCAAATCTGCTTGATATGCTGCTCATCGACAATAATCATTCGGGTTTTCAAAATTTTAAATGCTTCAAATGCAGTAAACCAAGTTAGGGGCCAGTATCATGGATGATAAGTGAACAAATGCTAATGTCCAAATGTGCTTGATATGCTGCTCATTGACAATAAGAAATCTAGTTTTAAAATTTTTAATTGCTTCAAATGCAGTAAACCAAGTTACGAGCCAGCATCATGGTGAGCTTGGGGAAATTGGAATATCTAACCTACCTGCATATTTTGCTGCTGAACAGAATTTCGGGAGCTCTGCTTCTGGTTTGGCATGGTAAGATATATATCACAAACAGTTGATTGGTTTTACTGGTACTAGTGAAGAGATAAATAAAAGCCCCCTCTAAATCAGGACGCTGACATGTCCATTTTCCTATGATCATTCAGGCCGCAAGTCTGGCCAGCCAATGCTGGAAGTGTAAGCTCTGCCTATCCTTCTTCTACCCATCCCACACCCACAACCAGTGCAAACCGCTGTGCCAAGCCAACAGAACCGGAGTCTTGTCTCACCATTACTGGGTCCGTGACCACACAATTTGTAAATTTTCATGAGGGTAGCAACCCTGTGGATGGATCTGGTTAGTTTGGTGGCATGTTCTGTGTATGAATGTTCAAAGAATATTTTTAATTTTGATTATTATTTCCCCCATTTTCACGGGAGCTTTGCATTGCAGAAATGCCAAATACATCACGTGGAGAAGGAGGCAACAAGCTTCAGAGGCAAGTCAACCATTATAGTCTGCTTCAAGTACGGATTTATCTAGACCCCTCAAATCTCTGTACTGCTTCCTCAGGTACACGAAAATGAATTTCGATGATCGACGTAAGTAGATCAAGGTCGCATTAGTGTAGAAGCAGGTCAGAACCTGGTCCCTCGAATTTTACATAGAACATGCATTTTCCCACTCTCTCCCTTGTTTCACTATCCTGTTGAAGTTTGTTGTGGCAGGAAACTTGCTGGTGATCATCGCAACTCGAATGGTTCGACATTGCTTGACTCTTCATACAACTAGATTACCGAAGAGGAAATTCACATTTTTTGTAGCTATAGAGAGCGGAATTTTGTCTTTCGGGCTCGTGCAGATACCCACACAGACTCTTTTGAAACATTGGAGGAGAAGAAGGTACAGGTAAATTGGCTCCCCCTATTCCCACAAAGGAATTTTTGTAAGCACCAACCTCTCCCTAACTCTCAGTCTCCAACGCTTTCATCATATATTTTCATATGCAGCCAAGCATCGTATGTTTTTTTAGCTGTTACCAGTCACTGATCAAATGATTCAAATTAGTGAATAGATTAACCTTTGCCATTTAAAATTTTGGTCTCTCTCTCTCTCTCTCTCTCTCTCTCTCTCCGACTTTTGATGGTTGTCCTTCGAAAACTTCCAATCCATAACGTGGTCAGCTTGTAGAGCTCTTCATGTTCTGTAAGCCAATAATCAAATGCGTTGGCCAGTAGATGGGTGTCAATTATTTGTGCTGACAACCATGTATGTGGAAATTGAAAGGCTATCTAGCTGGCGTCTCTTGTATTTTGTTTAGTTGTCATTAGTATTTTGAATCCTCATCTTCACTTTACTTGTCGGTGAATTACTTGCGTTCGTTTTCAGTTTTCATCATCTAGCTCCTACAACTTTTTGTGTTAGTTATTTAGGGAGCGGTGCTGAAATTTTGCGGCAAATTCTAAGAACTGGGATAATGCATATACGTAGTGAATGAACTGTGCTGCTGTCCTGCAGCTTTTGCTTAGCAAAGTAGGCAGTTGCAACTTTTCAAGTCATTGACCGTGGAAAATGATGGGGAAGCTCCCTATTCCATGTTGTCAGTCTTCTTTGGTCTGTGGCGTTTCCCTATTTGTTTTGGAGGTGTGTCTGAGATAAGTCCTGTCTAATTTGAGTCGAACTCATGTGGATGAATGTTATTCGTTTCGCGGATAATTCAGAAGAGAAATTTATCGCGATTTCAATATTTGGACCAACAATGTTCATATTTTTCATGTCTGAGTGTGAAAAATTTCATCACAAACAATTTACCTTTATCAGTTTCTTTCGAAGGGTTTTGTCCGAAATTTCTGAATGTAAATATCAAATTCGCTGCATTTTATTAAAAAAAATCAATTAAGTCCCTTAACGTATTTGATTTCGGTCGAAAATGAACCTTTGATTGCATTAGTGCTTATCATTTTAACCGAAACCGAAACCGTCAAAGGCTTTTCGGTTTTCACCTATTAAGGAAACCGATAAGCCTATAAAACTGAAACCCAACCCACCCTACTTAAGGATACATGAACTGAAGAAAGATTTGATGAATGTACGAAGCACAAATAGACACGAAATGGACAGAGAAGAGCCGTGGAGCGCAGCAATGGTGAGAACTTAACCTCATTTGAGGACACGACAGCTCCATAACTGGGGCTGGTGCGGTGCCATACCTTACCTGAAATGAAAGTTCACTAGTCAGTCAGTGTGGGACTGTGACATAAAGTCACCATTTTTTTTTTTTTGTCTTCTATAATACAATTATACATGACACTTACCATTGTCAGTTTTGTCAGTAGAGTACAATTCATGCACTAGCAAGACTGCAAAAAAAAAAAAAAAAAACATTCGTGAATTGGCATCCAGACAGTCCGCCTGAGCCTTGTGAATTGTGATCCCCATAAACATGGCCTCTGAATTTGCGTTGGTTGTTTTTATCGTTTTACTAAACTATCGAGTTATTGAGGCATGTTGATGTTTGTCGGTGTTTAGTACAGATGAACTGCATATTCGAGATTCAAATCGCTGAGTGAAATTATTGGTGTTTAACATTATAAAAGCAGTTGGAACATGCGCCTAAACTTTTAAGTTGGTAATTTTATGGGGGAGGTGGAGAGCTTCTCGAAACCAAATGAGACTGGAATGTATATTGTGAATTAGCACCATTTTTATGAGCGCGTTCGTTTCAAAGAGCCAACAAAGTAAAAAAAATGTGTCCATATATAATCTTAATGAGGCGTGGGACTTTTGCATCTAACAATGTAGACTCAATTTGAGAGTCACTAATTTGTTAAAATCAACCAACCATACAAATTGATCCATCATACCCTAGATTCTAATCTTGGAGCCGATCATCGTCACATAGAACAAAGCTGTTTGAGTGGTGAGACGAGTACAATTGTACAAAGACCCATTACCCTAAAGAAAATTCAACAGTTCAAACATTGAAAACCAGGCTTAGGCTTAGAGCTCGTAGATATACCAATAATTCAGAGCCATCATCACATTTCCACTATTCTATGAAAGCATAAAAAACAAAGGCTTCTCCATAACTTCGACCCATCTTATCATGCTCCCGTCTTTGCATGGTCTTTGAGAACACCTACAAATCTAGGCAAAAGAGCAACGTGTTGGCCTCTAGATACTTTTTTTTTTTTTTTTTGATGTAAACTAGATACTCTTTTAGCCTCAATAGCTCATTGAAAATTTAGAAAACTGAGATGGACTTTTTTTTTTTGGACTTAGTGTGGCCCTAAGTAGTTTTTTTTTGACAAAGATTACCAACTTTTATTCCACCAATCAAATGAAAGACGAGAAACTTGATTACAAATCTTAAAGAAGATCAGAAATGAGGTCAAGAATATTAATCCAATCATTAGGAAGCGTTGCTCTAGCTTTTGAACGTGCTACCCAATCTGCTCTAACATTTAGTGCTCGGGGCACTTCTGTGATTTTAATGAGAGGGTTTGCCCTAAGGATTGCGCTAATCGAACCGATCCAAGCCGCACATCTCCAAGGCCAACGAGAGCGATCGTACTCCAAAGCTTTGACTAGCACCTGACAGTCGGATTGGACCGTACACTCGGATCCATATTCTTGAGCTAATTTCACTCCTTCAAGAAGGGCTTTAGTTTCAGCTTCAATTGGGGTGGAACAAAGAAGATTCTCAGCTCGCCCATCACACACTTGTCCATGGTGGTTAACGACCACAACACCATATGCCGCCGGCTGGGAGTCGCTAATGAACGACCCATCACAGTGAATCACCAAAGAATGATTGCTTGGCGGTGGATTCGTAGGAGACTGGGTTCCCCTGAGCTGAGTGGGCAGGGGAGGTGGGGACCTCGGGCACGAATTCCATTCAGAAAGCTCTTTATAAGTAAGTTGGCACACCTGCGGAGGCCAAGGCCTTCGATTCTTGAAAGAGCAATCGTTCCTCGCCTTCCAGATATTCCAACACAGGAACACAATATGGATCAAGGAGCTATGCTGGATAACATCTTTGAGGGAGAAGAACCAGTCAAGGAACAAGGATCCCTGAGGGGGTAAAGGGAGAGACGGAAACAGAGCATTCCAGGCCGCTCTGGCATGTGGGCACTGGAACAGGCAGTGATTGATGGATTCGACGGGATTCTGGCATACCTGACACGTAGAGTTGGGAGCACATTTCCTCTGGAGCAGTCTCTCTTTCGTAGCTAAACCATTCCTGGAGCACCTCCACACAAAGAATTTCAGCTTTGGGGGGAGGTGGAGGCTCCAAATCCACTTCCATTTTTCAATGTTTCCGCTTGGTTGCGTATTGGTAGTGGCTCTATGAATCGAGTGGTACGCAGATTTCACTGTAAACTTTCCATCAATATTGTAGTTCCATGCCTTGTTTTCTCTCTTCAAATTATTGATAAGTTTTCTTCTCAATACAAGGATCGATTTCCATCGTGGTTAACTTTTTTTTTTAATGTCTCCAATGGGGTGAGGTGTGTGAGTTGGGGGAGAGGGGGAGAATAAGTTTGGGTATCTCGAACAACGATGATAGTCAAGTCCGCAGTAATGATTTTGGGTAGGTAAGATTTTTACCAAACAAAAGAACATGTTCGACGTTAGGAAGAACGTGGGAGCAGTCAGTCAATCTATCAACATCTTAGATGATTCGTGAAATTTTTTCCAAATATTGAGAGCTTCCGGCTCCAAGGCTTGCAGTTAGGTTCTCCTTCTCGCTTCCGACTCCAGGGCTTTCATTTCCAATTAATATGGGCAATTGAGCCTAACTAGTTGAAAGATCAATTCTTGCACTTATTTAAAAATTCATAGGGTGAAATATCACTGAAGAAATGCTTAAATTGGAGAAATACAAATTATTATTGAGAAATATTGAAATAGAATGGGCCAGGAACGGAGTCGGGACCGGTCAAAAGAAGTGCCACATGCCCCATACCATACTACTACAAATAATCGAGTAATACCCGTCACAGTACGAATCAGATCGGGTAATACTCGACGAATCAAATTCAAATTGTCATCCTACTTGGGTCACATGACACATGCTTTCAACATATTAAAAGGACTCGAACAAACTTCTCTTCATCCTTCCACTCACTCCACTTCTTCTCTTCTCACATGAAACCCTCTGCTCCAAACCCTGCCTCCAGAATTTAAGGTGGCAGAGAAGAGAAACACCATTCCTCTGCTTCCCTCACTCCCTCCCTCCCTCTTTTACATCCACTTCCTGCCATTTGGATTCCTTACAGCTTCTCCTTTTTATACATCTAGCAACTCCAAAAGGTTCTTCTTTTCAACCATTTTGCTAACCAGTGAGCGATTCACAAGTGGTCCTTTTGTCCTTTCTTCTCCTTCCTCTTCTTCTTATTCCCACTTCCCACTTAGTTTGACTTAATACTCACTCAATTGGATTAAAGAACTAGTAGATCTGATCCCACAGTTGGTCTTGTGGAAACAGAGTAGGCTTCGAGCTCTGTTTTTTCCCCACAGAAAGCAGGGGAAGAGAAGCAGTACACAACTATACATCCATGGGGAAGCTGATGGGATTTGGGAAGGTGTTCGACCGACTCTGCCTGTCTCCATCGCCGCCCAATTCGAATTCATGCTTCTGCGCGAACTCCCTGGAAGCTCATGACGATGGTGATGATTACGGGGAAGTGTTTGAGCAGAAGGAGCCATTGATGATGATGGGGAGTACTATTGAGAAGAGCAACAGAGTGGTGAGGCTCAAAGATGTCGTCTCTGTTAACCCGAATCAGACTCTGGCATTTCAAATCAAGCCCAAGGTAGCCTTTCTTTTTGTGTACGGGCTATGGCGGCAGCTTAGTTAGAGAACTTCCTCCTCTGTTTCCTGTTGGTGATTCTTAGTTGTTTGTTTGTTGTGGGTTTTTTGCAGATGGTGGTTCTGAGGGTATCTATGCATTGTGGTGGCTGCGCCAAGAAGGTTGAGAAGCAAGTTTCCAGGATCGAGGGTGAGAAACAATGATGATTTCTTTCTTCCTTCCTTCTAAATCAAATCATAGGGATATGTTTAGGGGTCGTTTGGATTAGGAATTTTAATAATGAGAGATTTGGATGTAAATCTCTCGTTTAAAAAACCTGGGAATTAACATGTGGGATTTTGGGCAAATAAGGCGTTTGGAAATAAATGAGAGTTTTTAGGTAGGAGCCAAAAAATACTAATTTGCCCTTTTTCGTTCCCCTATTCTTGCGTCCCTCTTACCCTTCCCCAGTTCAGATAGCGACGACGAGGTTTCCCGTCATCGGGCCGCAGGGAAATGCAAAGCCATCGATTTCAACGGCGGAACTAGATCCCTTATTCGTGGGTGTGCGAGTAGTGTTTTCGGCGGAATCTTCACCAACTCACCCCAGCGCCAGCGCCCCAATTGTCACTTCGCCAGAAAATCTAATCCTATGCGTCATCTGACGAACTTGGACGGAGAAGAAGAATATGCAGAATCGACGACGCAACCTCCAGATTCGACGACCCCTCTCAAGCAACGGCGGCGACGTTGTGGGTGATGGGGTTCCCGACGCGGATCTCACCGGCAGATTTCTTTTGGTTTCGTCGGAGGAGGAGAAGAAGGAGAATCGATCGAGAGGGAGGCGCCGATGAAGGAGGCAACGAGCTTTGAGAAAAGGAAGATATGATTTCGGGGTGGAAGGAAGAACGAGTGAAGGAGATGGACGAAGAGAGTGTCGGTGAAGGAAGAAGAAGAAAGAAAGGAGGAAAGAACGAAGGGAGGGTAGAGTTTGGAAAAGAGTAATAAAAAATGAGTGATGGACATCAGCTATTTCAAAAACCCACATCTGAGAGATTTTAAAATCTCTAACGTCCACAATCTCTCGTGTTTCCAAACGCAGTATTGTTTTAAAATCCTGCAAAATGAGAGATTGTTTTAAAATCTCTCACAAATCTCTCATAACAATCATGCATCCAAACGACCCCATAAGGTGAATGTAGGAATCACAAATTCGTGATTTAAGGCGGGACAAGATATGTGAAAAACTCGTAATTATTTGTTATCATTATTGGACCGTGCTTTTCTGGGTCATTAGAGCAAAATAGTCCCTATTAATATTCATAAACCACATATTCTCACATGGTTAACAATTAGTTAACAATGTATTAATTGAACAAAACAGTTTGATTAAGAATAATAATGTGTGTATGGGTTGGCTGCAGGAGTGAGCTCATACAGAGTGGACCTGGAGAGCAAGAGAGTGGTGGTGATTGGAGACATACTTCCTTCTGAAGTCTTGGCTACTGTCTCCAAGGTCAAGAATGCTCAGCTTTGGATTTAATCTCCTCTTAATCATTCATTAATTAATCTCCCCCGCCATTCCCATTTTGTTGTAAATGTATCCAGAATCCCCATTATGTAAAATTCATCAATTCTCTCGATTGAATGGATTTTATGATAATAATCACGACTTTATTGGAGAATCGTTGTTATGAACTCTTAACTGTCTAATCTAATACAACAGTAGTTTTCTATCTCGTTTTGTAACGGAACCCCATGCATGTACATAGTATTCGGGTTTTCTACTAGGTTTGTCTGGCATCTGCCACTTAATTAACTTATCGAAAAAGGATGTTTGAGACAGCAAATCCAAGCAGTACCACGAGGAATCAAAGAGTAAAAAATCTTCGAACAAAGGGTTCTACGAGTTTTGAAGCTCGAGAGTCTGTGATGCAATGGTAGAGCCACGTTGAGATGACTTCATGAAGAAATCTCACTGTCCATGGAAATTTAAGTCGATCCAACGGTTGAAACATAGACTTCATGAAGAAAAAAACACCAGGCGTCCAGGCCAATCCCTGGTTGGGTACAGGAAATGCAGGCTGCAATCTGCAAAACCGTTTCAGTTTGTCAATTGGCCCAACCAGGCTTGCAGAACAGTTTGTTCAATTACTTATGAATGGGCCCATTCCAGCAGGCTCGCATTTCCAGTATGGCTTGTGGGCCCAAACTGGCCTGCCTGCATGCATTGCCTTGTCGGATATCAGCCAGGATGCTTGGTAGTTGCCTAGTTGGTACTGCAAATGAACCGAGATATTCACAAGCTTTCTTAATTCGTTCGCTAGGAAAAAAAAATCGTTTGGAACTCGACTTGTTCGCTAATGATACGATATTGAACTGAGTTTTATTCAGTTCGTGAGGTTTGAGAGCTAGCTCGATGCGGGTGGCATGTATTGTTGAGCTCAATTACGAACTAGTTCGTTTAGAGTTCACGAGATGTCTCAACATTATGTATAGAGAGCCAACTCGACTATCAAGTACCAATTCATTAGCGAGTTTAGTACCCGTTATCTTAGATACCGACTACCGGCGATCTTGGATTTGATTGTTATTCCTAGAAGCGGTTTAATAGTCATTATTGCTAGTTGATAACGTGGGTCCATATCTTGAAATGGCGTCTCATACTCTCATTGTTCATTTTTTTAATCTTCGCCAAAAAAGCCAGTCAAAAGTCAAAACGCCATCCGGCCAAAAAACCAGTCCACCCGAAAAAGCGCCGAATCTCAGTCAGTCGCCATGGCCGGACTCCTCACCCTCTTCTCTTTCTTCCTTATCCTCCCACTCTCCGCCCAATCCGACCCGAACCCGATCCGCGTCCCGCCGACCCAAGCCCACGCCGAGCTCACCACCTACGGCTTCCCCATCGGCCTCCTCCCCACCTCCGTCCAGTCCTTCTCTCTCAACAAAACCTCCGGCGAGTTCTCCCTCGACTTCGGCTCCTCCTGCAAGATCACCCTCCCTCCCGACAACTACCTCGCCACCTACTCCAAGACCGTCAGGGGCAGGATCGTCCAGGGCCGGATCGCCGAGCTCGACGGGATCCGCGTCCGTGCGTTCTTCAAGTGGTGGTCGATCACCGGGATCAAGTCCGGCGACGGCGAATTGGTGTTCGAGGTCGGGATGGTGACGGCTAAGTACCCGGCCAAGAACTTCGACGAGAGCCCTGAGTGCGAGGGCAAGCGCTCGTCTTCTTGAAAAAAGGTTCGATTTCGTCCCCAATTTTGACCTAATTATGAATTGAGAAGTTGTTAGGGCATCGAATTTTTTTTGTGGGTTTTTTTTTCTATTCGATCTCTTTTGTATTGCCTTTGGAGTTCGATTGGATGGTGAATATGATAATGGATTCATTTTGCCTTTACCGAATTGCTCTTTCCTTTATGATCCCAAAACTGAAGTGGCGCTCGAAAGTTGCCTTAAAAAGTTTCCATGATTTGGCTTTGTGCTTGCCAAAAGAGGAATTGGACGGTTCATTGGAGCATCTCCACTATTCAATTCCTTATCCTCTGCATTGTTTTATTATTGCTGTGGGTTGTCGCGTTTCGTTAGTTCATTATTGGTGTGGTTTCAGTATGTCTTGCTGAAAGATTGGCTTTTTGCAGATGCCATTGGTAAGTATTTGCCTGATGTCTGTTAGACTGTTAGATTTCGTGCAAGCTGTTAACTTTAATGGGGTTTCTGATTGATGGGCATGGTAGATTAAACTGGATGAATGATAGTTAGTTCGAGTTCAGATTGTAGGTCTTTCATTTGCAATGATACCCTTGGTTCTGAAGGAAGTACGAAATCCGATATCATGACTTGTAAATCTCATGAACTGACAGCGGGCTGAGACATATTGGTTTCGGAGCTTTTAGCTATACTTGTTCTTCCCAGTTCTTTTCTCTATACGATTCCCCTTCCCGGGTCTCACCTTGAAATTGAAACTACTTCAAGACCCTGTTGCAGAGAAGTCGAGTCATGCTGCTTGGCGCAAGTACTTAGAGAGGGATCTAACTTTACAATGAAGAAATAGAGAGTTACTAAGAAGATGTGTAGCAACAGAAACTCCTGTGTCACTACTCTAGTTCAGCTAATGCCTAATGTTGGTTTTCCACATTGGTATATGTACAGATGGTAAATACAGCAGAAAAGTGAGCTTTCCTATTACCTCATGTATGTGCTAAGACTACTGCTGCATCATTTCTGATCTTCTATGTGTTAGTCTGCGTTCTTCACTATTTGCTATGTCTATTGTTATCAAAATTGCTTCTTCTTCTTCTTCTTCTTCTTTCCTCCATGAGTCTAGATCTTCGAGCTAACCTGTCCTCTCCCTGTTTGCAGAAGTCGGGATACATCGCGTTGCGTGGATAGCATTGCTCCCTTCATCAGGTTAATAGGACTATCAAACTGTTGATGCAAGATAAAAGTTGCAAGACGTGTGCCCTATAACTAGGGAAGGTTCATGACATAAGACTCCTGATCATGTTCCTTCATTAGTTTTCATGTATCATGTATATAATATACACAATTACGCTTGGATTCTGTAGTAATGTTGAGCTGATTGTACTTTCTAGTTTGTGCTTGTGGAAATTGTATCCACTGCTATGTTAATGAACGAATAACTAATTTGATGGTTGGTCGCGCGAACTGAATTTGGATTTAAATCTCGCATTCGAACCGATTTCATCTCGATAATTAGCCATGCAGAGTTAGAAGTATAGATGGATCACTAACAATAATGTAGAGTTGGTAGAAGAACTGAACTCTGTCGTTCTTGCTGTCGATTTCCACAATTAACAAGGTAATTAATTGTTTGAATCTGGGTTTTGAAGTGGGCATATTTTCGATAGGACGAAGCAGGCAGGTCCGTTACTTGGAATCGTAGTAAGCGGGTTACGTACGTGAGATGCCAGCCCCGTCATTTTCCATGTGTACGTAATTATTGATCCCGATTATTATTATTATTAATAATTAGATGAATACTGATATCAATAATAATAATTGTGGTCCTTGTTGGAAATTATCGCAGCCTTACAAAACACTCTATCAGTACCACGTCCGTCCGTCCGTCGTTTTCCTTGTGACAATATCTTTTTTTTTCTTTTCCCATTATGGTCGCAGCCAACTCCACTTCCACAGTTCCACTGACCAGCTGTTTTTCGTTATAATGATTAATGAATGGCTCAACTTGCACTACATCACCATGCAGATCCAGGCCCCCAAATTCTTAGATTTCTAGTTTTTTTTTTTTTTAGGATCGTTTAGCTTGTCAATCACAAGGTAATACCATGATAACGAAGGGGTCGTTTGCTTCATGGATTTAAAAATGAGGATTTTGTAATTTAAAAACCCAAAGATTTATCAAGGATTTGAGGCATCATGGATTTGTAACAATCCTTTGTTTGTTGGGATGTTTTTATCATGGATTTAAAGGTGTGAGATTTACTACTTGAAGTCAAAAATTACATTACTGCCCTTTTCTATATGTTTGACATGTTTATGATATGTACACAAAACAAGGACAAAACTTCAAAATTACCTTACTATCATTTTCTATATGTTTGACATGTTTATGATATGTACACAAAATAAGGACAATACATACTAATAAGCATAATGTTGCCACATGGACAATAATAATAAACGAGAAAATTCTGTTTTAACTTTTAACGTAACATAATCAATTACCAATTCTTTGTCTTCCTTTTCAAAAGTGACATATAACAACATATATTAGAATCGGGAGAACAAAGAATTACACGTTCCATGAAAAGGTCAAAGAAAACTAGAACACAAGAAATGATATAAAAAATCTAACTCATATTTGCAAATTAATTGAACGTTTATATTATTCATTTATTGTTAATTATAATGTATAATAGTTAAATTTGAGGGCAACCTTGGAATATTAAAAGTGCATGAGGGTATATGGGTAAAATCTCATCAATGATTTATGCCATATTTCAAATCCCACATCAACATGTGGGATTTATAAGTCCGTGGGGTCCACGGATTTGGACCCTTAAAATCCGTGGGCCCCACGGATTTGGTCTCCAAAAAAGGTGCAAGCAAACAACGGATTGTACCTAAATCCTTGATAGTTGGTTTTTTGGTACCAAATCCATGTACCAAATCCTTGAAGCAAACGACCCCTAAGAGTTGGTAGTAGTTCGTGTTGGAGGTACAATAATAGCAGTAACAATAATAGTACGTAGATTATCTGAATAGTAGCCATCTGTAGTGGATTTGTAGTAATCTATCATAGTTGCAGTCATTGTGTTTTGTAGTTGTAGTAGTTAGGGCTGGCAATCGGTTTTCCGGTTAGCGGCTAACCGATCGGTTTCGACCGAACCGACCGGTTTTCGGCTAACCAGAAACGGTCCTTAATTATATTCGGTCGGTTTTCGGTAGCGAGGGGAGAAGGCTCGGCTAGCCGACCAACCGAGGTCGGAAACCGGCGGTTAGCCGACTAACCGAGCCTTTACCCAGCCCCCTAAACGACCCGTCCCCCTCAAAACGACCCCCAAACCCTAGCCGACCTCTCTCTTCTCAACCCTTTCACCTCTCAAAATGAAAAGTGAAAATCCAGAAGAACAAGAAGAAAGAAGAAAGAAGAAAGAAATCCGCCGCCCTCCTCCAGTCCTCCATCGCCGCGCCTCTAGTCCGCCATCGCCGCCGCTCCTCCAGTCCGCCATCGCCGCCGCGCCTCCAGTCCGCCATCGCCGCCGTGCCCTTCGAGTTCCGCGCCGTCGCCGGACGACTGGCCGACCTCACGGGAGACCAGCTCGCCCTCGCGGTCAACGACAACGCCACGCATGCAGCCTCCTCTCCCGCGCCGTCATCGCCTCCGTCGTCCTCCTGCCGTGGATTGGATTTCGGTGGCCGTCAGGTGAGCGCCTCCTCTCCCGCGCCGTCATCGCCTCGCCGTCGTCCGTCGTCCTCAGCAGGCGAGCGCTTCCTCCCCCGCGCCTTCGTCGTTGGCGAATGGGGACTGCTGCTGCTTTTTCCAATTTGAAATTGAGAGATGGAAGGAGAGAGAAGGAAGGAGAGAGAAGGCAGATCTAAAATGGAGAAAGGTAAGGAGAGAGAAGCAGTTGTTGTGACTGTGAGGAAGATGGGGATGATTTTCTTTAATGTATTTTTTATTTATTAGTTAAACGCAATCGTTTTGAAAAGAAGGGGGTGGGTTTTTTTTGCGGCTAACCGAGCCTAAAACCGAAACCGGCCGGTCGGTTGGCCGGCTAACCGTGGCTTTCTCACGGTCGGTAGTCATAGGGAGAGTCTCGGTTTAACCGATAACCGGGATTTCGGTTTTCGGTTAAACCGAAACCGACCGAATGACACCCCTAGTAGTAGTACGAATAGAAGTGACAAATGGATTGATCCATGGATTGGTGGATTGGATTGGTGGATCCATGTATCAAATGGATTGGATCCAATGGATTGGTGGATCCATGGATCAAATGGATTGGTGGATTGGATTGGTGGATCCATGTATCAAATGGATTGGATCCAATGGATTGGTGGATCCATGGATCAAATGGATTAGTGGATTATCTATGAATCCAAATGACATCCTCAACCTTGGACCAATATGTAAAATGTGAAAAGTTTAGGTACTAAAAGGTCATGATGAAAAATTTAGATACCAAAAATGTAATTTTCCAATGATATATTTCGTATAAAAATTAAATTTTGGGTACCAAAATGTAAAATATAAAAAGTATAGGTACCAAATCATAATTTGCCATTTGGATCCAATGAATTGGATTAGGTGGATATTTTTAATGGATTGGTGGATTAGATTGAAAATTGCCACCTCTAAGTACGAATATGGCGTGAACTACTACAACTCTTGGTTAGCACCGTATCTGATTCCAAGTTTTTAACTTTAACGGTAGTTGGCACGTGTAATGACAAAAATGGTTGCTGGTAAATTATCAATAAGCGCCTTATCCAGCAAAACCTGATTGGGTTTGCTTAGATCACTTAAAGTCTTCCATCGGGTAACTGACTTATTAATGGGAACCTTAATTGATATAAATCTCAAACTCAAAACAAAGATTGAAGGTTTGACTTAGAGAAATATAATGAATGGGGATTATCATTATCCAGCTGAGGGCAAATAAAGAAGAGGAGATAACGTGCAAAAAAAAGGGGATTATAAAATAAAATAGTGAAGTAAAGTCCAATCCAGAGTTTGGGTGGGCCTGTCGGCAAACTGGCCGCTTTACGTATTTCGGTTGTTGGGGGCGCAAGTGGGCCGCTGGGCGGCATGCAATCGCCGTTGACTTGCAGCTGCCGGACGGCCGCCAGCTGAGACACGCAGGGTTCTTCCTGTTAGAGTACGAGCAGAACATATAGAGTCATCGGGATTCGAATATGCGATCTCTCCTTCATCGAAGGTTCTGATACCATTTCAAAAATCAGATGATAAAAATAATTAGGGTTGTTGAAAGTGGTTCAATAATCGATCATATAGAGTTTACATAATAGTACTCATAGTATAACACAATACTACTCGTACTACCCATACTCTAATACTTCGAACTAGCAAAAAATGGTAGCAATTTTTATCTTTTTGCAGAGCGATTTTGTCTGCTTGTCCTTTTGCATTTTGCTGCATTGATGCAGAGCTCGACTCCTGGGCATTGATTGTGCATTCAAAAACATGCCCGACATACCACGAGCTTTTAAGACAACTGTTAGTATTGGGAGCTGGAAGGACTTTAACATGCTCGATTTTACGATCAAATCGACTCTGATGGCGTATAAAAAATGAACACGGAACTCAATAATTCGAATTGGATTATAAACCAATCGATCTCAATAAACCGAGTTGTTGTGAGATTCTGATTAGGAATTAGGATCGTGAAGTCCCAACAAGTATAAGCATGGCATGTATGGCTGTATGACATGGCAATCCTTTGCCCTTCCTTTTTCTTTTCTTTATTGACTTTTTATCTTTTCCCAATAAGATTCCACCGCCACGTGTCACTATCTCCTCCCCCCTTTCCCAGTTTCTATCATCCTTTTCCTTCTTTCTTAACCCAATGAAACTAATCTCGACTCAACACATCCCACTTATTTGTGAATTTTAATTAACTACCTCGGATATAAATCTAATTAAACTTTTCTTGATTGTATTCGCCATTTGGGTGAAAAAACAAAAATACCGTTTGGTTGTGTAATGCTTTATAACTATTTATTTTATTTTTTATCACAAAAAATATATCTAACTTCTTACTCAAAACTTTCATATTATATTCTTATTTGGTCTCTAATTTCACCGTTACAATAAATATTGGACGAATTTTGAACATACCGCCAATGAATTGCACTGTTACCATGCATGATGAGGAAATTAATTGGAGTGAGAGCCTATCATCCTATCACTTTTCCATGTCTAATTACCATATGTTCCATATTTTATAACCTAAAATTAAATATACACATCTCATAATCCAGTTGATTTCGATAACTTGAATTGTTGAGATACATTCATGTATGGATCTTTATCAACTTTCTTACACCTACTTCCTTACACTAGAAAAGGGGCCTATACTCTAATACCATGACCTTCACGTACCTCCCCGACTTCCTCCGCAACCCTCCCAGCAACGGATATAGAGGGGCCGTCTCCGGGCCACGACCCAGCCCTCCCTCGATCCAGAACTAATATAGTACTTGTAAATTTTCGTTTATCGGTATTTGTTTTAGTGTTTTTCGTATTACGGCCCAACCCTCTCGTTTTTTTTCTCTATTTTTTTTACCATTTTCGTGGGCTTCGCCATTGACCATGATTGTGTTGAATTACGACTTAGTTAGTTGGCAAGGTAATAGACTTTGTCACGCCTACAAGAAACCCTAAAAACAAGAAGTTGCAAGGTCGAGGGAACTGCAAAATTGGATTCAACGGTACGAACAGCCGGGAGAGGGAGGGAAGAATTATGCATGTAAATCGTAACGTAAAATAAAAATAAAATTAATTTTATGTTTGTCCTTTGATCAGACGGCTGATATTCCATCAGACGGTGACGTAGGATTTGGTCCCACTTGTGCAGCCAACAAAAGCCCCGGCAGAAAAAAAGAAATTATTATCTTACTATAAACAAAAAACAAAAATGAAAAACAAATCTCATTACACCCCTTCACTTTCACGCGCCGTCTGTCGTGTAGGGTACCCTCCACGTACCAATAAAACAACGCGACAGTGCTAACTGCTAAACGTACTTTATCTGCTCCCACCTCATCCAACCCCAGCCTTTCCAACTCAGCCCGACACTTTACGCGCCGCCGCACGCGCGTCGACTGTTTTCCTCCGTCCGTCCACCACCCTCTCTCTCACGCTCTAAAACGTGACCATCCCTCTCTCTCTCTCTCTCTCTCGCCCAAAAACTAACAACAAAAGCAAAGGAGAGCCAATCTCTCTCACTCTGCATCTTTGGATTCTCGCGCAGGACCAATTTCTTCTTCCGCCTCCTTCCTCCTCCGTCGTTTGGCCGTGGCTGGCCTCCCATTGAAGAAACCCTAGATGCTGCTGCTGCTGCTTCAGTTATCCACTCGCTGCTGCCGGTACGTTCTCTTCTCTCCGTCCGGTTTCTCTTTCTTCCCCCCTTTTTTCCTTCCTGCGCTGCTTGAGGAATTTCGTGTTTCGCGTTCGCCGGAAGGTCTTTTTTTACGTGAGCTCAGATCCGTTACTGCTGCTAGCTTTGCTTTCGCTGCCGGCTTCCGGCTCCGACTCGGTTACCGCGCTGTGGTTTCGCTCCGTCTAGTTTCTCCTTCCTCGGCTACGGCCGGGTGAAATTTGTGTGTGTTTTTATGCGGTTTTCGGCATTAGCTGATTCGCTTTTTTGTTTTCACGTTTGACGTTTTTTTTCGGGGGAATAATTGTGGTTTCCACGTTGAATTCACGCAATGTATGAGAGAGCGGAACTGTAGAATGGCCGATGGAGCTCCGTCTCTGTTGCATTGTTTCCAATTGGAGCTTGTTTACTCCAATTTGTTCTTGCTCGCTAGGCCTTTTTTACCTTCTCTTTCTCGCGAAGTTTTGATTCCAGCTGCCCTACTGTTGGCTTTACTACGGGCTTAGGTAGTTTTGTTGGTGGAGTATGTGTGCGGTTTCATTGGTCATTTTGTCGTTACCAGTATCCGCATTCCGCATTCAGCATTCAATCTACAGCGAAATTCCTTTGTTCGATTGAAGGCGGCGAATTGGGGACATTTCGTCCTTCCCCCTTAGCTTAAGTCTATGATGAACTTGTTCTAATTAGTTCTTCTGTTCTTTTCCCCCCTCCCTCTTCCTTTTTCTTTTGGTGTTTTGCCCCTTCCTGAGAAGACAGAAGAGCTTTGTTGGATTCTGTGTTTCAGAAGATCCTGGTGGGGATTATGTATTTGACATTGTAGCTTCTTTTGTTCACAGGCAGGGCTGCAAAAGCTATTGAGCTGGCTTGTTTGAATGGACTTGGATGATAAGTTTCATGGGAAAGGTATGGCCTTTTCCCCTGTCACATGGACTCAAGGTTGGCTTGTATTGGTAGCTACAAAGTAGAGCAATTACATTGAATGAAATGGGTCGTGCAGTTATTCCAGTGATGTGCATGCTATATTGTTGCTGATCCGCAGTGTCGGTTCATCGATGTCGATGTGAAGGTCAATTGGGGGACCTGGGTCCATACTATAATTTTCTGTTAATGTGTGTCTGTACTCTGGACCATCATATTGAATTTTTTTTCTTTTCTAAAAAAAAAATGATTCTGTGAAAATCAAATAAGAAAGAATGATTCCGTGAAGCTGATCTCTGGCCAGTCAGTTCTGTGCTTTTATGTTAGATGTCCTAATTGCATCGTAATATCATTTTCCAGTCTGAAGAACGAAAGCAATTCACTTCATCTTTGACTCTTGTCTTGGTTTCTTCATCTGCATGGTTTGTCGTTTTACTTTCTTATTATTGACTACAGTTTATTGCTTGGTTTGGAGAATCTTAGAAACTTCATAATTTCAGATGAGCTTTCTGCATTTAACGGGAAAAGTTATTAAGAACGAATTTAAGTAGACTCTCAGTTTCTAATGTTGGTGCCTTGTCTCTCCAGTTTCTGGCGTTCAAAGCCTTTCTTCGAGTGTCCAAAGCACCCCAGAGAAAAATGGTAACTCCGATGATGCTTCAAGAAGTCCAGAACTAATTCAAGAGTTTCCGAAATCTTCGGGTCCCAAAAAGGAACTTCTGCGTACTTGTTTTGATAAGGACAAGAAGCTATCAGCATCGTTTAAAGGCAAAATGACGGAACTGAAGTCGTTGGGTAGCAAAACAATAAAGAAGCAGGAATCCAAGAAAACGTCTCCTGCCACCAATAATCAACTTTCAAAGAAACAGAAAAGGAAGGGAGAAAACCCCATTCGAATAGTACCTGCACCAGACCTGTCTCCTGATTTCGCGAGTTCAAACTCATGGATATGTAAAAATGCCGCCTGCAGAGCTGTCTTATCCATTGATGACTCATTCTGCAAGAGGTGTTCTTGCTGCATCTGTCATTCCTTTGATGAGAATAAAGACCCTAGTCTGTGGTTGTTCTGCTCATCTGAAACAGCTAATGAGGATTCTTGTGGGCTCTCTTGTCACATCGAGTGCGCCTTTCAGCACGAAAAGGTGGGAGTTGTTGATCACGGGCAACTGATGCAGCTAGACGGCAGTTATTGCTGTGCTTCTTGTGGTAAAGTATCAGGGATTCTCGAGTGAGTAATTTGTTTAAAGTTTTTTCTTTTATTGTTCTCCACCTATCATTCTTGCTCATTCTCGAATTGTTCCAGTGGTTCCTAATATAGAGGCTACATTGCAACAGAAAAATGAGAATAGCCAGCTAAAACAGTTTTTTTTTCCAGCACTGTGCGGATTAGGTGGTGCACCAATAGCTTTTGCCTGAAATATTTCAATTTTATACTGGCAGGTCCTGGAAGAAACAGCTCATTATTGCAAAAGATGCCCGACGTGTTGATCTGCTGTGCTATAGGATATACCTATGTTATAGACTACTTGATGGAACTTCACGATTCAAAGAGTTGCATGAACTTATAAAAGAAGCCAAAGCCAAATTAGAAACCGAGGTTGGTCCATTAAATGGTGATTCTGCGAAGATGGCACGAGGCATTGTCAGCAGACTCCCCATTGCTGCTGATGTGAATAAACTATGCACTATTGCTAGTGAACGAGCAGACGAATGGCTGGCTTCAGCCTCTAATGTCAATTCCAGCTGCAGAGGTTTTTGATTCCTCTAGTTGACCTTGTGGTTCCATGTCGAAAAAAGCCTCTTATATTTACAGAAATAATCAATTCGTGTTTTTTTCTGTCATTCTCAGCAGAGGGCTCACTGCCCGCTGCCTGCAGGTTTTTCTTCGAAGAAGTGGCAGCGTCATCAGTCATAATAATTCTCATTGAAATGTCAGCTGCATCATCCGAAGATATCAAGGGCTACAAACTCTGGTATACCAAGAGCAGAGAAGAGACTCCTCCAAAGGAACCCATTTCCGTCTTCCCCAAGACTCAGAGGAGGATTCTGATATCAAATCTGCAGCCCTGCACTGAATACACCTTTCGAATTGTGTCATACACTGAATCTGGCGACTTGGGTCACTCAGAAGCGAAGTGTTTCACCAAGAGCGTAGAGATATTCCGTAAGCATCCCAGCTCTTCTTCAATCGCAGCAAATGGTGGTACGAAAGACGATAACACCACCACCACCAACGATGGAGGAAGCACCTCCAAAGCCACTACAGAAGGCAGTAGTGACCTTTCCGGGTTCAGGGTTCGAGAACTCGGGAAGATCATCCGCATGGCGTGGGCTCAGGAGCGAGTCTGCTCCGATCGCTATTGCTGTGATGCTGCTGATTCGGCAAAACCAGAGTCTACACGGGATCACGAGCTGCCAGCTGCACTACGGCAACTCGATCTCAACGTCATGTCCGTTCCTGATTTGAACGAAGAGCTCATGCCTCCATTCGAGTCGTCCAGAGACGAGGACAACGACTGCACTCTGGAGGAGCACGCCATGGTGGAGGCGGACGATGAGGCCGCTTCTCACGACAACGTAAAGAAGGACAGTTTAGATAGATCCAAGTCCAACGGCAGTGGCGACTCAGCCCCCGCGGTGGATTCCCGTGGAGACAGAAAGAGGCCTGCCCCGTCTCAAATGGCCAACGAGGACGTCCATGACTGCGACAGCACTCTCATCAACGGCTCGCCACTTCGCCAGTCGAGAGGCTCCGGTTCGTTGGACGAAAACTTCGAGTCGTGTGTGAAGATAATCCGATGGCTGGAATGTGGCGGGCACATCGATCAGGAGTTCCGCCTGAAGCTGCTGACATGGTTTAGCTTGCGGTCCACGGAACAGGAGCGGAGGGTTGTCCATACCTTCATACGGACCATGGTCGACGACCCCACCAGCCTGGCGGAACAACTGGTCGACTCGTTCTCCGATATCGTATCGAGCAAGCGGGCAAAGAATGGCTTCTGCAGCAAGTTATGGCATTAAGGGAAGTGTTATTCACTTCTCTTCAGTGAGGTGGTTCTATCTGTTGGATGGACGAACCCAGGGCTCCAGATTATGGTTGGTTTGGTTTTGGTTCGGCTCGGTTTGACCGAGTGGCGGAGCTGTCCTCGTTGGGGAAATGAAGGGAAGGCAAATGGAGTTTAATCTGGAAGGAGGTTTGGAATCCAAAGTCTAATCGGGCATTTGAATTGTTCAGGCAATTTAACTACTGTAGGTGTAGAGTACTTAGGGAAGGATAATCTCGATTCTGAATCTCCCATCTGTAATTGGATAAATTGTCATTATTGTTTATGACCTTTCTTCCATTCAAAGAAGGGTAATTGAATTGATGACAGATTCTTAGCTTTCGAATATGAGAGTCTACGACTACTCGACTAAACATGTATGGGGATTTCACAATCAAATTGGGATAAAATTGACAGCCGATGCTTATTTGTCCGTTCGGTAGCTGCTAGTTTTGCAGGTTGCCTAGTACTATCAACTTCTTTTGTTGATAGTTAGAGCATAGATTCATTTGTAAGTGGCATAATGATGATTAACAAGATACCATGATGGCTTCTTTTTGAGATGTCATATTTCTAGATAGCACTTCCATCATTTGAGTACTCTTATCTTTGGGACTTGAATTTATCAAACAATTATATATTTATGCTCTTAAGATTCAATGATTTTATCTTGTTTTAGTCATTATAAAACAATAATGAACTTGTTGAAAGTATAAATATATCATCAATTATTTTCCCTTTGATACATATGATAATGATATGAGCTTCTTCTCAAAAAATAGAAGGAAAAGGAAAAATACCGGTAAACAACAAGGGCATAATAATGACCTGGATAAGGAGAGGTGGGGCCTGCTTCATATCCGAAGCGACCTTCACTCTTATTTTTCTAAATTATCTTTTCGGCTTTTCCCCCAAAGTGCCAACAAGGCGAGTCTCTATTTGTCAACTTGATTTGCCAAGTCAGCAAAGAACGGCAGGCAATCCGTAGCTACGACGCCGTTTCCATCGGCAGCATTATATCAGTTTGAGCTAGCAGCGAGAAAAAATATGAGGCTCAGAAAGGCCCGTTGCTTCTCTCCCGCCACACTCTCTACCCAAGAATGCAGATTCTCTCAGCTCCATCGTCCCGCTATCTCCCCTTTGAAATCTCGAAGCCGCAATCGAAGCAGCCAGGTTCAATTTCACTTTTGTTGTACTCGTTGAATTTCTTCCCGCCATTGATGTATCTCCTCCGTTACCCTACTCTCTGAGCTCGAAAATTCGCGGTGCTCGGCGTTTCAGGAATTTCCTCACCGGAGAAGTGGCTTCAGATATCGGTAACGAATCCTTCCTCGTCGCTATTTCCTGCTCCGAGAAGCAGCAGCAGCAGCTCTCACAAGACGTCCTGCTGCTTTACAACGAGAGCTGCTTCTACTGAAGGTAAATTCTAAGTTGGGGACTACATAAGCTCTGGAATGTGAAAAATTCGCTTTACTATGTTTAATGGCGGAAATCGTGTGGGGGAAAATGTTCAGTTGGTGCTTCCGAGACATCGGCTGAATCGAGATCATCCGCCGAGAGCGACGTGCTGAAGGCCTTGTCTCAGATCATCGATCCTGATTTCGGAACGGACATTGTGACTTGTGGATTCGTCAAAGACCTAGAGATAGATGAAGCTCAAGGAAAGGTAGTAGCAATTTTGATTGCTAATCTCTCGTTGAAGAAGATGAGTAAACAAACACTGGGAATTTTTGTTTAATTGTTTGTGGTTTTTGTTGCCGCTAGGTTTCGTTTAGGTTGGAGCTCACTACCCCGGCATGTCCAATCAAGGACTTGGTCAGTGCCTTAAAACTTCTTTGTTGTGATCCATTGTTCTTTAGATATGGCCTTGATCGGTGTTAATTTGTTTGAATTTGAGATTTGAGATTCTACTTTTGCCGATGCAGTTTGAGAAGCAGGCAAATGAGGTGGTCGCGGGGCTTCCATGGGTGAAGAATGTTAGTGTGACGATGTCAGCACAGCCAGCTAAACCTATGTACGGGGCGATGCTTCCTCCTGGATTACAGACCATTTCGAATATCATTGCAGTTTCAAGTTGCAAGGTTAGATTACCATGGTCTAGCATTTTCCATAGATAGTTTGGTTGTTGAATGTCATTACTGTAGTTTTTGTGTTAGTGCTATTAGCCACTCATGATTCTTAGTTTCTGAGAAGTTGTGCAGGGAGGTGTTGGGAAATCGACTGTTGCTGTGAATCTTGCGTATACTTTGGCCGGTATGGGTGCTAGGGTAGGGATATTTGATGCTGATGTGTATGGTCCAAGTTTACCAACAATGGTCTCTCCTGAGAACCGGTTGCTGGAGATGGTAAATATATCCAGACCTCTAGTTTACTAAAAGCCAGTTCAGTTAATTGAAATGAAAATGGCGGATTTCGGACTGAATGTGAAATCTATCTATCAGAATCCAGAGAAGAAAAGTATTATACCTACTGAATACTTGGGGGTGAAGTTGGTTTCGTTTGGATTTGCTGGACAAGGTCGCGCGATAATGAGGGGTCCCATGGTTTCGGGAGTTATAGACCAACTTCTCACGACTACAGAGTGGTGAGTTTGTAGAGTGACTAACATCTTGACACCATCCGAAGTAGTAACTATGAGCTTGTTGTGCATAATTTGCATCTCCTAGCAGAACAGTATGAACTCAGTTTTTTTGCAATTTATTCTGGAATCTTGAATGCAGGGGAGAGCTGGATTACCTTATCATCGACATGCCACCTGGAACTGGTGATATACAGCTTACATTGTGCCAGGTTGTCCCATTGACTGCTGCTGTCATTGTGACCACCCCTCAGAAGCTTGCGTTCATCGATGTTGCCAAAGGCGTTCGGATGTTTTCAAAGCTTAAGGTATGTATCCCTCCATTCTCACCATTATTCCAACTACTATGTTTATTTCAAACTGTTTGATATTTCTATTAAAGGGAAGCTAATGATGGATACTGAATGTTGCCCAAATTATTTTTATTGACTGTTATGTTTATGTCTTGATGTTTTCCTTTTAAGCATATATAGGTACCATGCGTTGCTGTTGTGGAGAACATGTGCCACTTTGATGCTGATGGAGAACGGTATTACCCCTTTGGCAGAGGATCAGGCTCTCAGGCATGTATACTTATCAAACAATTCTATGCTTCCCAGTTTAAGGTTCAGACCTCAATTTAATATATTACTGCTGGTTCACGTCAAATTTCACAGGTTGTTCAGCAATTTGGGATCCCTCATCTGTTTGATCTTCCGATCAGGCCAACTGTAAGTCCATTGATTAAACTGTCTCGCAGTTCATTCGATTCAACAGATGCATAAAATAACGTGAACTTGCTGATTCATGGTTCATTAGCTATCCGCCTCTGGGGATAGTGGGATACCTGAAGTGGTTGCTGATCCTCTAGGTGAAGTTGCAAAGACGTTCCAGGAACTTGGAGTTTGCCTCGTGCAACAATGTGCTAAAATACGCCAACAGGGTATGTATCCAGCTTCTTGTCTTGATTGGCAGCCTTCCGATGCACTCGGTATAACATAATTGTCTGAGCTCTGCTCTCTCCACTGTAGTTTCAACTGCTGTCACTTATGATAAATCAATAAACGCAATCAAAGTGAAGGTGCCTGATTCAGACGAGGAGTTTCTCCTTCATCCTGCAACAGTAAGGCGAAACGATCGTTCTGCACAAAGCGTGGTATGTGCCTGACGATCTCCTCTCTGAGAGAGTTGATGACTGAAGAAAGATGGATTACAAATATTTTGCCAGTTGATAGCTGATTTCTTTTCCTTTCGTTCGAAATAGGACGAATGGACTGGGGAGCAGAAGCTGCAATACACCGACATCCCAGAAGACGTCGAACCTGAAGACATTCGGCCAATGGGAAACTATGCAGTGCAAATAACATGGCCCGATGGATTCAGCCAGGTAACTTTTCTACCTTTTCTCCATCTATTCAATACTGATAGCTCTCCATGGCATGCTGTCACCAACCACTAAGTGCCAGCCAATTACTTTCGTTGATTTTTCCACGTGCACGTCTCATTCATGATCCAAAAGTGCTCAAAAGTCTACCCAATGAATTGAATTACATTACCTACTCTCCTTTCTTTTGTTCATAATTTTGACCAGATTGCTCCATACGATCAATTGCAAACGATGGAAAGGCTGGTTGGTGTTGTTCCTGTCAGTGTAAGCAGCTAAACTAGACACCTCTCTTCATTCCCATCAACTCTCTTGCAAGCTTTGTCAAACATGATGGTGATAGGAGTGAGAAAGTTGCCATTAGCACAGGCCAGTCTACCACAGAATAGAGAGAGAGAGAGAGAGAGAGAGTAGAATATACAGCTGCTGGTTTGTATAGTGGGAAAATTCTACGTACATTTTGGTCCAAGAAAGCTCCTGAATATATACAATACGCGCAAAAATCTGATTACGTAGCAGACTTGTGTATAGTGACATCTCATTTCTAAGCAGTCTTTATAATTTTGTCTCGTCGGAGTCGACGTCGGCGGTCATTTCAACTTCTGTAGAGTGGGATCAAAGTCTGAACACAGTAGAACTAGAAGCATATGCATGCACAGCGCGCAGCCGCTGCTGTTTGACTTTTTTCGGGTCGGGTCGGGTTCATCGGACCCGTCCTCTAGACGCTCTGGATTAGATACGTGACCAAATTGGGACTGTGTGCGAGTGTGACCAAGAGATGGTACCACTTCCAACTTGTCGGCTGCCGGCTGGCCCCCCCAATAGTCTAGCCAAGTATGCTTGTTTGTCTCTTCTCAACCCGGTTTGAAAAGCGATAACGTTACATATTGTATACGATAATATAAGGTCAGAACTAGAGAAAGTCGCGAATTTTCTCTAAGAAATTTAGTGTATTCGAACTTCTTTTTAATTAATGTTACGAAATGAATCCAGATCGCATTATGATACGATTCGATGGCGTCGGTATTATACGCGCTCCAATTTGGAGAAAAAAAAGGAAGAGATCGAATGGGTTCACATAAGTCAGTAGCATGGGGAGCTTTAGCCCCTCTTCTCCAATTACGACAATTCAAATCAGTCCCCCCTCGTTGGCTTCGCCACTGCGAACAACAACAATGTACATATTAGGCACCGGCCTCTTAAATGAAGATAGAGATATATGAAGAAGATAAGAAGAAGGAGAAGAAGAAGAAGAAGAAGAAGAGTGTTGTGATGGCGCAAGGAACTGTCAGTTTCAGGCTCCCTTATTATACTGATGAACATTAGTGAATCCAGCAGCAGCAGCTGCACCAAACTCTAGCTTTACCCTTTTCGTTTTAAATGCTTCTCTCTCTCTACCTGTCTTTTGGGGCATTCTTCTCATTTACTCGTGCTGCACCTGTCAACCATATTGAAAGAGAAAGGCAAAAAAAAAAAAAATTTTGGAAGAGTCTCTTTCTGGTAAAGAGTCTGGCTGCCTACAATTTAACTGAGCCAAAAGGTGATGTATGGAGAAGAAAAAAGATAAATGCACCAGCCGGGAATCGAACCCGGGTCTGTACCGTGGCAGGGTACTATTCTACCACTAGACCACTGGTGCTGATTGATGTCATAGTTTGGCGCACATTCTATTACCATCATCGAAATATAATATTTCGTTGTTCAAGAATAAAAAAAAACTGTTTCTCGGGAGCACTCGAAATGATAGATAGTGAAAATCAAACTCAGAACACACACAATTCATATCCCCGATTGTTAATCAAATTACCAACTCTCCACCGCAAGCCAAAATTGTTAAATTCATTGAGCGACAGAGATTCTCTTTCACCCGTCTCCTTCAAATTTTTCCCAACCATATGCATAAGTTCATCCTTTTTGTGAAGAATGGTAGGTAGGTTTGATTTTGAGTACACTCCCTAACTTTAGGTTTGCCTATAGGAACCAATTCATCTCATCACTTTCATTTGCAAAATATCTTTTTGTAATGTAGCGCAGGACTTTGACATTTCAGTTGGGAAATCGTACATTAACCAACCCATCAATTATTTTCTCCATGAAAATACTTGTTGCTGTGCTAATAAAAATAATAATATTTCCATTTCGGTGAGGCATAACTCTTTTGATAAGCGAGGTGATTATAGTAATTGTATTATTTAGGAGTTAGCACTTAGCAGCTGCCTGTTTGACTAGGTTAGGAATAAATTAGTTATATAGGTATTTAGTTTGTTAGTTTTTTTTTTTTATCATCTTTGCTAGCTAGCTAGGATGAATGAGTCAAACTTAAAAGTCAATATCGATTTGTAAGAAACGATTTAACATGAGATGCATGGATTAACAATTTATTTGATTGTAAGTTGTTGACAAAGTTTATAAGAAAAACATTGTTGACAAAGAAGTATGCTTATATTAGTACAACAAATGTCAACAACTCCCATATACATGGGGAGAAAACAGCTAAATCAATGACGGATAAAAGGAAAAGGTTAAATGACTTTTCAACCAGTTAATTATACGGTTACCTTCGATTATCTTGGGTTTTATGAAGTTTATGATTTTTCTGTTCAGATTTCAATGTACAATTTTCCAATCAGATTTTGTGATCCATGAACCCACCTCTATGAAAAAAAATTAGGAACTCCTTGAGATATGTTACCATCTCATCATTCAATCCAAGAAAGAAAATATCATTTTGAAGGTCTTTTTCATCTTCCAATTGGATTCATTTTGAAAAATTAGATATTTTCATATCGGTGGGTCTCATGATCAACGATTTTTGATGGACAAAATGGCTTGACAAAGGTGCTTAAGAAACTCAAATTTTAAAACACATAAAGTTGTTAGTAAAAAGTGTGTGAATTAATTACAGACCGAAAACACGACTTAACCCATAAACAAATTACCTAAGTGAATCTAGTTTTTGGATGGTTTAACTACATTCAATTAGCTAGCAAGAAATCAAGTCCATAATTATTTTTCTCGATAGAGACTTCACCATAAATTATAAACAGAAAAAAGTTGCTGTCTTCCCTCTCTATTTGATTTGTTGGCAATAATAATTACTTATTTTCAGGCCATGGACATGGAGAGAGGTAGTTGCGTGGTCACTAAGGTATTGAATGAGATATTTTTATTGTAATGACGATCCTTCCTAATCGTTAAAAATGAGGTGCAGACTTTTTCAGCAGAAACCTCCAAAATATAGCTTTTTCGGTTGATCTGGGAAAAATTATTTGAGGTATAATAATAATTATAGTTTTAGGTCACCATCTGTTTGGGTTGTCACTATTGGCTATCATGTTATTTATTTTATTTGAGATTTAGAATTAAATTTATTTTTTGTGGGTTTTTCTTGACGGGGAGATGTTTTGTAGACTTGTCATCTATCAGTTTTGTCCTCGGATTAATCAGCTGATACACATAGTTAATCATCATTGGAGAAAATGTCTTCTTGTATTCTACAATATCAATTAATTGAATTCATCATACTCGAAGTTTAAAAATGAAAATTTTCTCTGAAAACAGCATTATATATTGAAACTAAATGAATGGCAATTGTAACTTTCAACTTTTTCCTTGAGGAAGGAAAATTTGAAGGTTTTGGTAAGTGGTAACCCAATTCAAACAAGGTGAATGACATTGTAGTAACAACATGAGTTGTGGCCTTTGTGTGGAATTTGGGTTTATTGTTCTCACGATCCGACTCTTAATTAGAACAAGATAATAGGCCTTTGGTACAGGAGGGTTGACTGCTATGCGTGTACCAGCTGAACTCGAGAGAATATAATCATCTGAAACGGAAAACAAAAGACAGGGAAAAATCATCACACATCAATTTTTCTCGCATAACCCCGATAAAGATACATGCAGTCTAGGGAAAAACACACCTCCCAACTTATTAACCAGCAGCCGGCGAATGCGAGAATCACAGCTTCAATCGAGTCAGCCTGAGTGAGAGCAACATGGTCCAACACCGCAGAAAACTCATCTTAGAGTGTAATAGTAACCTTCGCCCCACTGGGAGGAAAAACACGGGGATACGTGAGGGACGACACAAAAGAGACATAACGCACACGGCTAAACTCAAGAACCCTAGAAAAGCGGGAAAACCTTTCATCCTCGATGATAACCGTCTGCTTGATTGCGGGGCCGTTATTAGTGATTTTATGCGATATCCCACTGATTGAATGGAGTCGGCCAACGACATCTACGAAAATAAAATGGAGGCAAAACATCAAGGCACAAACAAAAAAACTTACACATACACATACACATGCAAATCAATAAGAAGCTAGTACAAATATATCCACTGACCTGTCAAGAAACGGTGATTACCAGCACGCATACTCAACTGGGAGAAAGACACAAACTCATACGCATCAACCGGAAAACTCTCAGCAGGAAGACCACAGGCCTGAAAAGAAGTCGAAGGTGAAAGACCCAAAGCCAAATCAAAGGAACATGGGCGATACTGATTCGGCGGGTTGCTCAAGGCAAAGGACTTTATGACATAAATCTTCCCAATAGAAAGGTTACGACGGATCCCAACAGCCATTGAAGTCGGCGAAACGCCATGAATCAGCGTACCCTGCGCAAAACACACCACAATGGTTCAAAAAAAAAACAAAAGACAGCGACAACAACAAAACGAAGCACAAAAATATCGACGCAAAGGCACGGAGGGCGCACCGTTTCGTCGGTCCAAAGAGTACAGTAATTGTAGATCCTGATATCCCCTGGAGACTTCGCCGGCCACACATGCAGCAACCGGAGACGCAAAGAAATGCTAGCATTGCGCGGGCCGCCGAGGTTGCAAAGCAACGTGAATTCCATGTTCTCCGAGACGAAGAGCACTAAAGAGAGAGAAAACAACGCTTAGAAAGAGAGCAGAATGACGGGAAGAGAACAGAACGGAGTGATGAACTGTTGGCATTAAAAAAAAGAACATATAAATGAGAGAAGGAATTAGCAGGCGCAAGTGCGGCTCGTGTCAGTTATCGGCCCATCGCGAACAGAAACGTAAGGGAACTGAAACAGTGCTTCGCCGAAGAGATAAGGACGATGTCAAATAGAAGAACCGCTAGAAATAAAGAGCACAAAAAGTGGGGGGGGAAATTCTACACGCAAAAGCGGCGGGTTTCAGATATCTAGGCAGTACCAAACAGGGACGCTCTCCCCAAGACCCAAACGAGAGTGGCCGCGCACAGGAAACCGCGCCCATCATTGCCACGGATTCCGAAAGCCAAACACCAACACACAAGGCAAGAGAGAAAAAATAGTAGATGTAATAATTATGAGAAAGACTCACGGGGAATAGCCGAGAAACGCAATAAAAGGAAATAGAGAAAGGAAATAGCGAAGAGGAAATTAGGGCGCAGCTGAGGGCAACGCGAGTATGCGACACTCAGAGAAAAAACGGCAGCCAAAACCGCAAGGGCCACAGACAAATGGGCAGCCAATAAGAAAAGGCAAGCGGGGCCAGCTGCAGATCATTGACCAATCAGAAGAAGGTGAACAATAATTTTGAGTCCAAATGAATAATAATTTCGTGTCTAGGCGAACAGTAGATCATGTCTTTGCAAATAACTTTTTTCAATCTTTATTAGTTGTTACTAAAAAGGGTATATGTTGGAGGCTCTTGAAATAAGAGAGCGTTTAAGATGATGATGTGTCCGATCACATTTGGTCAGAGTCCAAAGTTAGGGCTATGAAGCATAAAGAGATGGCCTAGCATGGTTCTCGAGAATAGCTTAGTTTGCATCCATAATATCAGGACGTTCAATATTTTAAATGTATAGTTGATCTAAACCACTATTCTAAATTTAGCCTGAAAATTCCAGCCTCAACGATTTTCATTATGAAAAAACAATGAATTCTTAAAGATTAAAACGTAAAAGACTAAAGTATAAAGTTTCATTGAAATTAAAAAAACCCTCTAAACTAAAACTCACCTTTCCCTTTCTCAAATAATTTCCCCAACCCCCCCCCCCCCCCAAAAAAAAACAAAAACAAAATAAGAACGAGGAAACGAACGAATCCGAAATGAATTCATCCGCCAGTCTGCCCAGCGTTAGTTTTATTTCCAGTCTTTTTATGAATTTAATATTTACAAACTTGCTCAATAATTTATCATTGAGACTTTGAAGGCTATGAGATACATTCTTTGAAGAATGAGCTACAATATTATGTCTCTCATGTGGTTCATAATTAGCATTATGACGTTTTTTTCCTTGCAAAATTACTTGAGAAGTTGGTGGAAATTAGGGATGGACACACCATATATTTTGTTTTGTCTGTTTATACTTCTAATGTTAACCTTTCCCATTTCAACGGCTACTGCAGAGAGAACATTTCCAGCAATGAAACATGTTAAAGCTGATTTGCGTAACAAAATAAACGATGAAATCTCGTTGATTGCTTAACTATTTACTTTGAAAGAGAGAGAGTATGCTATTGGTATGGATGAACATTTCTAAAATTATAAGACGTCGTGTACAATTTACATTATAGTGAAAACTATGATTACTGTATATTTTTCATTAGTGTATCTAATTTTATATTCAAATGCGATCCAATACTCCTGCTATCTCCTGTATCAGTGGCGGATCCAGGGGGTGGCCACCCCGAGCCCTGGCCCAGCCCTCCTCTGGATCCGGAGTTAGTATAGTTTTTATGAATTTTTTCGATTTTAGTTATTCGGTCTAGTTATTTTATAATAAGATTGGATGTAACTAGAAAAATGATTCAGATGAACATATTCAAATCTCTACTATAAATTTAGCCTAGAAATTCTAGCTCCAAAGATTATTCTTCCAAAAAACAATGAAATCTAAAATTCTAAAAGTCTAAAACGTAAAAGACTATAAGAAATATGAAGTTTGTTTCCTTAAAAATTTACTAGAGAATTTAGTGGATATAGGGATGGACACACCATGCACGATTGATTTGTGCAACAAAATGAGCGATGAATTTCTCGCTGATTGCTCAAGTATTTTATTTAAAACAGTGTATAGTCTTGGTATGGATGTGGACTCCATTACTGATGCATTTGCTACCTTCGTGTACATATTCTAAAAAAAACTATAATAATTTTTTTACGATTCTAATTTTCTAATGAAATGCGGCCCAGTGCTCATTTGTGTTTTGGATCTGCCGCTCTCCTGTATCCGCCACTAATATAACTAGTTTAGTGCTACTATAACTGAATTTCAACTTGAAGATTTATGTTCAGAATTCATTGAGTAGCAAGGATGGATACGTATCAGCATGAACCCTACATCGATCGTCATATGTTGGCCCTTTTCAAGCCGACAATATCTCGTGAATCATGACAATTTTTCAATCAACATATATATATTCGTTTGCGTGTTTGTTCATTAACGATAACAAATTTTGATTAAACTAATTATTCTCAAGATATTCAGAATCTTAAAGTTTGTTAATTTCGTGATTAAATAATTAATTAAAAGATACCATCTCCTAAAGTTAAATGTACAAGTTTAGTTTATATCATATAAAAATTGATAAACAAGGTATATGTGCAAACTGAATTTATACCATAACGTTAAATGTACAGATCTAATTTCTATCATGAGTTAGTTTTTCTTATATGAACCAAATCACGGACACTATAAAGTACTGTAAATTTTTCTTAATTACATTCTAATTAAGAAGTCTATTATTTTTGTCGGATTCTGAAACAAAATGGTTATGTTTTGCCTCAATATAATTTTTTTTACTATATAGCATAGTTAGTAAAATACGGTAGGGGAAAGTTACGGATATAATACGTACGGGTATTTTACTTCATCTCTAAGCTAATGTTATGTTTAATAGTACGTTAATAGTCATAAATATATAAAATAAATTATTTTTTAAAATAAATAAATATATAAATAATAGTAAAGTTAACATTTTAATTCATTAAATACGGATATAAAACGTGTTATACAGATTTTATACGTGTTTAGTACGGGAGCCACCAAATGAACGGACAAAAATGAAACGGCTTGACAAAAATACGGATACGGAAGTTTTAAACAGATAAAGTACGTACGGGTACATATACGTGTATTAAACGGAGTATTTAATAACTATGCTATATAGATGTATTTTATCCCAAACCTAATAATATTTTATTTGGATAAACAATGACAATGTATTGTAAACCCAAAAATATCAAAACAAATTTGATAACTAAAAAATATCGACTTACAAATTCCCCACTCACTTCAATATATAACTGGTTTATGATTAATTTCTTCCATCGTTAAAAGAGTACAACCATATTTATTGTCGTGGCCAATGGCTTTGAGTTGTTTATGCTAATGGCCTGAATGCACCTTTTTATACCTAATAGAAATAGTTAACTAGTAAATAGCATTGCCTAGTGGAAAGTGGTAACATTATATATTATATAATCTGTTTTTTTATTCAATTAATTATTAGGTTCTTGATACTCACAATCTTTCGAGAATGTCAATAGTAGATATATAGCACCTTAAAATATTAAATATATAACAAGCACTGAGCAGAAATACCGTTTAGTGCCATAAAATTTCTTATTAATGATGAGATCCATTGATTAGAATATAGTGCTAACTAATATGTCTGATATTCAGAATTTTCCAAGTTGTTTACCTAAAACAATTAGGCAAATAAATTTCCAATACATCCAATTTTTATTTGGCAAGGTATGAATTATCAAAATGATTACTATATATTGGTAGTACGCGGACCGGAATAGCTATCATATTTTAAGTTCGAACCGTGAGGTTAATTAGCAATCATTTAAACAAATAAGTACCTTTTTCCAAATCCTGGAACTTGGCGCCCGTTTAAAATCCACCATCAAATAAAAAACTGTGTGCAATCTTCAATTCACCTATCCTTTTCGAATCCATGAATTGGATGAAATTCAAGTGTGCTCTAGAGTCTTGACATTGAAGCGAGTTAGTTAACATGTACGTTTCGATTTTTCACATGTCAAATCCACTACTAATTAAGAATGGTTGAGCTTAGGTCAGATCTATCTTATTATCTAATCCCTAATCAGATAATTGGATTGACAACCAATAGACTCTTGTTTATTGTGAATAATTGAGGTAGCAACAAAATGGAATTGGTGGGAGGGATGACGTTTGACCAGTGCATTACCTTTGTCCACAAACTCTATATGTGGGTAAATAAGAAGGTAATGTTTATGTGGGTGACAAGGGAAAGAGCAAGTGTTAATAGAACACAAACAATAATATCTCAGTCGATGTTCAATATAATTAATGTTGCGGCTATGCGGATTAGGGTTTGGTATAACCGTATACTGCTAGTTTTGATTTTGCCAGATCTCGTGTTCGAATTTTAGGGTGACTTTTCCCTCTGGTAACCCCAGAGATCATTGTAACGTATATGATATGTGTAGTAACCTTGAGTAATAATGAAAAGCTAAAGTGTTAATTTTGCTCAAAAATTGATATTGGGATTATGCACATGGTGGTGCTTATTTTCCTCGGAGAGATTCATCTTTTATATACAAACATGAAAGAGAAGTTAACTCCGTAGCAGATCTCTCATCCTATAAAGTCGGCATTCTTTATTTGGATCTCTTGTCATAGACAACCAAATACTTTTGCACTTTTTTTTTCTTTTCGATAGGCGAGCTACTGGAGGGGTGTGTCGCGTGTGGAGAGGGGAAGTTCGCACCGGAATCTGAACATGAAATCTCCATATTAAAACTAGCAATATCATCATTAGACTAAATTCTTGTTCTCCCTTCCTTTAAGCTATATATGATTAAAACAAAATTATATGCCTAATATTCCATAAACAAAGGGCCGAAATATATTTATAAAAAAAATTGAAGAAAAAGTAGGAAAAAAGGATAGTTTTACCAGCTTAGTGAACATGGTGGGTCCCAGGGTCGTTAATGGCGGAAAAAGGTAGGTCTTGGACTTATTCCCTAACCACAAAACGACAAATTGCTCCTTTTTAAGTCGTCTCTCTCTTCTCACGACTCACCCAGCTGGGTCCCGCCTTTTTTTTATTAACATAACAAATTAACCCCACTATTCATTTATCTTAATAATAATATGAATAATTAATCACAATTAGTCATCCTAATTTACACAACGCAAGAAACGGAGCTTTCTTTCCTCTTCTTGTTGCTTCTTTCACAACGGAATTCACGGGACTTTATATAAACTAAAAAAATACTAAATTAACGATAAAACAATTAGCTACAAGATGAGTTTTTTTTAATATAGATGATTAAATATTTAATTGGATAATGAGAGGACGAGGTGATGGCAAAGAAGCTAGGATTTTAGGGTAGAGAGAAGATGTAAGTAAAATGCTACCATACGACTTCTTGGGATCAAATCGAAATCTCAACGGAGATGAAAAGTTAATTACGTACATACCGATATACATATGATGTCAGGCGGACCTTGAGCGAGTTAGGAGGTGTTCCGAGACAACCTTAGAAATTGGGAAACCAAAATTATCAATTTCTCAGTAGTATTTTTTAGTCTGAACAAAAAAAAAAGATAGTAACTTGATAGTAGTTTTTAGGGCTTATTCCACTAGAAAGTCCAAACTATTCAAAAAGTGTCATTTGTGTCCTAAACCATTCAATATGACAAAACTGACACAAACTATTTTTTTCCGTTAATGTTGACCGGTGTAGACCGTTAGTATTTATCAAAAAATCTAGTAAGCATCTATGTAATTTGTGTCAGATTTGTCATATTGAATAAGTTTAGGACACAAATGTTACTTTTAGAATAGTTTGGACTTCCTAATGAAATTAGCCCTAGATTTTACGCCATAACCAAGTGCATGAACAGGAAAACACAGATACATGACTTTATTACAAAGCGTAGGTGAAATGGAATCCTGGCATTATCCATGGATCCCAAAGTCAAGATTTTGCCTTTACTTATCCCAACTGCCCCCATAAAACTCCAACCACCTTAATTGGCCTTGCCTTCCGCTTGAAATCAGATCCATAGTTTCTAGATTGGCAAAAGGATGGTAAATACTGGTGGGAGTTGATCAATTTCACGAACCGAATTATCGATAATTTCTATATATATTAGTATGAGATGAATATTTAATTATCGCTACAATATTATTATCACGTCAATATTGTTGAAGTAGCTAGTGGTCGTGGGACGGACGGTTAAGATTTCGACTATCTGTTTTGATTTCCCATGGAATTCTAATCAAGATGACCACATTGTGTTTATTAATTGGCAATTAATTATCATCAATTAAGGTAATCTTGCATATTACAGCTTGCATTGCAAAGACATTATTTAACCTTAAAACCATTTTTTGTGGAGGGAAAAAGGCAAAAGAAAAATGCCCAAATGCCATGCATGTGACCTTACCCCAGACGACAACAAGTAACAGAGAAATTATAAGAGCCTGCAGCTGCAAAGTACCCCAAAACGTTAAGATGGAACAAAGAAACTTATTGATTTGTTGAAATCTTCAAAACCCCCCACTCTTTTGTAATCTACTTATAATGTTGATCGATTATTACAATAACAAGAGAATGAATCTACCTGGAATGTTAGTACCCAAAGCTAGCCTTTGATGCAATTTAATTTATTGTACATATAATAATTGGCGATTTATTTTATTGTACACAAATGTACACTCTTTTGAGAAAAGTACACGACTAGAAAAATATGTCAACTCACGGAAAATGTATTGTTTAATCACACTCTTGTCAATGTGATCTTTACGAAAACTTTGGAAATGTTCAATCAGTATTTTATGTTGTGACACACCCAAAAGTAAAACTTGTGACAATTTTCTTTATGGGTGTCTTAATAGGAGGGAAGGGTGAAGAGGAGGGAGGTTGCGCTTGTGATAAGATATCTAAGTGCGACAATGTGTGCTATTAGATTCGGTTTTTCACAACTTATTTATTACCTTCTTTAGGAGTGAAAAAAATTGGATTGTCTATATACTCAAATGATTAAACGACATGTATCGATCAGTTTGTTTAATATATTTATAGAATAGAGATCTTCTCGAACTTATTTGTGATTGTCTATCATAATTAAAAATTTACCTCTTAGATTTTTTTTTTTGACTTATCAAGGGGTCGTATGGATGAGGAGTTCCAATGAATCAATCTGACACAATTGTTTCGTTTTGAGACAATTGTGCCAGATTGATCCGTTTGGCAGCAAAAAAAATATGGATGAAGCAATTTGACTGGGGAATTCTGAATTAACTCATTTTGAGCCAATTACAATTGTCTGGGGTGGGGGCAGGCAATCTGAATTGTCTCGTTTTACCATTGATCCATCCGAACTTTTGAATTGCATTTATGATGTGCAAAGAAAGTCCAAACCACCAAAGCAATAAATTTCAAAAGCCATAAGAAAAAGGCACTTTCCTTGTTCACCCCTTCATTCCACCTCCACCACCACAAGGGCCACTCTCCTATATAAAGATGAACACCAATCCCAAACCAAACCCCAACCAACCCAAAAAAACAACATTAAAACCCTCTCTTCATCCTCTCTCTCTCTCTCTATCTCTACAAATTTCTTTCCAACATTCTCCAAATCTCCCACTTCCCTCCCAACTATGGTGATGCAAACCAGCCTGAGGGAAGCCATGAACGCCCGAACCATCACCGGCTCGCCCACCGCCACCCACGCCGGGCAGACCATGGTTCTGGCCCACGGGTACGGGGCGGACCAGTCGGCCTGGGACCAAATCCTCCCGGCGCTCTCCCAACACTACCGGGTCGTGGTCTTCGACTGGAGCTTCTCGGGCGCAGTGAAGGACCCGGACTTCTTCGACCCGGCCCATCACGCCACGTACGAGGGCTACGCCGACGACCTCGTTGGGCTCATCGACGAGATGGGCCTGGAGTCCGTCGTCTTCGTGGGCCACTCCATGGCCGGGATGATCGGATGCATTGCCTCCGTCAAAAGGCCGGAGCTCTTCACCCGCCTCGTCCTCGTCGGCGCGTCTCCTAGGTAAACTGTTTTTGTAGATTTCCTTTTATCATTACGTTTATTTTTTTTATTAATGTTTTTTTTTTCTCAACCATAAATAATTCGGTTTTGTCTGGTGTGTGAAAAAGTTGCTTTTCGTCCACAAAAGCTGGCTAGGTTTTTTTTATGCGATAATAATTTTTTTAATAATAAATTTATTTATTTGGCGGCTAGGATAAAAGCTGCTTTTATTAATGCCATAAAAGGGCGAGCTCACAATATTGGGAGAATATCAAGATTGTAGAAATATATTGGAAACTTTCTTTTTTATTGAATATAATGGTCCCAAAATACGATTATGACGTTTATACGAATAAAATAAAATAAAAAACTCAATCGGATTTGATTGAGTGGTTGTTACGTTAGATTTTGAATTCGCCTATAATCACAATGTCTACATATTATTCGTCGTAATCTGTTGAGAGTTAAGACACCGTATGAGGAGGAAAAAAAAAAAAGAGTAAAAGGGTTTCCTATGTAAAATTGTTTCATAGTTTTGCTTCTTCCCTGTAATTAATGAATACATATATAGCCGAACAAGTTTGGAACTTTGTTCCGGCCAGCTTAACGCCGGCCGGCTGGAAGTATTGCCGACATTACCACGTCCATCCCATGTCTGTGTTTTGCTCTTTGTTTCTCAGCTGCTAGCATATGCAACGAAGGAATATCAACCGGCATGAACCCATAAAAATACTGTAGGAAAAAAAAACATTTTACAATATTAAGGTCGACTTGAGTTGCAAACAAATTTGAGTTGGGCTAGCTACTTAGGTAGAATTTCATAAATATACCGTTTTGATAGTAGTTTAATGATATTGAAAAGACTAGAACGTAAAATTGTAACTGTGCTGAATTCTATCTCGAGAACCTAACCGACATGGCGACGATAAAGATGATATGCGAGTGTGTGATTTAACACAATTTTTTGTTTTCAATCCAGCGAATTAACACAATTGAATCTTAGAATTCGCGGTTTCAATCGTTAAATGCACAAATTCATATGTTATTTACACTAGCTAGCATCTCAACTATTGAACCATGTGGTCACAAAGAAATTGTGAGAGGAACACGAACTTTTTAGTGACCCCGCGAAGTTTACTTTTTGTGATCAGATACATGAACGACGAAGACTACCAAGGCGGATTCGACCGATCGGACATCGAGGGCCTCATGAGCAACATCGAGACCAACTTCACCAGCTGGACCCAGGCCTTCGCCGCCATGGTCGTCGGCGGGCACGCCCCCGCCGCCGTCGAGAAGTTCGCCGCGTCCCTGCGGCGGATGAGGCCGGAGGTGGCACTCGCCGCCGCGAAAACCGTGTTCTACTGCGACCACAGGGACGTGCTGGAGAAAATCACCACTCCGACCACCATCGTCCAGACGACGCGCGACGTCGCCGTGCCGACGTCGGTGGCTTACTTCATGCAGGAGAGGATCAGGGGGAAGTCGACGGTGGAGATCATGGACACCGACGGCCATTTTCCTCATCTCACGGTGCCGAAGGAGCTGCTTGGTTTGCTTGGCGGAGTTCTTGGGTTTGAAAGCTAATTGATCACAAGTTGTTGTGATCAGAATGTTGATTATTATACGACTAAACGTTTATATATTAATTAATTAATGTTAGGGTGTGTTTGGTTGGCTGTGTTTTGTTTTAGGGTTTTCTTTGTGTGTGTATGGATGTAGAGAGCAATTGGTATGGGTGATATATGAGATAAATAATGACATTGTTTTGTTTGTGGGTTCTCCATATCATTAATTACCTTTATCTCAACATTTCGAGTTATTTTGATAAGATTGGGTGTGATATAATATGGCATGGTAAGTGACATGTGTTTGAATCTTCATGGCTGATAATATAAGCAGTAATTGATTTAAGGACAATGTATGTATGATGGGCGCATGAGTAAACTTCAAGCAGTGATTTGACTTTCGTTTGAGGGGCATGTCAGAGAATGATACATAATTCGTTTATGTATAATAGTTAGATATTGACGTACTTTTCTTTGAATAATATATAAGAATGAGTCGACCTAGTGGGGTTTTTTTTTGTCTTTATGTAAAATAATTAGATATCGACATACTTTTCTTTAAACAATATATAAGAATGAGTCGACCCAGTGGTGGAGCTATGTGTAGTTCAGGAAGGGAGACACCGCTATAGCCTCCCTCCAAGTTTGATTTTTAGGTTATAATTTGTATATTCATACCTTGAGAAACCATGGAAAGTGGTAGGATGGGGCTATTAGCCTCTCATCCTCCAAAGATTTAGGTTCAATCTTCAAAAATGGTTGTAATTTGCTATCTTCGGCCCCTCCCCACTCTAATTCCTTGGTTCGCTACTGAATCGACCTGTCCCCTCTTGTACCTGTGCAAATACTACTCAACCCGATATGTACTTAGTACGAGACGCGAATATAAATACTGGAGTACCCGCCCGCCTCATTGCGACCGGTCCGAGTTTATTGTGATGAACCGTAACCCACGATTCAAGGGTTTTGCTTGTAACTCACAAGTGAGAGAAAGACGTCAGTGTCTATAAACCTTTGATTTATTTGATTGATACGAAACTAAGGTCAAAAGTACATATTTATAGGCTTAGGAAATCCTAATACGTAACCTAATCCTTACCCGAATACCCTTTACTACTCGGCTACCCCTAACCCAAAACATACAAGGAAAACCCAAACCAAAAGGAAAGACACTCCTTGCCCAAATCCGAAAACAACCAAAAGCCCAAACCGAAAATATTCTTATCATATTGTATACACATTGATCCAATTTGAGGTGAATTCTACTCCTTTGTATCTATCAATGCTTATAAATCAGAAAACAACCAAAAGCCCAAACCGAAAATACTCTCATCATATTGTATACACATTGATCCAATTTGAGGTGAATTCTGCTCCTTTGTATCTATCAATGCTTATATATGCTTATCTTGATAGGTATACGTTCCCTTCGAAGTAATAAAGAAACGGTACTGCTTACTCAATGTGGTTGCGTAATAACTTTAGAGAATGAAGACAAATCGTCCCTTCTCGACATCAAAAGGCCATGAAGCAGCAAACGTGAGCGTATATATATTATTGTACGTTGGGCTAGAAAGCTGATGAAGATTCCAGTGAAATGAAAGCAAAAAGTAGATGAAAGCAACGTTATGGCAAGTAAAGTGGTTAATTAACCACCCCATTAAGTCGTGGATTATGTTATTATTACTTGTCCCTGGGCAACAATGACGCCAATTAAATGGACTCGTGTTAATTATATATATATGGTGGGAGCTACTACATCCATATAGTCGTTTGCTATATTGTAAGTTAGGAGAAAGCTAGGTAGAAACCCTTTTTAAAATCACCGACATTGTATATAAGCTTATATACATTGTCGGTGATTCGTCGACGATAGATACAATATGTGTGCTAGAAGGACCTCTTAAGTAAGAAGTTTGAATCCTTCATAATGCTTTTGGTTTGATTTTGTGTAGTTTTGCTTATATGAGATTTGATAGAGTTGCACATTCCTTTCATAATTAGTTTGATTGTCTATTAATCACAGGTCGTGGCTACTAAATGTTCTTAACCCATTTTTCCTTTCTTTTCCAATAATAAGGATAACACATATTGTCCATCGGATAACATCATACCAATTATGCGCACGGCCATAAAATTTTCACACAACATTATCAATTATTCATTCACGTTCATTTATATTCACATATAACATACTTTTTCACACACACCCCACTTCTACAATATATAAAGTAAATGGAGGGTTACTGAGTGCGTGAAGAAGTATGTCATATGTTCGAAAAATTGATAGGATCAGGTGAAAACCTAGCTTTTGTGTGTGAAATTGTGAATAAGGAACGTGAGCAAATCCCACGAAAATCTCAAAAGTTAAATTAAGCCCACAAGACCAAATTAACGAATGAGCCCAATAGTGCTTACGATTCACCAAATTATTCTATTTTTTCAATGGCCCACATTTCCCCCCTGAGGTCTCAAGGAAACTTGGAGGGCAGAGGAGAAAGCCCAAAAAGAAAACCGCTCTAACTCTAAGCCCACTATGCTCCCTCTTCTTTATCATTACATCTTTCCCCAGTAGTTCAGTTGGGGACAGTGCAAAGCTATTTGCTTCATCTCAAACAAGATCGATCTTCCCGTTCTCTAAAGGCTTCTTTATGAACTTGTAGCATACGAAGGTAAGCAGATCCCGCTCCATCTCTGTTATCTCATGGCTGCAATCAACGAAGGGATATGAAATCATTAGCATTTTGAATAGGGGCATCTATACCTTTAAGCTAAGTTTTACCAAGGTAGAATTTCTGCTAAGCATTTTACACAAAGAGCAATAGGGGAAGCTGATAAAAGTATTTACCTGTATTCAGGCTCAAAGTCAAGTCCAGAAATATACTGCCTTGCTTTGCAGATTACGAATGAATCGAGTCGTGGGGCCGGCACTGCAAATCAAATACCAGTAGCCATCAATAACAATGAGCTTTGCTTGATTGCAGATATTGCTATCCTATCAAAAAGAAGAGATTCAAATATCCTACAAAGTGCTCATAAGGTCGATCACAACTCCAATGGAAAGAAATGACACATTCAATGTTTACAAGAAACAGAAAAGACCCAGTTCCCCTAATCAAGCATCTTTTTTCTACTAGAGGGGGGGGGGGGGGGGTAGGAAATCATCTTTACATCCACTAAGAGCTCAAGATTCACTTCAGAAGGAATTGCAAACCTATTACAGACAAGATCATACCAAGCTTAAGTCTACTGGATACTTCATTTGGAGAATTCAATTCTAGAAACTGAAGATGCACACTTCTTCAGATGCTCTAAACTAGTAAACATTCGGTTTTTGCAAAGAACGCATGTTACCTAAAAACAACTCCTAGAGAGCCGAGGATACCGCAGAAATGATCACACAACAGGTAATGGAAGGGAGCCTAACATACAGCAGTAAATAACAATGTTGGAAGAACATCATTCATTTACCCATGTCATCCTCTTCACTTGCTGCAGACTGCTTGAGCTCAGAATTGTAGTCAGTGGGCAGTTTCGATAGAACCGTCTCCTTGAGATGAGCTCTCAGATCATCTCCGCAGCTATAGTTGTAACAGTAAAACATTAAAAACATGGATTGAATTTGAACTCATCGTGCCAAGAATTCAGATTAAATATAAGGCAAAAGCAAAGCATTCACCTAGCAGCAAAAGTTTGTTCCTCGTCCGAGAGCCGGTTAAGAGACTCGTCAGTCTTCAGAATATGGAAGATGTACTTCTCAATCTACATCACAAATTGCACTGATTCAGCATAAACTCTACACTCAGGACCCCAAACCCTAAACCCAGAATTCCTAAAGTAAAAAGATTGTACCTTCTGGAGGCGGACACGAAGATACGATCGCAAGAGAAACTGGGTTCTGTCCAAGTCCATCTGGTAAAGCGACATAGTGAGGGGATCTTCACCGTCTGCTTCAGATGCCTCCACATTTTGTTCCTGTAAAGACGATCGATGGGGTTAGAAAATGGGATCAAATTGGGTACAAAGCAATCCAATTTCCCCTCAATTGTAGAAAGCTAAGGGTTTTTTTATATATAAAAAAGCCATACCGCTAATTCAATTTGCTCTTTGATGCGGTGAACCAGAGCAGCTTCGTACTGAAGAATCTCGGGAGCAGCCTTCTCGTTTCGCCAGGCTCGCTTCAGTAGATCGACGTCCGTGGTGGAAATGAACGTTTCGTAATCATCAGTGAAGCTCGTCGAGCCTTCTCCGGTGCCGGAATCCATCCTAGGTTTTCACTGCCTGTCCTCGTTTCCCCCACTAAGATTTCGGCTTTACAGATTTGGGGAAGAAGAAGACGACTTGAAATTAGCGGGAACTAGGGACTTTGCGCGCCCTATCCTTCCTGGGCCCTTGCTGTAATCAAAGCCCAGAAAGTCCCAATGGCCCATCAAAGTACTGTCTACCTTCAGAAAGTCCCAATGGCCCATCAAACATGTAGTCATTTACAAATTATATGGTACAGATGAGGGCTTAAGTTAGGGTGCATAACCCATGGTTATGCACCCATCAATAACTAAATCTGGACCTTTTATTTAGAAAATCCAGATCTAAGAATGGAGAATTAAAGACCATTTTTATTTTCACTAGTTTTCTTAATTGACTCATATCTTATTCGTTTTAACTCGGATTTTAATTTATTTTGCACAGATGGAACGATTTCATCGTGCTCTACAAAATGAGATCAATTTTCATTATTTTTTGAGGAAAAAAAAATTCTGGCCTCTCGGTACCAACTGCATACCATATGGTATCTTCTTCGTTTTTAATTCGTTTTTTAAAACGTTTGCACATCAGGGACAAGTTCATCATGATCTATTGGATCTACAAAATTCTGGGTGAACAAATTACAAGACCAAAAAATACCACACAATACCATACTATACCACCTTGGTACGGGGTGGTATCTTATGGTATACAATGTAAAAAGTTGTAAATGACAATTAATATACTTCTACTATCATGTATTCAACCATCCTACAGTTTTGGTTTGTGTCATACCACCATGGTACGCTTTTCAAACCATAGGTATGCTCTTATTTCAATAACAGTCAATACCATATGGTATAGACTGGTAAAAAATGGCTCAATTTTTTTTTGTTCGAAAAATATATCAAAGTGGATATCATTTTGAAGAGCACAATTAATCTGATCTAACTGTGCAAAAAAAATTAAATTTCGACTTAAAACGAGTGAGAAATCGTCCGTCAAAGATTAAGGAGGGGAAAATTAAAGGCTTTCCAGGAGAGAGAGGATGCTGATGTCATGCTGATGTGTGCAGGTTACTCATAGTTACTCACCATAAAGTTACTGACCTGATCCGTTCCCACAGATGAGAATGAGATTATACCTTTACGACCCTGAATAGCAGTGGGGTAACCCTGCTATCTCCAGGGCTCTTTGCAGTTTCACAAACAAGTTGATTCGACTCGGCATCGTTCAACTCCATCATCTTCATCATACAGATAAGATTTGTCCTCCTCGTTGTTACTTGCACTGCTGCTCTTCCAAACTCTGTCACAACTTCTATGACAGCAGATTCATATACAGTGGCCTTTTCACCAGACTCCGAGTCATTAAAAACTAGATCTCGAACTTTCTCAATCGTGAGTTTTAGCAAGATGGCAAAATCTTGTACCCACCCCTCCGCCAGGATATTAGAAACTACATCTCCTATGTCTTCTGTATGTTCACAAAGGCGGGTAACTGCCGACAAATCCTGTAAAAGTTTCATGACTCGTCAGGTGAACAGTATGCTCTACTACAAAGCAAGATTGCATCATATAGTTGCATCCATTGCCACCACTCTAACTGAGTTCCACTTATCTTCTATCAGAACAAGACATGTAAGTAATTAATAATACATGAGATCATTCATAGCTTCTCTAAACTATGTTTTAATAAGTTACACTGCACAGCATGAAGGATCACTAGCGTCTTAATTCAGATCCAAACTCGTGAAACTGAAACGCCCCAACTGCAAACAGTACCCCATACCCGCACGAGGAAGAGCATCAATCCTAAAGAACCAAGCTACGACTCTACTCAAGAGATTGAGCTGCTAAACCTTATGTCCTGGAAGTTGTATCAAAACAGTAACAAACTAAGATAATGATCTCGGCAGATGATTAGAGTGGCGAGAACCATGTGGTACATGACCAATTCAATACTATTTCCCAAGTTTTCAGAGCATGGCAACTACAAGGACTCAAGGAGGCAATACCAATTAAGAGAATGCACATCTATTCCAGGAACAAGAAAAATCATTTCCAGAAGTTCTTCATAGTCAAGTTGAAATCAAGGTGAACACCAGCAAGCACATTGCAGCCTTGAACAATGCACCAACAAATTCGATAGCTGATATCAAACTGTAATCAATACTCAGCTTCATCAACAACATCCACATTCCAACCAAATGACCACCGGGTGGCTTTACCTCTGAACCTGATGCTCCATTCCAAACTAGGAAGTAGTACTGCATTGTGTTCCTAGAATCACAACTAAAATCGACAGACAACAAGAGCATACATAACCATGCTGACCATCATCACATTCAGATTTCAAAGCAAGAATCACAACTATAGACCTGGATGGTTGCGAACTTTTCCATACCCTCATGGCATACGTTCAAAATATGGAAACGGATATGTTTAACAGAAGCAAGTAAAGATAATTCATTATATAGAAGGATAAAATTATTTATTTGTCATAACCGTCGAAAAATACGTTTGAGATAATTAAAAAACCTAAAGATATGATCCAAACTAAAATTTCTAGTACAATATGTTCAAGATAAATAAATGAATTACCAACAAAAAAAGATTTTTTTTAAATTGTGCCATGCATGTACTCTTATTGCAACTTAAATATGAATATATGAGAATACTAGAATTTCGAGAAAAAATAATCTACCTAAGTTCAAATTTCTTAAAATATGAATTATAAACTCAAGATAAAACTTAAATGGAAATCGCTTTCATAGGTAATTTAACTAAAAAATCTTTAAAAAGAAGAAATTGAACTAAAAAAAATCTTTAAACTTTAAAAAGAAGGAATTGAACTAAAAAAATCTTTAAATTAGCTATTTGTCATAACCGTCGAAAAATACGTTTGAGATAATTAAAAAACCTAAAGATTTGATCCAAACTAAAATTTCTAGTACAATATGTTCAAGATAAATAATTGAATTACCAAACAAAAAAAGAAATATTTTCAATTGTGCCATGCATGTACTCTTATTGCAACTTAAAAATGAATATATGAGAATACTAGAATTTCGAGAAAAAAATAATCTACCTAAGTTCAAAATTTTTAAAATATGAATTATAAACTCAAGATAAAACTTAAATGGAAATCGCTTTGATAGGGAATTGAACTAAAAAATCTTTAAAAAGAAGGAATTGAACTAAAAAGTTGAAAACAAAATATAAACCACTGGCATAAGGAATCGAACCCTGATTCAGGTGACTCAATGGAAGCAATTTCTCCGCTAGAGTAGAAGCAATTTCATTTTTACTAATTGACGCTTTATATATTAATATAACAAATGTAACTTATACGTAATTTCCAAAATTCTCGACGTATACAAGCGATCTTCAAAATTTTCGGGGGGGCCGAGGCCCCCTCGAGCTCCAATGTAGCTCCGCCCCTGGAGACCACCTCAACTCATCTCTGGAAAAAAATAATAGACCAGAAATTTAGAGTCAAAGGAGGACAGAATGCAAACAAGAAAGGGAAGGTAAAAGGAGCCTTTGATTGTTTGGACCGATTACCTTGCTCTCGGAACGGACATCGCCAGGGGGATGGCTCCAGAACCATCTTCGGCCTTAACATTCGTCCGAGCCCCTCGGTCGAGTAAGATCTCAACTAACTCTAGGGAGTTTCGACAGGCGGCCAAATGGAGAGCTGAGAGAGGAAATATACCCCTACCGATTCCATTGATAGGGGGTGTGATTCCCAACCGCCATCCAAGATGGCGGTCACACACCTGATCGAGTGATAAAAACAGGAGAATAGTAGAGTATCGAGTAGCTCAACTGGCTCTGTCACTTCTGAAACATGGACTTGGGATTTCACCCCGTCAAAATCGTCTTCAATAAAAGCTTTCCTGAGTTGGCTGTTGGGAACCAGTCGAGCGTCAAATTGGCTCAGTAGAGCGTCAAATTGGCTCCAATCGAAGCTTGCTGATACCTATCATCATATACCACAACACAAACAATTTTCCCCTTTTCACTTTCCCCGCTCTCTTTTGTGGAAAAATCAAGAATGGAGGGAAGATCAAGCGGGGTAAGAGCAAGGAGTTCGAAGACAGATGAATCAGCGAGTGATTCCGGCGGTGGAGCAGTTCCTTCCCCCAGCGACGGCATCTCTCCGGTAGGGAAAATTTTGTTAGTTGTTTGTTTCGGTATACCTTAATTTTTATCTCTTCCACCAAATCTCTCCGGTATATGATCACGATTGAACCTCTCCCAACAACTCGAGTTATTGGAATCAACTGGTTCTTGACATGGTATCAGAGCTTTCTGTGACAAACGGCTAACAAAATTTTCCCTACCGGAGAGATGTCGTCGCTCGGAGAAGGAACTACTCCACCGCCGGAATCAATCGCTGATTCATCTGTCGTCGAACTACATGCTTTTACCCCGCTTGATCTTCCCTCCATTCTTGATTTTTCCACAAAAGAGAGCGGGAAAGTGAAAAGGGGAAAATTGTTTGTTTGTTGCGTGGGAAAGTGACAATGGAAAGTTTGTTTGTTGCCTATATATCGGGTGGTAATGGGCTAATGGCAGAGAAATGAAAGAAATAGAATTCTATGCTACCAGAAAGTACCAATGCAGGGGAAGTACTTTCATCATCGCGAAAGGAGAATCACTGGAATGAAGAAAAATGTCCATTCCAGCCTTTGGAGAGGCATTCTCAAAGCCTACCCACTGATGCAAAAAGCTACTGTCTGGAGTATCAGGGATGGGCAAACAACTGAGTTTTGGAACCACCCCTGGATTGATCAAGACACAATACTGGAGAAACACTGCCTCAGAACCCTGACTGATGATGAGAAACTTACCTCAGTTGCTGATATGGTGAATGAACAAGGTGAGTGGGATTGGACAAAGCTTAACTCTCTTCTCCCTAATGTTTGGCTGTCTCGCATTGCAGGGATGGAAACTCCAAAACATGGATTGGGGGAGGACACCACTATCTGGGGACTTGAACATGACGGACGATTCAGGCTCAAGTCGGCCTACTTGCCTGCTGCGAATGAGATTGACATGACGGATGATCAGGGCTGGAAGGAGCTGTGGAAGTGGAGTGGACCAAGCATAGTGAAGCACTTCCTCTGGCTGGTCATGCACAACAGGCTGCTCACCAACCAGGAAAGAACAATTAGAAAGCTGACAAATGATGGCAGCTGCAAGGCTTGCAACGATGGTTTGGAAACAATTGAGCACATCCCGAGGAAGTGCAAAAAAAACAGAGGGAGTCAGACATTTCTTCAGAATCGGACAATATGTCCATGACACAAGAAATTTCAAACAGTGGATGATGGAGAACCTGAATGATGCTGAGAAAGGAATTGAATTCGGTATCATGTGTTGGATGATTTGGAAGCAAAGAAATGAGGAGACTTTGGATGGGAAAAGTTCTCCGAACCAGAGCTCATCAGCAAGATTGTCTCCTGGATTCGAGTGTATCAGCAAGCAAAGTTTAACGAGGAGAGGAGCATTCTGTCACCAAGGAATCAACTCATCTCAACCCCCATTACGTGGAAGCCACCAAGGGAGAACTGGATCCAAATCCAAACTGACGGATAAGTTCTTCAAAGTTCAGGGAAGGCGGCGGCGGGAGGGCTCATTCGTGATCATCTCGGCAGGTGTCTTGATGCTTTCATCTGTAACTTAGGGAACTGCACGATCACCATGGCCGAACTGAAAGGCGCTGAAATTGGATTACAAAGAGTGTGGGACAAAGGGTACCGGAAGGTCGAGCTCAACCTCGACTCTATGACGGCGATCAGTATCATGAAGAACAACAAAGACACGGATCATCGTTATGGGCTCATAGCTGCACGTATTGGAATTCTGTTGGATTTTGAATGGGATGTCAAGGTGTCCCATGTATATAGAGAAAGTAATTACGCTGCCGATTTCTTGACAAGCAAGGGGCATTCGGCCAATTTTGGTACACATCCATTCGATGTGTACGATCCTAGTTTTTGTAACTGGTTGATGTATGACTCCATGACCATCTCCATGGATCGTTCTATTAATGTTATGAATTAGGACGCATGACGTCCGTCTTCCTAACAAAAAAAGAAAAGAAAAAAGAAAGTACCAATGTCGTACCCTCTTCACCGGCTATAGCAAGTCTTCCCGTTGCTGCGTTATGGAAAACAAACAAGCAAACACATGTTGCCGATTTATTTATTTTATTTTCATTTATTGTTACATTACTCTTTGTAATTTACATAAAAACAAGAATTTTATTAATATTTACAATTTACGTATAATATTGTATTTATATAATTCACTTCTATTTGGCATTTATACTTTTGTCCCGCTTCTATCCATTTTGTAGCTATTCCGCCCCTGAGACAGACAACATACCTTAGACACTTATAAGTCCGGGGTATTCAAACCACTATTGCAAGCCATACGAGAGTAGCGCTTTACTTCTGTCGTTTGTTCGTCTAGTCAAGCAAGGTTGCTTTATCAGATGACTGATTAAGTTCTTTCCAGACTTGCTTCACCACTTATGCTAGCCGAGAGAAAGGCATTAGCCAATCCCAGGAACGGAGCGTAGAAGGTATGAGTTCGACACCCGCTTAGCCCATAGCTTTATGGCTTAGAAGAGTAGCTGGCATTGGCTCTTTGCTTTAGGGACAGTCGATCAAGGGGATGACGGAAGATGGCAGAGAATGTAGAAGATAGCCACAGGCAATACATAAGGTTAATATGTATAACAAAGTTAATTGTAGTTTAATTGCATGGTTGGTCATCGAGATTACAAAAAAACGTTCATGTTTGGTTACTAGAAATATTTGAATTCATTTGGATAATTATTAGTATTTCAATAGATAAAATAAAAGAATCCGCAAAAAGATTTGGATAAAAAATAGACATTACCCTATGTATAAATAATGAGATACTAGATTGTACCCAACCCGTTGGCCGGTTGCAATTTGATAATACTAATTAACAAAATTTAAAATTTTTAATTATATGTATATTTTTTTAGTATTTGTGTCATGATTATATTGTATGTCAATGTCATGCAAATTAACAAATAATGGTACCAGTTTTACAAAATAGCAAGACAGTTTCTTAATTTTTACGATTGAGAAAGTCTAATTTTTCAGTTGCTTGATAAATAGAAAATGAGCATTCATAAAAATGATTATTACCATTGTAAATGGTGCATTCTATACAGATTATTGTTGAAATTAAAAAGATAGAACTCATGCAAGGTATATAAACTTAATTAAATGATATTATAGGAATTCCAAAATAGCCAATATCAATACTTCTTTACTATTAAGAATCTTCATCATCAACTTCACTATATATTCATCATCAACTAACACTTCTCTTACTATAATAGATTTATGATAGGAATGTTGATAATTTTTCCATATACATAGCATTTGCCTTTAATAAAGAACATGTTTTCTTCTTGGTAATTTTGTCGATGAGTTATCAAATCTCTTGAACTCTGTCTTGTGTTCATTAATTTCTGAAATTTTAAAATGGATAGTAATAATTTTGTAAAGATAAGCAATGTGAAATAGTTAGAAAGATTATAAACAATTGATAGGTCATCAATGCTCATACCACTATAAAACTTAGCGCTTCACATAGAGACCAATGATAGTCAATCACATCTTTTGGTGGTATGAAAATGATTATTTATTTTTCTAAATTAAGCGTGACATGAACACACATTAAATTGTAAAATGCATATAATTAAAAATTATCTATAAAAGATGAAAGTCAAGCACAGTATTTCATTGTTTGGATGATTCTCTAAGGGAAATATTTCTTTGGAGCATTGAACTACAAAAATTAGTAGTCATAAAAAAATATTAGTCTAAATAATATAAGTAAAATAGTTGATGATGGAGAGGGTTCTAACATGAACATGGAAACCCTAATTAATTACTTAAATCTAGGGATGACAATTTTGTCCAAACTCATGAGTATTTCAAACCTATGAGATCAAAATAGATGATAAATGGGTAGAGTTTGATGGGTTTATACTCATACACATTTATTTGGGTTGGATTGAATTTTTAATCTATGAATATGAGTTTGTACTCATACCCATTTGCAAATTATAGTTTGGTACCTAAATGTAATAGATCTGTAAATTTAATTTGCATAAGTCCTCATAATATTGATGACAATTACAAATTAGTAGCTAAAATTTTTATGTGTTACATTTTGATACCTAAACTTTTAAAGTTTTACAAATAGGTCCAATCTTTGTATGTTTAGTTAAGAACAACCTCAAGTAAATGGATATTCATACCCTATTTAGAATATGAAAGCAATATTCATACCCTACTGAAATCCACTACATACAGATATATACTTCACTCATATCCTACCCATAATCAATGAGTTTACTTGAGTTTTAATAAAATTACCCATGGATAGGCAATTGACATCCCTACTTAATCTCGTCTAAATCTCTAGTATAAATGCAATTAGTGGAAAAAATTCATAGCTAAGACTCCAAGTGATTAAGTTTATGGTGTCTAATATATAAGTGCAATTAGAGAACATGTTTCTCCTTTATTTTCGCTGCCAACTATAGGCCCGTCTGAATAAAAAAAAAACCCGAAAATGAAGAGTCCTGCTGCCTGGAACTATAGATTCATAGACTTGTGTATGAGTATGAGTACAAACTCAAATTCAAGAAGACCCATGCGCGGTAGAATGGATAAAAACATTTGTTGAGAACACAAACTAGACTTACTCTACGAGCAATTACCGCTCCTCAAGCTCTGCAACAGGTCCAAGTATCCCAGGCTTTCAGGGTAAATGTACCTGAAAGTATTCATACGCCCTGAACTTAGAGAAGAGCCAACAACCAGCAACCATGTGCATAGATGCTATACTTAGGAGATCAGATATTAAGAAGCTGTCTTAATAGATTCACGGTGAAGAGGTTGGAAGAGATGGATTGAATAGCTCATCATACACTGAACATGAGAAACAGAAGGAAGAGCACTCACCCATGTCGGAATAGGAAATCAATGACGACTAGGGAGCAGTTTGGTTTGTAAAAATGAGTCCTCCTTACTATATTTGCAACACTTCCCACGGGCATCAAGTTGAAACCCTCAACTTCTCCATCTGTCCCCAGTTTAGAGACCCCGTTACAAACATAATCAAAGGAAATGCTGAATGAATATGAATGGTAAAATGCAAAGAACTATTTGAGGGCACTCTTACCTTGATTTTTTGGTACAAAACTTTCAGGAAGCTTTAAATCGTAGCAAAATAGAACATCTCTCTTGAACCTATCGCCATCAATATCCACATAAGAAACGGCACCAACTGGCAGAGCCCTGTGATAGAAGCAGTAACCAAAGCATTGTCACTCAGGAGAATATAAGAAACGGAATTAAAGTTACTACGTAAGCAGTAAACTAGGAATTGGAGACCATGCCAAACTTACTTGACAGAAATGGATTGAGGTATTCCTGCTTCTTCTTCACATTCCTTCACGACATTTTCTTGACAAGATATTCCATGAGGCTGAAATTGCCACCATGAAAACTTATGCACTGACTCAGCAACATAGTGGGGATAGTAAGACTTAGACTGATCTAAATTTTGACCATGTATATTTTGATTATTTTCACACTCTTTAGTTTGCAATACTAAAATGAACCTCTCAAGTCTCAAGTATCTAATTCACATTTCCCACCAGCAATCTGAATATCCCATCATGCACTCAAAGACCACTGCAACTTATCTTCCTAGTGAGTGTTCTTCATCAGAACCCGGAAAAGAACCTAAAGGAGACAAGATCACAATTCCCCTAGAGCGCTGAAAGGACCATGATAAATGTGGAAGGCACACAGTGTTCCGAAGTGATAATTGGTACAAAGGATTGATAGACCCAAAGAGTGGATTAATAGAGAGGCACTGCGAAATAGATAATCACAAACCAGTCCTCCGGCAACAAGATGATCCAGCATCCCAGGATAAGTAGGTTTCACTAGACTTCTCTTTGCCACCCACAACAATTTTTCATCACCACTCTCCACAAAGCCATTCATATGAATGCCATATGCCTGAACAAAAGAAGCACAACCCATAACTTCATTAGATTATTAGAATAAAGGAAAGAAACCCAGCAAACAAACCACATTGATACCTCCAGAACACAAACCTTTATCCCGAAATACGGAGCTGCAGCACGCTCCAACGAGAAGTAGACCCGCCCACCGAACGATGAAGTAACCGGGTAAAGCTGATCACCAATCCAAAACCATAAACATTCAGCCAATGCCATCTTCATTTTCACTGTTTCTCACTTTCAAGAGCTCTTGAAATTGCATCCCAACACTAAGAATGAGAGCAATCGTTACCTCATTTCTTATACCTGGAATTAGGTCTTCTTGTTCTTCTACCAAGCATTTGATGACTTCCCCAACAGCTGCAGTCCTTTCTTCCGGCGTGCCTAGCTTGTCATGTAAAGTAACGCAATACCCAAATCGGGCTCCATGGGAGCTGCTGTCCTTGATCACGAACACTTCCTCGAACCGCTTCAAATGTTCAACAAAACTATGAACAATACAAAGACCATCTCAAGTTGAATGAACAACGTACTCGACGCGTCGATTACAAAATTCCAGAAGAATGAGAATTAGGTTTCTGTATACTCACCGGTTATGAATGTAGCCGACTGTGTTCTCCTCGATCACGAACGAAACGAATTCGAACCGCATTTCCTGCAACGAAATTTCCGTCTCACATTTCCGGGAAACCAAACTGAAATTCGAGAAGGGGAAAAAATAGATTTCCCAATTACAGAGCCGCGATTGCAGAACTTGATCTTCTCGAAGAATCCAGAGAGATCGGAGGAATCCCCGGGGGCGTATTCAGGTTGAGAGGCTCGGACGGCGTCATCCCAAGTGAAGCTGCTGGTCTCGGGAGTGGCGGTGGAGGAGAGAGCTGAAACGGAGGGGAAGCCGGAGGATTGCGCCGCGTGAGCGCAGAATCGGAGTGGAAACGGTGTCGTCTGGGGACTGATTGAACGAGAAATTGGCGGGACTCCGGCGACGCCGCGAATTGGAGGGAAGGAAGAGCGGAATCTGTTGGGTAGGAGGAAGTGGGAATTGAGAGCCATTGGAATGCGAGCGACTGAGTGAGTTCGAGCAATGGCGGAATTCTGAAGGAGGGAGTGGACTTTAGGACGAGCACGGCGTTGGCAGAGTAAACGTCGGCAGTTTGGTGGTAGATAGATATGGCGGCTTCCAGTTCCAGGTGGAAAGACAAATTCACACGGTCACACCTCAAGGCCATGTTTGGATGTTAGGCTTCTTTTTAGTTTGTTTTTCTTTTTCAAAATACGGTGTTTTAGCATCTTGTTCTAGTAAATGCCCGAAATAAAACACAATCGACCTAGAAACAACAATATAAAGTAAGATCAGAAGCGATTGATATAAAATTTGATTTGATCAATCCTCAAAATTTTGAATACTATTTGGTGTTGGATTCTATGTAATCCTTGAAAATAAAGAGTTTAAATGAAATCCATTAAAGTAAATATAGATCCAATTGGTTATGATTCCAATTGACACTTCCTTATTTATTCAAGTTATATAGGAATTTCATCAATCACCAAGGATATCTACCCCTTGTCAAATCTTAAGGACGTCATTAAATTTTTATTTATTTTGGGGTTGATAAAGAGATGTTACCTTGTATCTACCCGATTCTATGATTCCAATTTTGATATACTTTAAAAAAAAATTTTGATATCAAATTGTGAAAAATTTCTACAAAATGAAGAAAATATACTTTTGAATCTCATATTATAGTCATCCACTTTAATATGACGATCATACTCAATATTTATAAATAATGGGATATTTTTCGATTTTGATTTCTATAATCAAAGGTCGATTGTGTAAGAAATGTAACCTCCAAACAAACACGTCCTAATAATCAACCGGCGGAGTTCCGTGTGTCAATTAGATTTAGCGGCGTGAAAAGGCGAAATTCTTTCGTTTGTCTTTTCTTTCTGTTTCTGAATTGCGTATTTGATACTTCCCTTTTCCTGAGAAGTTCTCCTCTTTGGCGCTCTCCATCTCTTCGCTTCACTGCCTTTCCCTGTCCCGCTTCCACACTCCGGCGGCCCGTCGATTGCCGCTCCGCTCCTCTTCTCGTTCTTCGCCTCAATTCAGATGTGCATGTTTACAGCGAAGATAGAGTTGTAGCTCAACCAGTAGGCTCCTTCCTTAGTAAAAGTCAAGGTCGGCGCCACTCCGTTCCTCGCAGCATCGTAGTCGTCGGTTCGCCTCCTCCTCTTCTTCTCCGTTCAATTGGAGCCGACGTTACGTTCGTATAGCTTGTCAGGCAATGTCTTGCTCGTCGTCGTCGTCGGAAACTTCCGTTCCCACTCTCAGAACTGTCACCATACCGTACTCGGAACTCAAGGTAAGCGCGCGTCTTCATTCTCTGTTTGGTTGCTCAGGTCCGTTTGATCAGGCTTTATGAAGAAAACTTTAGCGCCGTTTTGGTTTCCTCTTGGATTTTGCCGCCTCGTCTGTGAAGGATTCAAGCTCGACGAGGACGGAACGTTGAAGCTTATATACATTGATTCGCTCTTGTTTCAGTAGTTTCTATTCTAGGAATTGAATCCGTTAACATGTTTGGAGTTTTTTTTTATTCTTTCTGCTGCTGACCTGAATCTGTCCTTGAGGTTCGACAATGTGCTTGTGGTATTGTTTGAATGAGAATTTGTACACAGAGTTTCATCTGATGAGCAATCTATATGGGTTGATGTTGATGATTCAGGAGAAGGATGTGGATCTGTCGAGTAAGATAGAGGAAGGTTTTGGACCAAATGGGCTTGGGATTCTGTCCATTACAGATGTAAGAGTCGATAAATGCTTTGCGCCTTATCTATCTTATTCAAGTTACATGCTTGTTGTATCTGGACAGCATAATGCTCAAGTTGATTGGTTTGGTTGGATTTGATTTTCTTGGTTAGGTCCCAGGGTTTTCTTTATTGCGTCGCAGTCTTCTAAATCTTTCTCCCAGGTACTATACATCGTCCTCTCAGTTTATCTGCTTATTTGTACTCAATAGGCTTCAATTTTCTATCTTAACTTTGCTATAATGGTTGTCCCTTATCAGACTAGCCAGCCTTCCAGAAGAAATGAAGAAGGAACTTGAAGATCCAAGTACTAGGTAAAGCTTCATATAGCCTCGGTCTGTAAGTGCATACAGAGTTAAGGAGTGGGTAGGCGATTAGGTTTCATCATTCGACATCTGAAGTTTTGATTAGGTCATGTGGTTATTGTGGCCCCTTTCATGCTTGCTGTGATGAATTGAATGCATACGTCGAGTTCTGGTTACAAAATGTCCAGTCCCTTTCCCCTGAAGTTCAACTTGCTGTTGATAATGCATATACTGGGAACATTTTATCTGATTATGAAATAGGTGCAACTTTTTAAGAATTGATAGTACTTTGTTTGTTTCTACTTTCCTGTACAACCAGATACAACTTTGGATGGAGTCATGGAAAAGAGAAGCTTGAATCAGGAAAGCCTGGTAAGATTTTGGTAGATTATGGCTCCTGACATACTGTTTCTGCTATTATATCCTTGAACATTGAATCACAGGTAGGAAATTCAGCAATCAAATTTCCTCTCACTAGCTCCTTCGTGCTTTTCCATACAGACATATTAAAAGGATCTTATTATGCAAATCCAATACTAGATGTGCCTACAACTGATGAACATCTGATACAACGGTAAAATTTTAGTAGCTATATGCAGCATATTTATTGGTTTCCAGCCATTTATCACTCTCTGCATGTTCAAAAAGCTAGATGAGAGGATATAAGTTCTATCAGTTGACAGTATGGTGTTGTCTCAACTTGTGATTTGGAGGATATCTACCATTCTGCATGAGTTATATGTTTAAGCCCTTAACATGCTTATCTTCCATTGACATGAGGTGGACTACCATATGTGTTTGCAAATGCTTTCAATGGCGGAATGTCTCTTACTTGTTTAACAATTGTGGTGGATGCAGATATCCTTCATATTGTGGATCTAATATATGGCCAAATTATGCTCTGCCCGAACTGGAAGTTGGTAAGTCCAGATAGTAATGCACTTATTTGTTCTTCAAGATATTTGATACTCCACACATTTCTGAATGACATTGCTTTGGAGATAGCTTGAGATTTCGCAGCAGAATCTTCTTTTGTTTAGATTTCTTTGATTTACTTCAGTCTTGTCGGAGTCCCATCTATAGCAGTACTTATTAGTATAAAGTTAGTGTTATAACTACACTAGTATTTTGCTTCATGTGTTTGACAATTTTTCTTCAAGTGCAGCTTTCAAAGCACTTGGAAAGCTCATTCTTGATGTTGGATTGATGGTGGCTTATCATTGTGATCAATATGGTAAATATATACATACTTAAGTTGAAGTCCTTTTAAGTCTGTGGCATACTGTTCTTTTGTACCTAGGCTTTCACTTGCCCTAAATTAGATTTTAAACAACAATATATAAAAAGTGTGCTGACGTCTATTGTTCTGTTCTCTCGACTCTCCATCTTCTGCCTGCATCTATACTTCATCTTATTTCATACTCTCTAATGTTCATGGTCTATGCTAATTTTGGGGTGTCTTGAATTTACTGTTAAGTCCCTTCAAAGTCTTAAATGTGATGGGCTTTTGAACAGTGTCAAAAGGAATGAAAGACAATGAAGATGGAGGTCTTGTAAAGATATTAAGCTCTTCTCGGTGCCACAAAGGCCGGTTACTTTACTATTTTCCTGCTCATCAGTAGTAAGTCTCATCCCGTAGTTTCTCATTTCAAAGTGCCTTGTTAATATTTAAAGTGGATCTCCTTCGAGATACCAAGTTCTTTGTGCCTTCTTATTTCTCACTTTGTTACATCAGTACCCGGAGCTTCATCCTGCACGTGCTACTTGACTTCTCGACATGTTGAAAATGCACTCAGTCTTCAAAACTCAGCATAACACAATGAATATAATTGTTTCACGAGTTTCAGAAAATACGTACACACACCAATGTGGATGAATTAGGATAAGAGGCGATAAAGAATCATTACACTTGTAGCTAATATTTTCCAAATGTGGAGCACAATTGTAATGGTGCTGGCAAATTATAGTGGTTTTAACAGTTATCTGTCTTATATGCTCTGGTTGGACTGCACTTTTATTTAAAGTGGTACGCAGTTTGATTCACACTCTTAACTTCAGTCATGGGATGATGGCTGTTTGTAATGGCCTACTGCGACCACAAGTGGTACATATTTTTGTGCTATATGTTCCTAATTATCAGCCTCTCCGTTGATCATCATTCTACTCTAGTTTATGAGTAAACCATTTGGACTTCTTTTGGACCTCATCCTATTTGGATACACTGTTTGATACCTGAATAATTTGCAGTGATGGTTCAAAAGATGTAGACTCCATGTCCTCATGGTGTGGATGGCATACAGACCATGGTTCACTAACAGGTGACCAGCCTTCTTAATTTGTAGTGTTTGCATCTCCTTTTCTTAACATATGTGCTTTGGTTTAAGAATCTTGTGGTTTACTTGCTATTTATTGTTCCACAGATAGCAGTTTTCACTTTTAGATGTTATACAAAAATCGAAATAAAGTTTTTGAGGTAGCTTTCATGATCCACTTTTAGCCGTCCAATAGATTTGAACCTTCCATAATTTTCTCTATCAAAATGATAGCTGAGATACATGGTTGGATGACATCTTTGAATGCCTTTTAAGTTATGGTCCTCTTGCATCGTACTTTTTCTGATGTTTTCTTCAACTCAATATGTAGGTCTGACATGTGCACTGTTTAAGAGAGATGGTGTAGAAATACCTTGCCCTGATAGTGCTGCCGGTCTTTATATTAGAACACGAACAGATCAAATTGTGAAAGTACACTTTCTTAACATTAACTTTCCCCTTGCTGCAAATTGCTCACATTTATGTGCATCATTCGATTGCTGAACTTGGTCTTCATGCTAATCACTGGTCACGTGACTTGTATAATCAATCAAATGGAGTTTCTTGTTTCTCTCAGCCGTCGTGGAAATTCTGAAGTTAGAGGATTTGTGTATTATTATTATATATACACATTATTGATCCATAGAAAGCCACTCATGTTAAAAAGAACATGAGATATATGAATGTGAAGAATGCAAGCTGCCAGTCCAAAACAACAATGAATCAAGCATGGAGCAATTGGCTTCTTAAAAACTGTCATGCCATGTTATAAGTGAAATTTATGAAAACATTTTTCCTAAGCTTTTAATTAATTTATAAAGGAGCTAAGGGAAGGTAAATAATAGTATATATTCCACGTCGCCGGTTCTGATTCCAATTTGTGTGAAACTACAATCCAAATAATTAATTCCAGATTTAGCTGTGTGAATAAGTGAAGTTCTTCATTTCTTAGAAGCACTTGTCTTCATTCCTATAGTCAGTGGATACACATTCTTCTGTTCTTTTTTTCGTCTTCTTCTTTTTCTTACATTGACTTGCTTGTCTCTCATGATTCAGGTTATATACGGAGAAGATGAACTAGCGTATCAAATTGGAGAAACCACTGAAATACTCTCGGGAGGCTATCTCTGTGCAACTCCTCACTGCGTTCGGGTACTTCCTTAACCCCCACGTTATTTTTGCACAACAGCAGAACTGAGTGAGAACCCATATTCCATTTTATCTGTAATGCACGTCAAGGGCAGTAAGTAACCCTTTGTTGGCTTGAAGACTGTGAGCTTTGTTCTTAGGTCATGACCTCAAAATTTTTGTTTCTTCTACATCACGGTAGGGATAGCATAACAAACAGACATGACAGACTTAAAGGACAATGCAAGCTTTTTTTTTTTTTTTAATTTCATTTTGCCTACAATGCCATTTCACTTAGTCGCTTTTTTTGCTGTGATTCAGGCACCTAAAGGAGCAGCAGCTTCTAATGTCGACCGATCAACGTTCGCCTTATTCATGCAACCCGACTGGTACGTCCTCTATCAAGCCTCTCCCCCACAGAATCTAATAGCGCTTCCGCGCAATGTTCCATCTTGGCATCGCTTCAATCCTTTCTCCTCGGTTCATGCAGGGATCAAAAACTGAATTTCCCCGAGGAAGCGCGACTCCACAAAGAGGTATGTATGTCATTTCATCATCTTCTGGAGCTGCTGCGACAATGTTGCTTGCCATCATCCTGTGTGTTTCCTCCTCGGCATCCATTTGAAATCGCAGTTCTTTTTTTCTCATTTGCCTCTTCTCGTCTGGTGCAGCTGAAGCTGGCCAACTCTTGCCTCACATTCGGAGAATACACGGAGAAGCTCTTGGGGAAGTACTACCACTCCAGGTCTTAACCGAAATGAAAATGAGTAATGACGGCTGAAGATTGTCTCTGTTTCTCTTGTTTCTGGTTTCTTTCCCCTTCCTCTTTTGTTATTCTGTTCATTTCACATTTTTACGTTAGTATCAACTAAACCTCGTTGAGTACTCTCATCGATTTTCATGGTGAAATAGACTGGAATTTGGCTAATGGAGTTCATTTGATTCTGGTAGAAGGAAATCGTATATAATGAGCTTTGTTTCACCTTTCGTCAAAAAAAAAAAAGACAATGAATATGAGATTTCATATCAACATAGGACCTAAACATCGACCTATCTATTTATTAATGTGACAATCTTTGATCATTAAATGAATGCTCTGACATTAAGATCTTCATAAAAAATTTGACTTTACTCGACAAATTTCAGGAGTATGAATTGATATTTTTTAATTAAAATCTTAGAGATTTAAAGCAAAAAAGCCATCAAAATGCTCCACATTATATAAGTTGTCGATAAATTTTATGATCGATAGGCCGAGTACAAAACTAAGTTAAACAAAGAACAATTTTGTGATTTTGTCACTTGATGACCTATGAGTAGACACTGAAGAGATCATGTTAGTTATCCAAACAGCAGATTCATTTAGAATGATGATGTCATATCTAAGATTTTTTTTTTTTATCTACGGCCACTTTTTTTACATATCTATCACGTCAAAAACAATTTTCACCCTCTCTCGCAGTCGCTAAAGTTTTCAAATTAAGGAAACCAAAAAAAAAAAAACTGACTGGTTTCCGGAACCCTAATTCTCTCTTTTATAAAGAACCAATACGCCATCTGAGCTCTCTCAATTTCGGCCGGGGGAGGAAGGCAGCGTCGGCAAACAGCTGAACGACTTGCCAAAACTGGTTAGCAACTAGCAAGGAGACAGGGAGCGGCGGGCGTGGTTCGTGGGGGGTTTGAGCTAGAGGATGGTCGGGGGAGGTGCCGGCGGGAGGACGAATGAGCAGGTGGTTCTGAATAGTACGAATGTCTTTGCTGCGCTCGACACTTTGAGGAAGAAGAAGAAGAGCTCGAGCTCTTCTGCTGCGAATTCCGGGAAGGATCGACACGGCTTGTCTAAATCGAAATCGAGCAAGGATGGTGATAAGGAGTCCGAGAAGGTGTTCTGGTCGCCGGCGCCGCTAAACTCGAAATCCTGGGCTGATGTGGACGACGAAGATGATGATGATTACTTCGCGACTACTGCCCCTCCTGCTGTCGTCTGGGGTGAGGATGATGCTGGTGGCAAGCCTGAAAACGAGGCCGTGGAGGTTTGTTTCTCTCCTTTTTCTCCTTTGGTTGTGGCGTTTAGTTATATCAATATGCTTACTTTATCATACTCTTGCTGGCGGTGTATTTGGGTTTAACTTGGAATACCTTGGTGTGCTAGTATGATGGCCTTGTTTAATGTTAGAGAAATTGGGTGAATGGCTTATTATTTTGGGATAAGTAGCTTTCGCTGGTTCTTCAGAGTATACTTTTCTTAGTTTCTGGGGCCTAATGATGAAAAGATGATATCAGATATGCTTTATCTAATTGGATCTCTTCTGTGAAGTATGTCTGTGCATTTGGGTATGGATTTGCATAGAGGTTTCTGGAGGAAGAAATGAAGCTTTTGTGATTGGCAATTCATGTTTGTTTGCAACTATTGATGCAACTACAAGTGGAGAACCTACCTACCCACTTGTTAGTACACTTTCTCCTCCAGTTCAAGTGTTAATCTCAACTTATGTGGGTTAGTCTTGGATTCTGGTTGCGAGATGGAGTTTTGAGATATTTGGCCAATGGACTTTGCCCGTGTTTCAGTTTGAAGTTTACACGTAGTAGAGTGTCGGTTAATGGATACGGTTGATTACTTTTTAATGGTTTCCTCACTGGGGAAAATGGCCAGAATTGGTATCACATCTTGTCGTACACAGAAAGTTTGGCATGATGCTTTTGTGTCAAACTTTATGACTGTCAAATGCTGTTAAGAGGATCTCATTACCTGTTCCATCCAACTGCTAAGGGACTCGTGTTAATAGTCACATTACTCAATATCGTTGGAGCATATCTAAGCGATTCAATTATGTCCTGTGATTTTTTCCACTTATGGCATGGTAGGCATCTATATGCTGCCAACTCTGCCCACCCTCCAAATATTGCTTTAGATACTGAGGGGAGCATTGCGAATTGTGTCTTTTGTTGATTAGCATTATTAGCCAGTGCGTGAATTATTGCCGTATTATCGATTTTTGTTTTTCTGAAACACTTGCCCAATTGTTATTGACATGTGCACTGATGAGCGATGATGCCATATTCAGTTGTTTTGCAGTTGTTATTGTACGTATTGCTTATGTGGATAATGTATAATCTTTTACCCAGGAGCAGTAATCGAGCGTCAGTATCTGAATTGTGTGTTTTTTTAATATCCGCCATGAGGTTGGGTTGGTAATCGTGAATTGTGCTAGAACCCTGAGGTTTATAACATTGGTGTTGGATAGTCTCATCTTAACTGCAGCTCTTTGCCTTCGGGATATATATATTAAAATCTTACTTTTTATACAATGGCGGAAATAACTAGGATACTCACTGATGGTTCAGCAAATTATAGTCAAAGTTGCTGTTGAACTCATGGTTTGTGCCTCACGGTCGTTTGATGTGATTCCAAGCTGTTTATTTTCTCGTATCTGTTTGATGATCTCGTTAGAGATTGACCAGCATTTACAGTGACTAGTCTTACCTCAAATGCTGTTTGGTGTACAGGAAAGTGAGAGTGATGAAGAGGATCTTGATGAAATTGATGATGATGTGGAGGAAGAACATGAACACGAGCCTGAAATAGCCACCGAAGTCGAGCCAGTTAAGAAGCAACCCGAGACTCCCTTAGCTCCCAAAGAATCAGAAAGGCAACTTTCGAAGAAAGAGTTGAAGAAAAAAGAGCTTGAAGAACTTGATGCTGTTCTTGCTGAACTAGGATATGCCAAGCCGGAGTCTAGTAGTCAAGAAGTCTCTGATGGTAACTTCTTATAAGACCACTCATTTTCTCTTCCTATTATACTTTTAATCTCTTATTGTGTATTTACCACAAAATAGCAGCAACACTCTGTTCCGGATGATAGGACAATATTCTTGTTTTTCATCAGATGTTTCACAAGAGAAGAAAGCAGACAACAATGGGCAAGTGAAGAATGAAAATGCTCCAGGTGAGAGCAAGAGTGCCAAAAAGAAGAAGAAGAAGGAAAAGACATCAAAAGAAGCCCCCAAGGATTCCGAAGATCAGTCTCAAAGTGCAGGTGTCATCGGAGATGTCCCAGCAAGTAGCACTGCTGAAGCCGAAAAGTCTGATGATGCATCCAACGGTGTCGATGTGAAAGAGCGGTTGAAGAAAGTGGCGGCCAAAAAGAAGAAATCAAGCAAAGAAGTAGATGCTGCTGCCAAGGCTGCCGCCAGTGAGGCTGCTGCCAGGCGAGCAAAGGTTGCTGCCGCATCAAAGAAGAAGGAGAAGGCTCACTACAATCAGCAGCCAGTGCGGTAAGCCAAGCAAAAGAAAATTTTGTCCTCAGTACTTGTGTTTGATTTTGATAACGCAAGTAGTACCTCAGGATAAGGATTGATGTCGCGATATCAATGGCAACTTTTTTTGAGAAGGGATAGAAAGATACTTGTTCGTTTTAGCTCTTCACATGTCCTGGTTTTGTTGGGAATGCTGAACCTGGTGCTTTCTTAAACAGCCTAATATGAAATGACAGGTTCCGTGGTTCATTTCTATGTAGTTTCTGTTCTTCCAAGTTTGTTCTTATATCAATGACCACTTCCATGCCTTTGTTGTATCATGAGCCTGTTCTCTTGAAGTGCCTACTTTAATCTTAGTGACCGCCTTGGGTTCAGCCTTGGCTCGAGTCTCAATCCGCATATGGGCAAAGAACTGCCATCATCTGCAATTCTGCATGTCTAATTGACCATCTGATTAGAAAGCTATTACATGTCTTTGTTGTGTAAGGAGCCTGTTTTCCTTTGCATTGCCTACTTAATCTTATTGACTGCCAACCGGCGTGGCTTCAGCCTTAGCTCGAGGCTGAACACGCATGGGCAAAGGAATGATGTAGCAGTTATTATCAGTAAACAACTTTCAGTTATTCCTCATGTCTGCACTTCCGAGTTGCTGAGAAAAGAGTCTAATGTTTAATCTAAGGGTCCAAAGGCACATATGGCTTTGCCCGTGTCATGGTTCGACCATAAAGGTGGCAGATGAAACAGGTCGGATTCGATCATAGTGGCTTCGGTTAATATCAATTGCCGGCGGAGTCTGGGTCGTAACAACTCTGCTCCATGAAAGAGGTTTCTATATATAATCCGAGTCGGAGAGTTTATTACCGTGGGTTCGGTTTGGGATAAACTTCGACTGCTCGAATCAAGCCATACGGTTCCTTGGTTTATGGTGCGTCGTAATGGAGCAAACGACTTGCGGCAACCCTCTCTGTTCCTTGGTTTGTCTTCGTTTCTAACGTTTGCTCGAACGAAAAATCAACCAACGGGATTCTGGACAGGACCAAATCATCATTGATGCTCCTCCAGTCACGAACCAACCAACCGTTACCTTGGAGGTTGGACCATAAACTTGCGCACTTTCCTCCTCGTGCCTGCAATGAATTCTTCCTTCCTTCCTTCCTTCCTTCCAGCTGGGACCGTGTGAAGGCAAAGTGCACTACAAGCAAAACTCGAATTGTATTTTGTAGGGCAGGCGCTGAATGGTAGGCTGGGGAGCGCCATGGCCATTCCTGTCGGCATCACCGGACAAAACAAGAGTTGCCAAAACGAGCAAAATCACGGACCATGAATCCAGACCAGACCCAATTTGCCAGGGCCTTTTGTGGGTGGAAGTTTAATATCCTAGTGCAAGTGGAGAGATAATGCTCCACTAGTGCAGGAAAGAAACAGAGTGGGTTTTGTTCTTTTTGGAGGCATTGAGTGTTCTAGAGATTGTAGTTGACTCTTTATCAACAACCAACCAACCATGAAGCGTACCGAGATTGATTTACTGCATTACAATTTAAGACTATTAAGGGATAACTAATGTCAACATCCATTCGATCCTCTAGTTGTTCCAGAATTTTCAACTTTTGGTGCTTTGGTGGTCTCCTACCAATTGTAAACAATGATATGTAGTCTTAATCAATAAATTTATTCATCCCCATTTATGATTTGTTTTAGAAACATAGAAATCGCAACCCTTTCGAGCCGTTCGTTATTTGGGTCTCTGTGAAGTTTCTCAGTTGAGAAACGGGTCGTTGAACTTTTAACCAACTCGTTTCTGTACCAAATGAAATGTGCTTTGTTGGTGTTTTTTTTTTTTTTACATTATAGATTTTGTGATGATGGTGGCCTCCCTATTCATCTCTCGTCCGAGCAGTTTGTGTGCGATTGAGATTGACTGTTGAATCCTGTAATCATAAGCATGTGTTCATGCATTCTTAGTTGTACAGTTGAGAATTGGATTATTGTGCTTTGTTCGGCAAATGCAAGGACATCCGAAAACCGCTTATTTTTCCCATGGATCATGTGCCTCGTCAGAAACCTTGTGATTCTTGATCCGGCGACTTTAGATGTGTAAATATGGTGTTTTAGAATACGGGAAATTCAATTATAACTTGTGAGGAGAATTTATAAGGTATTCTCAATGTTAAAAGGACTGGAATGAAAATTAAGAAAGTGAAAGCAAATAAGGGGCCTATGCTTCAGGTCTTTAACGGCTAATCATTGTTGGATTGGATAAATAATTTGATCAATCAACAAAAGTTGGCTAATGCTAATCAAAAGACATCATTTCGTTTGTTAGTTAGTTAATGTGAGTGCGTGGCAGGTGACACGTGTATGCACGTGAAAGGGTCGACTAAGAGCGAGGGAGGGATTGGATTCAAATGATAAGGATGGAATATGATGACGTCATTGCGTCCCAATGGATTAAAAAAAATTGAAAACAAAGATAATGCTTGCCGTCAAAGGAGCCTAGAAGCTTTTTTATGTGGTTAATTAAAAACGTGGATGGCGAAAAACAGAGGGCCAAAAATGACAAAAGGAGGTGCCACGATGGATCGGGGTTTCCGATAAGACCAACTGGGTTGTGGGCCTGAATTCTCCCCGCCCGCCAATTGCCCAATGGGCCCAGTTGGTTTCTCGCTCGCTCACACTGTCCCTAGTTGCTTTCGTTCTTCTTCCATCTTTGACTCGAAACCAATCACTATGTTCATTTACCGTCTTGCCCATTACCCTTTAATTTGTCTCTTTTCCAACTATTGTATTAAAGCAAAATTTACCAAATTGTATGGATTCATTATTCTTTTCAAGATAGTTTGGATGTTTATCTCGTTCATATTTATACCAAAATCGGGTAGAATATGGACATCATGTATGTATCTTTTATTGGATTTTGGATATCCACGAGTATCCATTAGTAATAACTTATTTTTATAACTTCAACCAGAATGTTAACAATTACACGTGTGTTGCCGTTATAGAAGTTAAAAATACAACACTAAATTACTTGAACAAAGTAAATGAGTAACAAACAACAGTTTCATGAATATTATATATGCATGTATAATATATAACAAATATGGCGAGAAAAATAATGATGATTTTTAAATAAAATACATAAGCACGTTTATAATCGTACATGTTCGAGTTGGATAATGACAACCCATCCATTACTCATAAGGTTCGAATTGCGTTTTATTCATACCCATTAAAAAAATCCTCGAATTCAGGTTACCCTACTTTATTAGATCAAAATATTCTGGCAAATACCCTACCAAATTGTATCTCTAAAAAAAAATCCGAGACAACAAAGAAATTTAGTTTTAAATAATAACGAAGAGAATTATTTGAGTAATAGAGTCCGATTATTCGAAATATGAATCTCCACACACGTGCACAAATTCAATAAGGTTAATGTATGACACAAAAAAGATCAAACAATATAAACTATGAATATATACTCCATCAAATTAATATGAAGTGATTGAGAACAATCCAAAAGGGACGAAACAAATGTAATACGGTCATATCGATTCTCATATTTTCCCAAATTAGTAAGAAAATATAATATCAAAATTATCTTATCCTGAAACTATCACCTGTAGACCTAACCCCCAAATTGTAATGTGAAACAAAACCCAATTATTTTGAGGGTTGTCTTTCGATTAGACACAACACACAAGTCGTTTTAGTTGCTTATTTAGCAAGGTGCTTTTGGTGAGGAGAAGAAACAAAAGGCAAATAAGCGAAGGAAGGGCAGTACCGTCATTACAGTAACCGCCATCCTTAGCCAAGCAATCTACCGCTGTGGTCTCCGTGTGCATTGGACCTTCCTCTTCCTTTCCTCTTTCCTCTCCTATATATAAACCAAACCAATCCCTCGCCTCCACTTCCCCCAAAATCCGACTCCGATCTCTGCTTCTCTCTCTCTCTCCGCTTTTGCAGAAAGCAGAATCCCCGATGGCCATATACAGCTACCTCCCGCCGTCCTCCTCCTCCTCCCGCTCCGACGTCGCGAAACGCAGGAGCCAGCAGCACCGCCGCCGCAGCGGCGGCGGATTCCGGCGACGGTGCGTGGTGCTGGTGAAGCAGCAGAAGACGCGGTTCTACATCTTCGGCCGCTGCATCTCCATGCTCCTCTGCTGGCACGACCACGCCATCCGCGACTGACGATCTTCTTTCTTTTCCCTCAATTCGATCGGCGAGTCCCGAGTTCGCGGCGGAAGAATTGAATTCTGGAGGCGGTGAAAATCGACCGGCTCGTTGAATCCCCCCCCGGGCGATCGGAGAAATTTTGGTGTTAGCGGCTGAATTGAATTTCCGGTCTTCTGAAAGAGAGAAAGCCTGTGATTGGGGCGATGTTGTCTGCTACTTGTAAATATGTTTATTAGTCATATACAATTGAAATGAAGCCGTCGTCTTCTTCTTCTCCTTCTTCGTGTAGTTATCTTCGGATATCAGTTTTTGTCTCGAATTTGAAGGCCGGCTGCCGCCATAGGCGTGACGCCATCTTGATCTTGACCTGCGACTTGATCGTCGCAATTCACACGGGTGGGGATTAAACTAATTGTGATTTAGGGAAGCGTTGATTCCCATTTAAATCATTAACTAAATCACGTCATTTCTTTTTTAAATCCCCCAATAGAACTTTCGGCTTCGTTGAATTTTAGGTAATGATTGGATCGAATGAGTGAAGCGTATGAATATTACGATTACAGTTCCCCAAGACCTAATCGTCAGGCTCGCTAAACCCTGATTGCGTACCACAATGTCAGTGCTTCTCCTTCCCGCCGGTTTGCCACTACGGCCGGCGCCGGCGGCCTTCGCGACCCCAACCAACCAATTGCGCTAGCTGTCACTAGGTGTCAATGTCCGTTGGCTCAACTCAAGCCTCTCGGTAGTGAACTAGTGATGGCAATCGGGAAAGCGGGTATATCGACAATCACATCCGTCCGCACTATATGCTGATCAAATCGGATAATAAGCAGGCAACATTTCTCCTTTTTACAAGAACATATAGGGGAAACTATTCATAAATGAATAAGAAATATAGTAGAAGGAATAATTTAAATATAGTCTTAAAATTTCTTTTGGGATGAAAATGTGATTTTAGAAAGGTCGAATTATGTGAAATACATATAGATATCGATGCAAATCATGATAGAACGAGTCAAGGACGTGACGGGACGGTGCTGGGCAGTTTGGAAGCAATGCACATGCCCTGTCTTGCCCCGCGCTACTGCTTATCAGACAATACCAGCTTCAAACAGGCTGGGACAGGTCGAATCGCGCGTGACATATAAAAATTTACCGTCGCTACAATTGGGTCCAGGGGGTGTTATGTTGGTTCTGGATATATGGTATGGTTAAGTCGAGAATAAAGTCATTACTACAAATGGTTAGCGTCGTGTTTTTTTTTAATATATATTGTTTATGCATAACTAGGTGTCAACTATTGCTAGGTCTGTAAAATATTAAATCATATACTCGCCTAATGAGTATACGATATGAGTGATGACTATGAATTAATAGGCAAAATAATTTCAACCTAAGTGTCACCAAATTATGTCTCCAATGATTAGACATTAATATGTGAATGATTGCAAATCATGTCTTGAATGATTATCATACGAAGTTTGATGTAGGAATGGCTGCCAATGTGTTGTAATCAACTACAATGTAGATGTAGGAGACGGATGACTGTACACATTAACGAATAATGATAATGATGACCTTGCCTGTGACATTGACAATACTACGATTCTTTTGGTTGAATTAGCTATCGAAATGGAAGAAATAAGATTCCGTGAGGAACTATGAAATGGGCTTTTATTCCGAAAAGTGGGAAAGGAGCAGCCCATGGGCCTACCTGGTGTCTGGAGTATCTTTTTTATCTTCAGATTTCATGCTGTATTGGACCCGGCCCAAAAATTGAAGCAAGCCAGTAGCGTGCGGAACAGAAGTGAATCGTTTCCCCCCCAGGCCCAGGTCCCAGCCCCAACCCAAGCCTCGTCGGCGCCGCCTTCTCCTACTGCCTTCCCCGCATTCTCTCTTCCCTTCTGCGTCTCCACGTCCCAAGGGACGAGCTCGATTGATTCATTTTTTCAAGTAAAAACACCCATCGGATTCTCCTCTCTTCCCTTGTCCAATTCCCCGTACAGGCGGCAGTTGAAAGTCTTCAACTTAGGAAAACCTTGATTTGGGGGGGTTCTCTTCTCAGCGAGGAATTGAAGAGTTGCTACTTCGTTAGTATCTTCCCGGTGACCCCGTTTCTGTTCAGGAAGTGTCGGGTTTCTTCTTTTTGGGTAAAGAAAGGAAATAGGGTGGTCAGCAAAGAATGCTGGACGTGAGTAAGTTTGATGTGCATTTGAAATTATGGGCGCTCAGGATTCCTCGAGAGATCTGCAAGGTGGCCACTCGCGTCCTCAATGGGTAAGCAAGCAAGAACGCGAGATAGCTACTGTTTTTCTTCTTGTTTGGCCGTGGTCCTTTTTGGAATTGATGCTTGCTTTGGGGGCTGATTTATGTTGTTGGTTTTGTTTAGATACTTGCTTGATAAGCCTCGAGTGAAGCCGATTACCGAAGACCCAACTAGCGATAAGAACCGGTACATGATATTGTCTGAGAAAGTTGAGAACCCTGGTACGTGTTTGTGAGTTTTGATTATTGGGAAATTGGTTGCTAGTGTTGAACATTTGGTTTCGTCTTGTTGTGTGGGACACAGAGCTAACTGAAATCCCAGCTGAGAAACTTGATGAACTGAAGAAGTTATGTGAAATCGAAGTAGTTCCTTATGCCATGACCCTTGGATATTCTTACTGGAGTGCAGGTTGGTGACTCATGTGCTATTTATTTTGCTTCATTGTTTTGACTTTTGCACTCGTCGTGCGAATTCAAATGTTGAACTCAAGCTCATTCGCGCGGGTGAATGCTCTAATGTGTGTATTATGATGCATATATGGGTGTTTTTGACTGTGCTTATCTTTGATCTCAGATCATATTCTAAAGCAGGTTCTTCCCGCTGGAGTTGAGGTACCTTCATCGTTCGAGACAATAGTTGAGTATTTATCATTCTTGCGTTTTCATTAGACTTAGGAAATGGTGTTACGTCTACCTGAGTCCTGACCATGGTTTAGCTCTAAGAGAGAGAGCTGGATACTGGTGATAGTTTTCGTGGTGGTGTTTTAGTATGTACTGGAGAAGTTTGCATTTAATAGGTAGATTATCGGAGGTGGAAACTCAGCCCTGACAAGTTTCATCTCTGCTCCCATCTGCAGGTCACATTGCTCATTTAAATATACATGATGAACTGCTTCCATTCAAGGATGTCATCGCAAAGGTTATTTATGATGTAAGTTTCTACTTTTCCCCAGAAAAAAACTATGTTAAACACTGCACTTCATTTCGCAGTCCCAGCAAATAAATACTGGTCTCCAAGCTTTCATAGTTTTTGATGAAAATGTATTGACTTCAATGATCATTGAAGGAAATTTAGTATCTTGATTGTCGGTGAAACAACATATGGATACGATGTTATTCTGTTTTGTGAAATTTGAGCATATTTCTGCTGCTGTTCGTGAAAACACTTTTGGTTGGATCTGTATGTGCTGCTTTTCACATATTGTGATCCTATATTGTTTTAGTTGAAAAAAGAAGAAACAAAGTGATTCTTAGATCATTATGCTGATTTTGGCAGAAAAATCATCCGAGGATCAGAACTATTGTCAATAAAGTCGGATCTATATCAAATGAGTTTAGAGTACCCAAGTTTGAGATCCTTGCTGGGGACAGTGATATGGTCACAGAAGTTAAGCAATATGGAGCTACATTCAAACTCGACTACGGCTTGGTCTATTGGAATTCAAGATTGGAGCATGAACACATAAGGCTAGTCTCTCAATTCCGACCGGGGGAGATCATATGTGACATGTTTGCCGGCATTGGTCCCTTTGCTATTCCCGCAGCACAGAAAGGATGCATTGTTTATGCAAATGATCTCAACCCTGACAGTGTTCGTTATTTGAAGATCAATGCCAATGTTAACAAGGTCGATGATCTCGTGATTGCCTTTAATATGGATGCTAGGAAGTTCATGGCCCAGCTTATGATGGTTCCACCAGTTCATGAAGACAATTCAGTGGTCTCTAAAGTGGAGACCTTTGAAGAAAGGAAAAGAGACCAAGAGCAAGTGGCAGGTAACGTGTTTGGATTCATATTGGTATGTATTGTTGATCACCTCTGTGTTACTTTTTTCTCTTAAAACTTGTGTCATATTCTTTAGTTGAGGCGAAGGATTCACCTGACCACGCATCCATAGCTTTGGTCAAAGGGAATCCAGATTGTTGTGAAGAAGGTTGGTAAAGAACAGAGTTCGATCTGTGGGTCATTGAAATTATCTCTCAACATCTTGCATGCTAACATATTGTCCTATTGTAGAAAATGGGAGAAACCTTGGAATGCCGGGTAAAGGTAGGAAGAACAAGAGGATAAAGCTGTCCGAGCTGCCCAATCCTAACACTCGGGAGCATGTTGATCATGTGATAATGAACCTCCCTGCTTCTGCCATACAATTTCTAGGTACATGCAAATAACAATCACTGTACTGTGTTTATTATGCCTGCGAGCCTTTGAGGGTGAGGGGGAAGATGTCTGAAACAGAAAACCCTAATCAAATGTTTCTTCTCTCTCAGACGCATTCAGAAAGCTAATTCCGAGGCGATGCTGGAAGGGTGATCTTCCCTTGATTCATTGCTATTGCTTCATTCGGGCAAACGAAACCCAGGAAACTATAATTAAGGTAGTCTTTATTTCTGATAACATATAACATTTCTCCTAGAACCTGCAGCATTAAGTGTTGATCTGCATATAAAATCCTCAGCTACCCTTCTCATGATATAAGACATTCTTGAGGGAGTTGATAATGCAAACAATTTTCCTCCATGTAGCTTTCATTACAAAATTCCAATTCGTTCTGCAGGAGGCCGAATCTGCCTTGGGTGCGCAGATAAAAGATCCTATCTTGCATCGGGTTAGGGATGTTGCTCCAAACAAGGTCAAAACTCCGAACACCTCCGTTTTCTCCCCCTTTTGCTTCTGATGAATGAAAATTATGGGTCTTGAATGTTCTTTCCTGGAGCAAATAGGTTTTTTCACATATAGCATCTTCATGACGGGTTTTTCTTAATCATGAATGCAGGCTATGTTCTGCTTAACCTTCAGATTGCCAGAAGGATGCTTCACAGACAATCCCCCCACCTGCATCGAGTCCACTATTTAGAGACTTGGTGATCAAGCAACAAGCTGAAAGTATCTCCGCCATGCTTTTTTCTGAGTCTAGTCACTTATGTAGTTAGGTTGTCAGTTACACCAGCGGCTTTCTACATGTGACTTGAAGATGTTCCCCCGGAAGTCATTTCAATCTTTTGTTTTCTCGAAATAGTTTTGTTCTTGTAATTGCGGTAGAGTTGTGATAATTGAAGTTACTTTTTAACATTTCATTTTGTATCAATGTTGAGAGCGGAAATAAGAAAATAACAAGAACAATAATGTGGCATGACAAAATATGAGAAACTTGAAAGGGGAAAAATATGAAAAATATCGGCTATAATGTTTCGGAGATGAGTAATACGAAAAGGAAGATAAAAAAAAATATGTGTAAAGATATACACAAGCGATAATAGCAATTAGCAACAGCTATATGATATGAAGTTCAGGCTCTAAAACGAGACGCCTATGAAACGGTGCGTTTCGTGTACTGTTCTCATGTTCTGGACAAACGGCTATGGAGGCGAATTTTAACGCGGAGTTTTTTTTCTTTCTTTTTCACTTTTCAGGTTAGATAGATAGATCTGGATCTAATTTTTATTCAATTTCCGTTTCGCCATATTCCCATTTCCCTTCCTTCCTCTGCATCAAATTTCCAGCTCTCTCCAACACCGCAATTTCCCGTCACTTCGCCCCTGCCCCCGTGAATTCTAGCTGTATTTGATTATCTCAGAAGCAGCATCGCCTTCGAGATTTTATCTTAGGGTTTCCAGATCTCCCGATTGCTGCCCGGCGTTTCCCGCGTCTTTTTAACCGCGTTTGTGGTGGCGGCGCTTTCTCTCGGCGGCGTTATATGATTCTGATATTATAGGGGATTGGGGATTGAGGGTTTCCTGTAAATTTGTATACGAGCTTGCGAGGAATGTCGGCGGCTTTAGGTAAAACGTCGTATCGCGATCGGACGCAAGAGTTTCTCAGCGTAGCGGAGAGGCTGAAGAAGTCCATCTCGTCGGGGAACAATGCCGGGGTTAGTGGCAGCAGCAACAGCAGCAGCAGCGGGAAGCCTGACGGCACGCGATCTGCGGTTGCGGTTCAGTCGGAATTCAATAAGCGAGCTTCGAAGATTGGGTTTGGAATTCACCAGACGTCTCAGAAGCTGTCCAAGCTAGCCAAATGTGAGTCGTTCTCGTTTCCATTTGCTCCTTGTTATTAGGTTAGGAGTTTCCGGATGCTTTGTTTCGGTATTGCAATTGGGGTTTCTCGTTTGACTATGACAGTTCGGGTTGTTAGGAGAATTGTTATTCAATTGATGTGGAAATCTATGTGGATATGGTAATACTATGAGTGCTTGCTTTATCCAAAAAGTATTATGGGAGTTTGATACTTGCTGGAGGTTTTGGAATGGTTTAGTTGGTTGCCTTGGTTGTGATTTGGTATGTGGAAATGTGAAGTGACTCGTCAGATTGAGGTTCTTGTGTGGTGTTAGATGTCTCTTTGATTCTATGTGACGTGGTAGACAGCGCCGGATCTGTGTTTTTTATTCCTTCTGGCCCCGATCATCGAGTCTCACGTGGCACAACATAACATACCATAATGGAATCGCAAAACTGAACCAAGATATAGTACTCTTAGTCTCTTGTTACCATAGACGATAGTAGGAAAGTATTTTTCTTTTCATTTGTAGTTGTTCAATTAGTGAGAGCTGGGCAGCTCACATTTATAGACATGGTCCTTCAGGACTAAATCATCATTGTTAGATCTGAGTTATTGAAGGAGTGCATGAGGTTCCTGACATGGAGAGCCATATCGGACTACCTTGGATTGATTATGGATTGTTCACAAACTGAGTAACTGACCATGAATGGTGGCTATCTATGTTGTGCACCTATAGCTTGTTTTCGGAGTAGGTTGACCGTGACTTGTACATGATTGGGCAATGGAGCTTCTATACTTTTCAAAAGCAAATTAGTAGAACTTGAAGATTTCAGGTTCTCTTAGTTACATAGTGTGAAGGTCTTCACTATGGGTGATACCAGGAAAAGTTAAATTAATGACGGAGGAGAAATCATGGAGCCTGTTTTGTAGATGCTGGACAAGGGATTTGGCATAACCCATGGTATAAAACAGTAGGGTTAGGATTTAGTATCCCGGTAATGTTTTCTTCATTTCTTTCCTGAATCAGTGTGTGGTTCTTTCTACTTTTTTCGTGAAAGTCTCTGCTGTTGGGTAAAAAATTGGGCTAATGATAAAAAAAAATGTAGGCAAATTAATGATATTACCTCTAGAGAATTTTAAGCAAACCAATCTGATCCTGGACTGTCTTCTTGCTCAGCTTAGAGCAGGCAATGTAACTTTACTTCCTTCCTTAGTTCCTTAGGCTCTCAAATTCCAGATTTCCAGTGATTTCAGTAGAAACTGTCCTTTTCAAAATGAACATCTGTTGTAAATTCTTGTATTGGTCCTTTCTTGAGTATCAGTATGCAACTTTACATGTTACTACTCTATGTGAAAAATTAATGCAATTTGTATATTATCATGTTACAGAGTCGTAATAGTTTCAGCGCAATTCCTGGAAAATGATGGATTGGGGCATTGTTACTAACCCATTTTGTGATTTCATCAGTGGCAAAGAGAACATCAGTATTTGACGACCCAACCATGGAAATCCAGGAATTGACTGCTGTTATAAAGCAAGATATCACCGCACTAAATGCAGCTGTGGTAGATCTCCAACTCGTCTGCAACTCTCAGAATGAGAGTGGGAACATCTCTACCGACACCACAACCCATTCAACTACAGTTGTAGATAACCTCAAGAATCGCTTGATGAGTGCGACAAAGGAGTTTAAAGAAGTCCTAACTATGCGAACAGAGGTAAATTCAGAATCCCAATTTCAGAAAAAAGTAGTTCAATAAACCATAATGACCTGTCTTTAGTTTAGCGTTACTTTTTGTACTGAAGAAATTGTCATTCTTGAACTACAGAATTTAAAGGTTCATGAGAACCGCAGACAATTATTTTCTTCATCTGCATCAAAAGAAGCTACAAATCCTTTCGTACGTCAACGCCCACTAGCTTCCAGATCTACAGCCAATGCATCAGCAGCTCCTCCACCTCCATGGGCTAATGGTTCTTCTGCATCTTCGTCCTCATCCCAGTTATTTCCCAGGTTCGAATTACAGCTGTCTGTTTTAGCTTTTGCTTAAGTAGACGAAAAGTTTGTTTGGTTTGATTTCAGGAAAAAGTTGAGTTGATGGAATATGACATATTCTTAAGTAATGAATGGGTTTTGGGGGGAATGACTATCATGGGTATGCACTATTAGCCGTTTGCAACACTGCAACCTTTTAAACTTAGAAATTTTTTCTGCTTGCAGTCGACAGTCAGATGTAGAGTCTCAGCCCCTCCTGCCTCAGCAGCAGCAGCAGCAGCAGCAGCGTCAGCAGCAACAGCAGCAGCAACAACAACAGATGGTTCCACTCCAAGATAGTTACATGCAGAGTAGAGCTGAGGCTCTACATAATGTGGAATCAACCATTCATGAGCTAAGCAACATCTTCACACAACTAGCAACCATGGTTTCACAACAAGGAGAGCTTGCTATAAGGTCTGTCATGCTTTCCTTTACTTGAAATGGAGAAAGAGTGGACCTATTCATTCAGTGACATTTGTGATCATGTTCTGCACATTTCTGAACAGAAGGCTTCAGTACTCTTTCGCCCTCTGTTCTCATAATAAATCCTGCTCACTTGCATGTGAGAGAAAGCAAGTTTTCATATCAGTTTTGCCTCAGTTACTGCACAACTGAACCGCCTTGTTAAATACCCCTGTCATAAGATTAGCAGGGTAGGACTATGAACTACCTAGCAATAGTTGATGGGGATTCTGGTGTGGCTGTTTTTCAGGATTGACGAGAACATGGACGACACGCTGACGAACGTAGAAGGTGCACAGGGGCAGCTGGTTAGGTATCTCAACAGTATTTCCTCCAACAGGTGGCTTATGATCAAGATATTCTTTGTACTCGTTGCATTCCTCATGATCTTCTTGTTCTTTGTGGCATAAGGAAAGAAAGAAAAAAAGGTTCCTTCTCTGCTGTCTCTCCATATTCTTGTACTAGAATTCAGAATGCAATGGGATCTCTTCTTGTAAACAGGATTGCTTGAAATTGTGGCATATACACAAATTTTGACTCGTCGTTTCCCTTTCCCCTGTATTTTGGATGACTGAAACCAACTACTCCGTACATAATGATAATGGCGGGGCCTTGCGCTTCCCTACTGCTTTGTTCTTGTTTCTTTCATTCTCGTCTTCCGCTGATGCCAGACTGTTCAGCAGGAACTCCCACGAGACTCGAACCAAAACACTTGACGTGATAACGTTGCGAATATGGATTTCGAAAATCGAAATGTTCTCGTCCTCTCACTAATGGCATTCCTACTTCTATCGATGCACTATGTTACATCGATCTTTACTAACGCACCCCCACTGTCATCTCGTTTTCACCGTCAGGATTAAGCATATAAAATGGATCTTATCATCTCGTCTCAATTTGTGCTCATAGTTCATTCCAAATTAAGCGCAAATTCCTCATCTGTTGCTGCGATGTAGCCTGGCATAAGGATTAAAATGTAAAAAAAAATTATCCAGGGGACTGAAATGGTAATGAAAGTGAATTCCGGGCACTGATCTATCCATATCTCTTACCGTTACTGCGAGCTGTTAGCGGAATTCAAAATCAGGAGAGTCAGCGGGTTATTGAATTTGAATTCGTAACGGCCATCTTCTTATTAACCCCTTCCTCACCGACAGTTCACAGTCGAAGCAATCTCTCTCTTTCACTCCAATTCGTCAGAGAAAAAGGAACAACAATGGCGACTCTCACTCCGGGAATCCTCCTGAAGCTCCTCCAGACCATGAACTCAGCCACCAGAGTCACCGGCGACCACCGCTCCCCGCTCCTCCAAGTCACCGGCATAGTCCCCGCGCTCGCCGGCGCCACCGACCTCTCCCCCAACCACGGCTTCTACGTCCAGCTCTCCGACTCCCTCAACTCCACCTACGTCTCCCTCTCCGACCGCGACACCGACCTCATCCTCTCCAACCGCCTCCAGCTCGGCCAATTCGTCCACATCGACCGCCTTGATTCCGACTCCCCTGTTCCTAGGGTTTGCGGCATCCGCCCCATCGCCGGCCGCCACGCCTTCGTCGGCACGCCCGAGCCACTCGTCGCTCGGATCTCGTCATCCTCAAGGAAGGAATTCGTGATTCAACCTGTCGAATCGGCCTCGGATTCCTCCATCGCCCCCTATTTGTCCAGCAGAAATTCCGACGATTCGGCGAAGGGCGACGATGGAAGGAAGTTCGAGAAGAGCGTCAGGACAGCGGCGGTGAGAACGCCCCTCGCGCCGCGAGACAATGTGCAGGCTGGAAATGCGGAGGAGAATAATAAGGAGAGAGTTCTGCCGCAGAGATTCTCTTCCCCTGCTGGAGCGAAGAGATCTGTTTCTGCTGGAAGGAAGAATGTTTCGGCGGAGAAGAGGGATCCGTCTCCTGCTGGGAAATTGGGGAAGAGGTCTTCGTCTCCAGCTCCGTCGAAATGCGTGGTGCCGAGTTTGGCGGCAGCGAGAGAGGAGAACAGGAGAGTGGCGAGGGAGCCGGCGATTATAGTCCCGTCGAGGTACCGCCAGCCGTCGCCGACCACCGGGAGGAGGCAGGCGTCGCCGAATCCGAGGCGGCTTTCGTTGTCTCCGGGGCGGAGGCTCTCTGGAGTCAAGGATTCCGCCGGGAAGAAGAAGATCGCGGCGATTGTCGCCGGGATTTCCAGAGTCTCCGAAGCTCTCGTTGGATCTGGTAAGAGCAGTAGAAAATCCTGGGACGAAACTCCGCCGCAGGCCGCCGCGGTGGCAGAGTTGAGAGAGAAGAATGAGGTGAAGAAGAAGGTCGATAGAAACTCAATTCTCCGGACGCAGGTGAATTCTTCTTCTTTTTCTTTCCTTAAATCTTTTCACTGTACACCAGTTTCTTCCTCCATTGAAAGAACTAGTGAATCTCAAATTGAGCTTTCTGCCTGCTAATTGCTATTACAGGCTGCCTTGTCTAGGCGATTGAGCGACGCTGGTCGCCATTCCAATCACGATGATGATGAAGATGATGATTGTTCGAGCATCGAGAAAGGAAAGCTGAATTCCCCTGGTGGATCTACTGATAGCGAGAAGCCAGCTGGTGGAGCTATTGGATTCACAGTACATGAGAAGAAATGGACCGATGGAACCGTTCCATTCGATGCAGTTTCAGCAGATCTTGCACTGCTTGGAAAGGTAAGACATTTTTAATAGAGTTTCCTGCGGGATAGGCTGGTTCTACGGTTAGTAAATGATATATGATACCAAAGTGATGTTCAGATTTGTGCAAATTTCAATCTTATGTGAGTGGTTTTCGTCTAAACTAGTGTATTAGTAGTATGTATCATGATCCTTAATTGATTCTCTTCCAACAACTCGATTTGTTAGGAGCAACTGGTTCTTGACATATACGATTAAACTACTCTGATTCTGAAATGCAGGAAGCCATCCAAAGGAGGATTCTGGCTTCTACAGCAGCAGCAGAAGCCCTGGAAGAAGCCATTGCCACAGAATCAATCATCAGAAGCTTAAGGTAAAACTTCCCTCTCTTTCTCCTAAGGATTTTGAATTACCCTGTTCACTCTTGAATGTACCACGATGTCTGCAGTACTTTAATCTAACATCTTCCCTTTCGCCCTTTCAATCATTTCCATTGCAGCATATTCTCAGACCTCTCATCATCATCCAAATCCAAACCCGGGAACCCCTTGCCCACCATAGACCGCTTCATGTCCCTGTACGACGACGTGCAGAAGTACACACAGACTGCTCAATCAGTGGCCACCAGCCATTCTTCTCCCGATCACGAAGCCATCCCACCAACGCAGCATTCCAAAGCAGCTTCCTTGTGGGTCGAAGCCGCATTATCTACAGACCTCGAGATCGTCTCCGTTCTGAACAGAAACAGTACAACCAATACTACTACTTCTGCAGATCATCATCATCATCGACCGAGTAATTCTCCTTCCCTCCCGAGAAGTGGCTCAAAACGACAGTCTGTGAAGGGAAACTCTTCTTCTCCGTCGTCGTTGTCATCGCCGAACGACAGAGCTCGTGTTGGTGTGGAAAGAGGAGGGGCGTGGAGGAGAGGCTGCGGGATGAGCGAAACGGTGGAGATGGGGAAGAAGGTGGAATGTGAGATGGAAGTTTGGTTCGTGAGGTTTGTGGAGGAAGCTTTGGATGCAGGTTTTAGGGCGCTGGGTGGAGATGTGCCGCTCGAGGCTAGCTCGATTGCCGCCATTTTGTCGCAGCTGAAGAGGGTGAACGGGTGGTTGGATAAGGTGGCGGGGAAAGGGGAGAAGGCCATGATTGAGAAGATTGAGAAGCTGAAGAGGAAGATATATGGTTTCGTTATTCAGCATGTTGGCACGACTTTTTGAAGAGTTTCGAAACGAATACGTTTCTGATATTGAGCATGTTGCAACGAAAGAAAAGCCATCTTGGCTTCAGAATGTGCTCTGCTGCTCTTAGGGGGTCTTTGGTTGATTTTGATAGAAACGTTTTCCCCTCACAATGTTCATTTTCCTTCCTGCTTCTTTCTCATTGCCTTTCCCACTTGAAATCAGAATTTGAAGTGTTTACTAGTGTGTCGTGTATGTAACCGTGTTTGCAAAATCGTATCATGTCCATGATTCGATTAAATTACTGCTTATTAGAGCTTAAATCGATAAATAATTTCAGCATGATTGACACATAATCAAACAACAATTTCACAATAATTTGCGCATTTTTATTATTACTTGGTACTTACTACTTAAAGTGTTGAGCCTAAAATTTCCAAGTTGAATATGAGTAATAGTACCACCGCCCAAGTCCTTCATCCCACCATCCTGCATTGATCGTCTCCCACAAACCAACCTTGGAAAGATCTCTGAAAGTGGAGAGGGCCGAACAGAATCAAACATTTCTTGTTGTTGCTGCTTCACGATTGCCCTTTTACTAACAAGGAAAGAACTAGAAGAGGAATGACTGATGACAAATTCTGCAATCACTGCAAATCAGAAGACGAAACTATTGATCACATCCTCCGGGGTTGTCAAAAAGCTAGAATGATCTGGGATGCTATGCTAAACAAGCTGGCTGATAAGAATATGAATGGTTCTTTGGATGTTTGGTTGATGAACAACCTCAGTGATGAACGAACTGGTATCGAGTTTGGGATTATTTGCTCGCACTTGTGGAAGCAGAGGAACGAGGAGGTGCTGGATGGTCGTGGATTCTCTAAGAATGGTCTCATTTCCATGATCAATGCTTGGTTTAGCATTGTTTGGCATGCTTACCAGAATGACCAGAAAGTCAAGGCTGGAACGCAGGTTAACAGAAGTTGTGCACTGGTGGGATGGGAGCCACCTCAGGAGGGTTGGATCCAAATCCAATATGATGGTTTAGTCAATGCGCATAATGGAAGTGCAGCTGCTGGGGGCTTGCTGAGAGATCATCTTGGGAGATGCAAGGGTGCTTTCATTCGCAACCTCGACAACTGCTCCATCACAGCAGCAGAGCTAAAAGGTGTTGGAGAAGGCCTGAATATGGCTTGGGAAAAGGGCATCGCAAGGTACAGCTCAACCTCGATTCAACTACGACGATCTCTGTCATTAAAGGGAGCTTGAATGACTCTCATCGTCATGGTAACTTTGCTATTCAATTGAGAAACCTCCTGAGTCTTGATTGGGATGTTGTGGTTTCTCGTGTTTTTGGAGAAGCGAATTTTGCGGCCGATTTTTTGGCAAAAAAAGGTCATACTTATAATTTTGGTACACATCTCTTTGATGTATACGACCATGAACTTGATCAGTGACTTCAGTACAATGTAATGGGTACTACCCACAAACGTCTTATTATGATGAATACGAAGGCGCTTTAGCCTCAGTCTTATTATCATAATACCCTACCGATGAGTGAATTTTTACTATATAAAATGACTGAACCACAATTTCTGTACATAACATCATACTGCTAAATTTTGCGATACAACCATTGTTATGGAAAAAATACGTGGGCCAAAAATCCAGGCATGCCAGCCAAATGGACCTGCATGGGCCCACTGTTTATTACCCACCTGTACCTTCCCAGTTCCCACTCCCTACACTAAATTCCCCGGTCCCACACTCAAACCTAATCGTAACCGTCCGTTTTTCATCCGACGGCCCTCCGTTTCTCCTCTAAACCAAACAGACAAACCCCAACCCTTATCCAGACAATACCTGCCACTGTCGTTCCCAAACTGCCCTCGTAAATTCCCTTCAGCTACGTATCCTGCCACGCAAGCCCACACGGCGCCCTCCTACGCCACCGGCCAAATTAATCATCGAAATAAATCAAATACTCAAATCTAAAATCGCTTCCACCTGTAGAGCGAGAGAGGCAAAGCCAAGGCAACAGACGGGAAGAGAGAGAGAGAGAGAGAGCGAGAACGAGAGTCGAGTCGAGACCGCCATTGAAGAAGCTAACAATTTTTTTCCAGTTTGCATTTCTTCCGGCGGACTTCTGCCCTTCGAGGCGACGGGCGATCGCTCGGAGATTTAAAATCTTACCGGCGAGCTCGTTGTTGTTGTTGTTGTTGTTTCTAATCTTTCGTTTTCTTCATTTCCCTTCGCGTTGCTTTTGTCAATCGGGGGAAACGAATTAAGCTGACTGGTCCCTGGAACCCTAATTCCGTCTTAACGGACGCCATCCGAGCTCTCTCGATTCTCTGACCGGGGGAGGGAAAACGCTCGATTTAAAAGGGAGCCGGAGGCGGGGTGCGTGTTTCGTCATCGGGTGTTTTTGTGGATTTTGAGATGGTTGGGGGAGGAGCGAGCGGGAGGAAGAATGAGCAGGCGGTGCTGAACAGTAACAATGTCTTCGCTGCGCTCGACACATTGAGGAAGAAGAAGAAGAGTTCGAGCTCCTCCGCTGCTGCGAGTTCCGGCAAGGACCGGTCTAAATCGAAATCGAGCAAGGAGGAGAAGGAGGCGGCGGAGAAGGTGTTCTGGGCTCCGGCACCGCTCACGACGAAGTCTTGGGCTGACGTCGAGGACGAGGATGACGACGATTACTACGCGACTACTGCCCCGCTCGCGCCTGCCTGGGGTGCCGCTCCCGGTGCCAAGCCGGAGAAGGAGGCCGTGGAGGTGATTAATTCATTGCTCTCTTACTGCTTCAGTACTATATCAGATATGCTCTTGGTTTTGCATGGAATAGTTTGCTGAGTGAATATGATTGCCATGTTTAGCTTTATGTTTGAGAAACTGAATGGTACAGTTCATTGGGAGAATAAAGAATATGCTTATGACTTATGAGGTCTGATCTTTATGTGAAGTATGGTGGATTTCTTGTTGGGTATGGATAGGGGATATGCTGGTATGTAATGTGTACAGTTGTTCCAACAGTCAGTTTATTCTGTTTGTCACCCTTCAACAAAGCAATCAGGGTCAGCAACTGTCTAAGACATAATTCTGCCCAATTTGTTATGCAAGTAGATGTATGGATAAACAAATCTAGCTACTTGGTAATGTCAGAAAATGATTTCGTGTTGATCTTTGGGATTCGGAGTAGAACTTAGAAGATGTGATTTTTGTGACGGATTCTCGGTGTGATGTGGCAATTCCATATTGTTGGCCATAGTTCTGGATGCCCCTTCAGTTATTTTGGCAATCGGGAACTTGCACGTGCCAAACGATCCGTTATTGAATACGTTCAATAATACTCTTTCTATAGCCTTGCTGGTAAAAAAGGCCAAATTTGGCGTCATGTTTTACCTTTGTTGGCGCATTCGTGGCACATAATTTGGACGGTTAAGGCCGTTACAAGATTGCCTCATCCAACCCCTTCAATTGATAAGCGATACGTGTTGGTAGTCGGATAGGGAGCAAGTCAGAATTTTTTTTACTCTCTGAACGAAGTTGCTTCATTTAGTGCAATGAGGAAACTGTTGATAGTATCCCTCAAGTCCTTTCATACTTAGTTAGATACATTGTAGCATTTAAGTTAAATGCTAATGTCATGGGCTTTCATGGCTTAGTGTATGGTAGGTGCTCCATTGTTGCTGAGTCTGGGCACCTCTCGTTACTGCTATAGATTCTGTCACCAAGCATTGTCAAAGTGCCTTCGGATCCTCCTCCTCTCCATCCGCTTCATGGCTATTGCCACTTTCTTTCAATTTTTCGCATCATGTTCTAGGACTGTGGAGTTGGTTCATTATTCCTTATATGATACTTTTGCTTGGTATTTGGCAAAGTTATTATGTATCTACATATTTATTGATATGTCTTAGCCTGGAGTTGCAGTGGATGACTGTAAATCTGTATTTTGCTTTCTTAGAACAAATTTGCCCTCTATTATGTTAAGGTGGTAATCATTATCCATGCTAGAAGCCTGAGATCCAATACAATTCTTAGCAGCAGTTATTAAGCGTCTCGAACTAATTTCCATTCTTTATGATGGTACAATGGATTTTGCAAATGACTACAGTAATGAACTTCAAAGTTAGCATTTTGCAACTCGCTCTGGTTTGATATATTCATTACTGAACTGTTTACCTATTAACTTGTAACCTCACTCGAGGTTGCACATGAATAGCTGTGGGTAATTTGTCTTAGGATTCTATTATGTTTGCAGGAAAGTGAAAGTGAAGAAGAAGGTCTTGATGAAGTCGATGATGAGGTGGAGGATGTGGAGGAAGAACATGAACCTGAGCCTGCCGCAGAAGTGGAGCCTGTTAAGAAGCAACTTGAGGTTTCTTTGCCTCAGAAGGATACAGAAAGGCAACTCTCGAAGAAGGAATTGAAGAAAAAAGGGCTTGAAGAACTTGATGCTGTACTTGCAGAGTTAGGATATGCTAAACAGGAGTCGAGTGGTCAGGATGCCTCTGATGGTAACTTCTCTGTTAGATTTACTCTCTCTCTCTCTCTCTCTCTCTCTCTCTCTCCAATGACTTGAACATGCTCGAGCCATTCACAGCCTCCTTTTCGTATATTGATCTTTAGTATTTAGGTGCCACAAAATAACATTGCTCGTGATGAAATGAACTACTGGTTTCTCATATGTTCAGGAGAAAAGAAAACCGACAACAATGGACAAGCGAAGAAGGAAAATGCCCCAGGAGAGAGCAAGAGTGCCAAAAAGAAGAAGAAGAAGGAAAAGACCTCAAAAGAAGCCCCCAAGGATTCGGAGGACCAGTCTCAAAGTGAAAGTGTTGTAGCAGCTAATAGCACTGCTGAGGCCGAGAAGTCGGATGATGCATCGAGTGGTGTAGATGTGAAAGAGAGGCTGAAGAAAGTGGTGGCCAAAAAGAAGAAATCAAGCAAAGAAGTAGACGCTGCTGCCAAGGCTGCTGCTAGTGAGGCTGCCGCCAGGCGAGCAAAGGTTGCTGCCGCGGCAAAGAAGAAGGAGAAGGCTCACTACAATCAGCAGCCGGTGCGGTAAGCCGGCAAAGATCGAAAAATTCAAAACTGTCCTTCCGTTTTTCTTCTTTTCCGCCCCTTTCATTCCAGAGAACCCAGAACTTCTGTTTTGATTTTGACATTTGCAAATAAACCTCAGGCTTTTATCGCGAAAAAATTAAATTGTCATTTCAATATGGATAAAAAAAAAAGGTTACTACTTCATCAGACGTCGACTTGCTC